GCTGCAAAAGTGTCATCTTTTGCAGACATCGGTTCGCTATTTGGGTCACATTGTCAGCGAATCCGGGATAGCCACGGATCCCGACTCCCACGTCGGTGGGTGAAGTCCACAATTTTGTCGAGTTCGCGTCATACTATCGCTGCCTCGTACCGCAAAGGGCCAGAGATTTCGATGGGGGGAAGAGGCTGCGTTTGTCAGGCTGCGCGACGGCCTCACCAACGCACCTCCCCTTGGGTACCCCGATTTCTCTCTGCCATTTGTGTTGGATACAGATGCCAGCGACACCGGAATCGGCGCTATACTGTCGCAGGTAGTGAACGGAGTAAAGAAGGTTGTAGCTTACAGGAGCCGTGTGCCGTCCCCCGCAGAGCAGCATTATTGTGACGAGCCATGAATTGTTGGCCATTGTGCATTTTGTACAGCAGTACAGGCCGTACCTTTACGGTAGGCAATTTGTTGTGTGCACGGACCATGCGGCTCTTCAATGTGTTCCGGCCAGCTTTCCCACTGGTTAAAAATTTTGCAGGACCATTCCTTCACGGTCACCTACAGGAAAGGTGCACGTCACTGTAATGCGGATGCGTTGTTGCAGTTACCGCCGAGGGACCATTGTGCGTGTTTGATGGGTGCCGGCCTGCGGCTGCAGGATTGACGTGCACTGTTGTAGCGTTGGTTTATGTTCCACAACCCACGGCAACCGCTCCCTGTGACAACACGATTGGTCTCACGCACACGGAATGGGGCCGCCTCTGGCTAGAGAACGCTTCCTTGTTGATATTACGGCGTCGCATCGGAACGAGGGGTGGTAAAAAGGTGCCAGCGGGAATGTCTCTCATTGTCCTTCGTGGTGGGCTGTTGATGAGGTGGGATGAGGAAGTGCAGTGTTACTGCACGGGCTGTCCACGTGAAGTTAATGTATCTTGGGGTGCGGAAAACCTTGCTGACCCTGAAGCGCGACTTCTTTTGGCCCGGAGTGTCAAAGGATGTGTACCACATGGTCAAAGGTTGTATTGAGTGTGCTCGCCTAAAGCTCCCGCCGGGGCAGGCCCGGCCACCGTTGCAATCCATGGAGGTGTCCATGTATTAACGAGCACGTTGCCCTCGACATAATCGGCCTATTTCTCACCACTCAAAGGCGAAAAAAAAACTTTCTTCTTGTCGGGGTGGAGTACCTGTCCGAGTGGCCGGTGGCATGGCCTTTGCCGCATCAGTCGGCCGTGTCAATCGCGGACGCATTGCTACATGGGTACGTTTTAGACAAGGGGGCCCCGGAACGTCTCCTTACAGACTAAGGTCGTAATTTTTCTTCTAAATTGTTAAGGGAGGTATGCGACTATCTGGGTACTAAAAAGATCCGAACGTCACCCTACCATCCCCAGACTAACGGGATGGTAGAGCGCTTGCACAGGACTCTTACGTCCATGCTGTGCCAACAGGTTAACGAGGCACAGTACGACTGGCATTTGCACGTTCCAGGTGTTCTGGCCGCGTATAGGATGGCCCTCACGCCTCAACAGGGTTCTCCCCCTTTTCCTCATGTATGGGAGGGAATGTGATCACCCCATGGAGGCTCAGTTAAGCATGGATCTGGGCAAAAAGAAGGTTGCTGTGCCCATGCAGCTTACTATCAGGTGGCTGATGGAAGCGCGGGAGGAATCTCGGGGAAATTCGGCCAAACGACACCAATGAGAAGCTTGTCGGGCTCCGTGAATCCAAAAACCCATGGACCCCTGAGGACAAGGCATGGCTACATTGCCCCCAGGTGCCCCTGGGCATGTCCGCTAAATTGCACCGGCCATGGCAGGGCCCAGTTGAGGTGATGGAGGTCATGAGGCTGCAGTGCGTGCGTGTCCAGGTCGGTCGCAGGCGCTGGTTTGTGCATCCGTCACGGCTAAAACCCTATTTTCCACAGTATGATGTCACTTCATCCCCACCACCTGAGTGCCGGGTGTCTGATGTGTCCGGTGAGCCAGGGCGAACAGTCGCGGTGGGTGCGCCTCAGCAGGATTCCGGCGCCTGACACCTGCAGACCTACCGACGGCACCATCTACAGACGGACCGAGGACGACGAAACAGCCATCATCTCTTCTTCTTCTTCGTCTTCTTCTCAGGACGGGCCCCACCCGTTAGGCCATTTACATATCGTCCCGGGGGTCCCTAGGAAGCCCATTTGTCTCCGGCCTGGGGGCCCGGCGAAGAGGACTCGCTCTAAAACTGTTCAGTTTCGATAGCTCACCCCTTTTTGTTGTTGACCAAATTAGTTCCGACACTGTCCGGTGGGTGGCCGCAGACGCAAGCTGGGCTAAGACTACTGGTTGACCTGGGGTCCTTGCCGACGCTGCGGGCTGCGGCACGCTGGCGGTCGACGGATATTGTTCAATACCTTGGGTCCGGGTTCATTACTATGGGTTCTCGTCGGTAATTGTTAATTATCCCGGTTGGGTTTGTATTGTTCTTGTTGTTTCCGCTACGCGGAGGATGGAGGTCAACCGGGATGGCTGATTTTTTTTTTTACGGGGGGGTGGGGTGACACACTTAGCAGCATAGCGCTTGTTGCTGGCGGGACGGGGATCTGCAGTTACAGCATTCCTGACTGACAGGTCACGTGATTAACCAGAGGGAGGGATGTAGGGGAAAGGTTCCAGAAGGGACACGTGGGGGAAGCCCGGTAACCCGATAGTAGGTTCTAGAGAGGGGGCGTGGACGGGGCGGAGTAAGGCCATGCTGGGAGCATAAAAGGGGGCCCTAAGCGAGAGCTCGGGGCTGTCGTTTGGAGTGGGATCCCGTCGTGCTGCTGGAGTCTTCGTCGCCGTCTCCGTCTTAACCATCTCGGTGTCGTCAGTCAGGCAGTCTGCCAGCTGTCCTGACTGGGAGCTGTAGGTACTAAGTGTGAACTGTTAAGGCTGTTAATAAACAGAGTGCCTCCTACTCTTTGTGTCTGGATCAGTCACTACAAATGTATGCACACATTGGGTAGTAAATGTTGGGCGATTGTAATTTGACAAGAGGCAGAGACGTCTCCAGTGTTATTCACAAACACTGGAAAAGGCCTGGCTACCTGTCCTTGTCCTATAAGCGACCAATCCACCACACCATGGCATTAGCTGTGATAACTGAATATGCTGACATTGAATGCTACAGGCACCATGAAGTATAACTTTACAGTTTAAAAAGTAGAAGCACAAACAACAATGTTAGTTTAAACACTTAAAGAGATCCAACTTATATATTTCCCAGGAACAGCGGTCATTAATTTTGGAGTGCCTAAATAAGCAATATTCAAGTCTCATTAAGTATGGTTGCAGGGTGTTGGCGTAAGCTATTGACAGCCATAATTAACCAACTTATACGTGTTGTTATCAACCCAAACAAAATAAAATGTAACGTGAACAAAATGTAGACGTTTATTAATTTTCACCTCTTAAAATTTAAATAGAACAAGCAAAGCTCATAATAATTCATATCCACATTGATGACATGAGAATATGGAATGAGAAGAACTGGGTATTAAAAAAATAGAAAATTATCATGGTGAATGCACACTGGAAGCAATGATAGGCCAAAGAAAATGTAAAACTAAATTCACAGAGAATGGCTGAACAGGACACACTAACTAGACCATGATATAGTTTTTATACATGTGTAGTGATGTAAATGGTGTCACTAGGGTGTTCGCACCAGCTGCTGTTACAGGAGTGCAGCTGTGCGTCTGGAGCCTCTCTCTAGCACCAGAATGGGTACGGCATGTCAGCCAGCCCGAGGGTGCGTGGTCCTGGTGGTGGCCTGAGTGAACCCAGGGAGGGCACGTGATGCTCAACCGAGTACCTACGGGAAAGGTCTGGAAGGGGGCGTGGCCGAAGGCGGAGCGAGGCCACGCTCAGGATTACGAAGGGGCAGTTCCGAGCTTGGCTCGTCTGTGGAATCAAGCCTGGGTCCCGCGCCTCATCGTCTCCGGGTCTTCGTCTAGAGTTAATTCGCTCTTCACATAATTAGCCAATTATAGAAGCCGAGTTATGTTCAGTGTTACCTGCTAGTTGTAAAATAAAAGTGTTGCCTCCCAGTCTAGTTCATTATAATAGGCAATGTCCATGTTTCTCCCTGCTTAAACGTATGGGACAGTGCTAACTTTCCAATGGTGGGAATTCCTCATTCCTTTGACAGGGGCTAGTGTATCCAAAAGACAACTGCTGCTGACTTCGCACAAAGCGGTTCTTATTTTGTCAACCCTAAAGGGATGGTGTGCAGTCAACCTCCATCTGGGATTTTAACTCAAGTATTCTAACCACAGCACCACATGGGTTTAATTTATTACGGATTTTTTTTTATTATGGAGGTCATTAAATTCAGTTATATTTCACAAAGTTAGTTTATGATACAATCACAATTTATTAATTATAATTCACCCACTACATATTTTATTCCATGATTGCTTATGCCATTTTATGGTAATGTAGCCTCAAAGAGGTTTTAAAACCTAGAAATCTTTCATAAGATGCATTTGCATAGAATATCACCATTCTGTATTTTGCTTCACTTTGCTCAGTCTAAAGACCCATAATGGATATACAATGCTAGTCTGCAGAATGGCTCAAAAAGCCATTTGATGACAAAATTAACTCATGTCGCCTGACTATTATTTTCCTTATAGAATTGTGGCTTAAAGTATAAGCATCATTTGTTAGAGAATATAATTTTTACTTTTCATATTTATCTTATCCACATTGACGATTGTTAAAAACTAGTTTAGCTGTGAATTATACATTGTTGGTAAGCGACAGCAAGAGAAGGACTCTGGGAAAATGTGATTATGTATGGAAAACGTATAAAAAGAGGAGAGCAAAGTACGAGGGATGGTAGAATACTAAACATGTGGATGCATTTCGGATGAAAAGCGAGAATTCAAACGACTGGAGGAAGTAGTGGGGTACTTGTAACTGGCAGTGTTGTGAGCACAGCTAATACAAATGGCAAACTATGTATCTGCTAGTGGGCAGCGTTACCTGGAAAAGGGGCTTCACACGTGCACGGTTCATAGACTCCTCCAGGCTGAAGCTGAACAGTACTTCAGCCTCTGCATCCCGTAGCAGGTAGGCTCCTTCATCTGAGAGAACAATGTCAACATCAAAGAACGTCAGAACGTCAACACGTAGGTGGTCAAACGGCACAGCGGTCGTGCTTTTACCACTTGTTTCAGGGATTCGTGGGTAGAATCCAGCAGGTCACTGGTTAGAACTGAGGGTGTATTATCCGTAGAAATAAGTGCCGTCTACTCAGAACATATGTTAGAGATGCCCTGATGTGATTTGAAAGAGTGTGCCACAATTTGAAAAATTACTCAGTACATATAGCATAATTAATCCCTATACGCAGACTATACGTCCCTGAAACATAGCACCTTCATTATAGCCCTGCACGATAAGAACGGCACGAATACCAAAAGCACTAAATATAATTTTCACATGTTTGCATCATATGAGCCTATCTCCTACCTTTTCGGCAATCTGTACCAAAAAGCGATTATATTTCATTTGCATCTCCTGCAGCAAGATATTGCAAGTCAGTTGTATTTGTGTGTACATTTGTGTATGTTATGTAAAAACATGTTCTGCATTGAATCAAATTATATCTGGCTGGGTGGTGCTATGGTTAGAGCACAGTTGATACACAATTTGAAGGTTGTAAGTACAAACATCATTCGGGGGAAGACCCAGCCTATCATCCTACTAGGGTCAATAAAATAAGTATTATAATGTGAATAGCAAACAGCAGTTTTCTGATGGAAAGAAGGCCCCGACATGGGAACACAGAATTTCCACGACTAATTCAGAGCCATCAACAGCATTGAGTACCATCACATGGCTTGTGTTAACAGGGAACTCACTTGAATTCTGAATTGATCCCACTCGGCTCTGTAAACATAAGGCCTACTGCTATAAAATGTGATTGGTAATTTGTACATACAGTGAGGGAAAAAAGTATTTGATCCCCTACTGATTTTGTACGTTTGCCCACTGACAAAGAAATGATCAGTCTATAATTTTATTGGTAGGTTTATTTGAACAGTGAGAGACAGAATAACAACAACAAAAATCCAGAAAAACGCATGTCAAAAATGTTATAAGTTGATTTGCATTTTAATGAGGGAAATAAGTATTTGACCCCTCTGCAAAACATGACTTAGTACTTGGTGGCAAAACCATTGTTGGCAATCACAGAGGTCAGACGTTTCTTGTAGTTGGCCACCAGGTTTGCACACATCTCAGGAGGGATTTTGTCCCACTCCTCTTTGCAGATCTTCTCCAAGTCATTAAGGTTTCGAGGCTGACGTTTGGCAACTCGAACCTTCAGCTCCCTCCACAGATTTTCTATGAGATTAAGGTCTGGAGACTGGCTAGGCCACTCCAGGACCTTAATGTGCTTCTTCTTGAGCCACTCCTTTGTTGCCTTGGCCGTGTGTTTTGGGTGTGTTTTGGGTCATTGTCATGCTGGAATACCCATCCACGACCCATTTTCAATGCCCTGGCTGAGGGAAGGAGGTTCTCACCCAAGATTTGACGGTCCATTGTCCCTTTGATGCGGTGAAGTTGTCCTGTACCCTTAGCAGAAAAACACCCCCAAAGCATAATGTCTCCACCTCCATGTTTGACGGTGGGGATGGTGTTCTTGGGGTCATAGGCAGCATTCCTCCTCCTCCAAACACAGCGAGTTGAGTTGATGCCAAAGAGCTCCATTTTGGTCTGATCTGACCACAACACTTTCACCCAGTTGTCCTCTGAATCATTCAAATGTTCATTGGCAAACTTCAGACAGGCATGTATATGTGCTTTCTTGAGCAGGGGGATCTTGCGGGCGCTGCAGGATTTCAGTCCTTCACGGCGTAGTGTGTTACCAACTGTTTTCTTGGTGACTATTGTCCCAGCTGCCTTGAGATCATTGACAAGATCCTCCCGTGTAGTTATGGGCTGATTCCTCACCATTCTCATGATCATTGCAACTCTACGAGGTGAGATCTTGCATGGAGCCCCAGGCCGAGGGAGATTGACAGTTCTTTTGTGTTTCTTCCATTTGCGATTAATCGCACCAACTGTTGTCACCTTCTCACCAAGCTGCTTGGCGATGGTCTTGTAGCCCATTCCAGCCTTGTTGTAGGTCTACAATCTTGTCCCTGACATCCTTGGAGAGCTCTTTGGTCTTGGCCATGGTGGAGAGTTTAGAATCTGATTGATTGATTGCTTCTGTGAACAGGTGTCTTTTATACAGGTAACAAGCTGAGATTAGGAGCACTCCCTTTAAGAGTGTGCTCCTAATCTCAGCTCGTTACCTGTATAAAAGACACCTGGGAGCCAGAAAATTTTTCGATTGAGAGGGGGTCAAATACTTATTTCCCTCATTAAAATGCAAATCAATTTATAAGATTTTTGACATGCATTTTTCTGGATGTTGTTGTTGTTATTCTGTCTCTCACGGTTCAAATAATACTACCATTAAAATTATAGACTGATCTTTTCTTTGTCAGTGGGCAAACGTACAAAATCAGCAGGGGATCAAATACTTTTTTCCCCTCACTGTACTCTTTGGGTCTTTCGGTAAAGTCACGTAGATATAAAAAAAAATCACGACATTTCGATCGCAACACGAGAAATCGTCTTTAGGTGAAAAAATACAGGAGGTTAACTGCTGAGGCAGGAGAAATATATCGAGAGAACTACTGCAGCAAGAGGTTATATATGTTTGACATGGGTACAACCCAAGGGTAAGTGGGCGGGGCTAAAGATGGAATTTACAAGTAATATATCTCGGCCATTGTATTGCTAGAGATGAGCATGTCAATCTGTTAATGTAACCCCATGACTACGGTGCTGAAGCCATTGTATTGCTAGAGATTAGCATGTCAATGTGTGATGGCTCCCGCAGCAGCGGCTGTGTTAATGAGACACATTCAGCCTATTAAACAATGAGAGCCACCACCACATCGAGGAAAAGGAAAGCAGCGGCTATGTTAGTGAGACATTTAGCCTGTTAATGTAAAGACATTTAACAAGGTAATGCAACTCAAGAGTCGGAAATAACTGTTAACATCGGCAGGTAGGATGGAAGCATCACAGCCAATTATGACTTTACCTGGTTAATAACATCCTTCCAATGATTGCTCAGTTTGTACCCATCTTCTCGGTTGAAATTGTGTCTGTGTTTATATATCTGGATGGCTTCATTAACAAATCTTTGTTGATAGCCAGTGGGTTTGCATAATATCTTCGTCTTGGAGAAATCAATTTCAAGTGTACCCACAGCATTAAAACAATGATCAGTCACGGCAGAGGTATTAGTCCAACCGTGTTTAAGATCCACCTTGTGTTCACGAACACGGTCTGAGACATGTCGCTTGGTTACTCCAATGTAACTACTGCCGCAGGCACAACTTAGTTTGTAAACACCGGGGTATTGCATGTCAGGGATCACATCCTTCACAGATGGGATCAGATCACGAATTTTATGTACTGTGTTGAATCGAACCTGGATCTTGTGTTTGCTCATGATTTTGGAAATCTTTTTGGTGATCCCTGCTATGTACGGCAAGGTGATGGTTTTGATTGGGTCCTCAGATAGTTCTCTCCCAACGGTTGGGGTGACAGCTTTACGGATTGTGTAGTCTGAATATCCATTCATCTTGAGGGCTTGGTGTATGTGCTCCAGTTCACTGGCTAGGTGGTGATAGTTGGAAATGCAATGAGCCCTGTGGCTGGATGGTGGTGGGAATCAGGTTTTAGATAGGCATCCGTGGGTGGCTTTCCTGTAGACAGTGAGAACTGACCTCTTTAGTCCACAAATAGGGGGCCCATGCACTTTCCCACAAGCCCGGCTACGGATTGCAGTCAAACCAAAACACTGAACACTCAGAGCTGGAATTTTGCAGAGTTACATTTTTTTTTTTTTGTGCAGTCATTGATGACCAGGTTGAGACTATCAACTGAGATGCTGTGTTTAGTGACAGGTGGCTAATTGGATTTGAATCTATGATCTCTGTGCTCTGATACACTAGAATAGTGTTATATCCTTAATTCTGTATTTCACACACACTAGAACAGAAATATGTACTGCATTTTAAAAGCACTGGAATAGCAGTAGTGTATACTGTATTTTTTTAAAAGTTACTACGGTGTGATGGGTATCATGAGTTACCATTGTGTAAGAGTGGTGAGTGAGACACTTTGGGTTGCATCCCCCACTATAGGACATAAGTGGCACATTGTGTCTAGGCCATACAAGGGCCACCCCTAGATTTAAGCAGATTTTTATTGGTCCTCAATATTGCCAGAATTCTCAGCACTTAAATATGATTACACATTGTATGTTGTTTTAATGTTGTGCTTTTTAAACTCAAGCAATAAAGATTGCAATATAGGTTAAATTTGGTTTCACAAGCTCAGGGGAAATTCAGGTTTGATTCGGCAATAATGGATTTGACCCATTCCTAGTGTAAATAAGCTCCTTGGAGACGTCCATTTTGTAGAAGTAGAAACTGCATTTCTATCGTCAACATATTTACAGTTCCGAACGTAATAACCACTGCACTCGTAATTACTACGGCTATCTTCAGCCCCGATGGTTTCCAGCAAGTTGTTTCTCGATCAGTCAGCCCCGATGGTTTCCAATTAGTTGTGCTCAAACAGTTGGCCGCAATATCGTCCACCTTGGTCGTCGATTAGTCCCCGAGCAAGCGCCCGGACCGCTGCGTACCGCAGGTATGGTAAACTAAGCTAACCTCAATGTTAACTACTCTGTTAAGGGGGGACATTTCAACACAAGGCAATACACAACCAAAAGGTACTCTAACATCCACTGCAATCCGTCAATGTGTGTGTGGCTGAATGACACGTCCATGCCAGCGACGCTCCTCCCCAGCGCTTTCTTGGATGACTCCATCCTGCTGATCTTAATTGGGATCGTTCCTGATTCTTTCTTAAGTCCTACAATGTTGCTCAGAGATGGCTTGGTTGTCGAGTCGACTTCACCCCGGCATCATCTTGCAATGTGGCCCGGCCTCCCGCAGCAGTAGCAATAGATCTCCACGTGATTCCGGGTCCCTCCGCGGGTCTGCCATGGTCACTGCTATTGTCGATCATGCCTTGGGTTATTGAAATTCCGGATGGCCGCTGTCATCTCCTCCAAGGTCGCCTGAAGATCGTTACCCATTCTGGGCCCGGCGGCCACCGCTGTTGTCGCTTCTCCTGTCGGCTTCATTTGACCTCTGGTTCCTCCGCTCTCCGTCATTTCTGACACCTGTGCCACCACCTGAAATGGCGTTCTTGCATTTTCGTGTGCTCGGAGGCACTTCATGAACCACATCGAAGTCTGGTCGCTCTACGGCACAATCGGTAGTACAAGGCAGCTCCCTTAGACGAGGCCTCGCATTCGCTCCGCCACCAGCGCTTCCCAGGCCGCCTCATCCATCCACGGGAACACCACATTTGTGAGCACCAACAAGGCGCTACGGTATGCCATCGGCGGCTTGTTATCCCCTCGTCGTCGGGATGAAAATCGCTACCTGGCGCTAGACGGTGTGCAGAAAATCTCTGCCATCTCTTTGTAGGCCTGTCGTAGCGTCGTCAAGCACCGTGCGCAGCGCTTGAAGGGCCTCCTCCTCGCTCCATCTGCTGACTTTGACGGTAGCCTCGAATCTTTGAATGCCGCCCAGTTGCCTCCGTGCGCCGTAAATTATTTCAAGGGTCCCGAGGTCCTATGCGCTCCGTTGGACCTCGGGTTGGTTCAGTGGAGGTCCTTGGTGGCAGCTCGCGTGACACATTTTTGGCTGGGATCACCACTAGATGTAGCTCCTGCGTTGGCGAAGTGGTCGAGGTCCGCGATGCAGCGTGTGACAGTGGCTGGACAAGTTGATCGGCTCCCGCTTGCTGCACTGCGAGGGAGAGCGGCGGCTCCGGCTCTTTTGTCCCAGTCCACTGTGCTGCAAGAGGAGATGATGGCTGCATCCACGGAGCTTTAGCTCGCTACGTGGCGGGTGGTGGCGGCTCCGTCTCTGGAATCCCAGCTCGCCGTGTGGCAAGGGGAAGTGGCGGCTCCGTCTCCAGGCCGACAATGTTGACTCAGTGCTAAGCGGGAATTTGCGGCTGCTCCGGCTCAATGACATCGGCTCCATAAGACTGCAGGGATCGACGGATGCTCAGATTGCCCAGTATCGGCTCTTTCCCCCTCTCTCCTCGACGATCGCCGTCAGCAACCGATCAATTACGGAGGTAAGGCGGTCCAGTCTCAGCTATCTATTTCCAACTCTTCCGTCTCGGCGATTCTTGTTCACCGGTCTGTGGCAGGGCCTCCACCTCCTTTGGGAACATAGCTGCAGGCAGGGTCCGGTTCCCACTGGGTTCCGGGTCTCGGGGACCCGTGGCGTTTAGAGACGACGCCTCTACCTCCAATGGAGCTCCTCTCCGGGTCTTCTTTCGGGATACTGTAGACTGAATCCCACAACTGCCACCAGTGCAAAGAAGCTCCTTGGAGACGTTCATTTTGTAGAAGTAAAAACTTTATCTTTATCGTAATGTATTTACAGTTCTGAGCGCAACAACCGCCACACTTGTAATTACTGCGGCTATCTTCAGCTCCGATGGTGTCCACCAAGTTGTTTCTCGAACCGTCGATCACGATGTCATCCACCTTGGTCATCGATTAGTCCCCGAGCAGCGCCCCGACCGCCGGCCTCGCTGCCCCTTATATACTTGCTCGGCCACACCCCGATCGGACAGTGACCCCATCCCCACTCTACTATAACAGTGTATTATTTATTGAATAATAAGTACAGTGTCTTCTAGCACTTTCTCTGTACAGTCCCCTACACTAGTATTTCCGAAACCATCCCGACCACTGAAACCACAATAAGGTCATGAATACAAATCCTGGCTGGGTGGGGGTAAACTCAGCACACCATCCCTGTGTAGTCAATAAAATAGGCATGCCTGTGTAGGGCATTCAATGTAGCTCACCCATCAAAGTCTCAGGGCTGCTGTTGGGTGGTGAGACATTTCACCTGGAATGTTTAACTTGACCACACGACTCACCCAGAAACCGCTGCTGCTTAGCGCTGTCTTCAAGCCAGTTGGGCATCACGATATTCTTGACAACGGAGATGGCCGTTAAAAACTTGACGGTACGAGTCACCTTGTTGGCGACCAGGTGGGTGCACTTGTGCACGCTTTCGGCGACCTCTCCACCAAGGACATAAAGTTTCTGGCGGAGCAACAAGAGAAGGCGATGTACATTGGGAAAACAAAAAAGTGTTCTTTTGAACATGAGACCTTACCATCAGCCCCACCAAAACTAAGCACCTGCCTGGGTATTTTGTACCATCGGACACTCCACCCCCACAACTCCCAATTGGTGATAGGGCAGTTGTGGAGAGAGTGGAGAGTTTCCCATACCTGGGCAGTGTGCTCATGCCCGCTCCAGTTTAACAGCAGAGGTCACACTCCGAATCAGTCGAGTGGCATTATCTTTTCATCTGTTACGTAATGCTGTGTGGAAGCTACCTCGTCTGTCGCTCCGCACGAAGCTTCAGGTCTTCTCGGCCACAGTCATTCCCTCACTTCTCTATGCTTGCGAAACGTGGACCCCCCCTAATGGAACATCTTCCCCGATTTGAAAGATTTAGGCTGGCCTGCCTACGATCCATCCTGGGGTTAACCAGGATGGATTGTGTGAGCTCACAAATCCTTGAAAGATATGGACAAAGTCCCATCGGTGAGCTCCACCGGCAGGCAAGGCTGCGTTGGCTGGGTCATGTAGCTCGCATCCCTAAACAGCTTTTGTTCGGCCGGATCGAGGGGGCTAAACGGGCGCGGCACGCGCTAGGGAAGAGATGGAGTGATGTGGTACAGGAGGATGTGGAGCTGAGTGGACTTGCCGATGACTGGTACCAGCGGTGTCAAGATTGGCATCTGTGGAGGAGGCTAGTGAAGGACGCTAGTGGGCAGTTGGAGGCAGTAGCCCTCCAACAACAACGGAGGGCGGAGGAGCGACGCTCACAACGAGCGGAGCGCCGGGTGGCTAAAGCACAGCAAGTTGGCACAGTAGGGGACACAGGTGGTGCGCATCAGCCAGTCATCTCAGTCAGTTAACCTGTGACATCTGGGTCTGCCCCGTGACCTCCTGCTAGCGGGCGTTCGACACTTCACATGGCTTTAAAGTGCACATAGCCTGGCACAAGCGTCGTGGTGATGTCAGCGCCACTTAGTGGCGAATGGTGGTTGTTGATATTACAAGCTGACTTAAAAAAATTCGCACTGCTGCCATCTTTTAATTTAGTACATCAGTAAAATGGTAGATTATTAAAAAATGTGACTTTTTTAATGTGAAACCTTTCAATACAAAATCAACGAATATTTTAGGGCTAAATCTCAAATTATAGGGCCACGTGGCACAGTTGTTAGAGCTTGCAACTCACAGCCACATGCTTGTAAGTTAAAATCTGAGACAGGGGTTAATTTTGCCCATAATTTCTGTGGTCAATTATAAATTATAATAGTACCTTTTTCATGTATGTATGTAGGTATGTTGAACTTATTTCACATATGTCTACTGGATATCTGTGAAAAAGAGCTTCATAGCTCATCGGATTTCTCCAATCTAAAAAACTATTCTGTAATAGCTATTTTTGGCAATACCTCAGCAATACAAATTGAGAGGAGCACCCACAACAGTATGAAAAGGCAGGCACTTTGTCTGTGACCTTACACATACATATCTGCAACAAAGCATGCCTGTGGCAGTGAATGATGGACGAAGGTGTTGACATTGGCAATGCTGTCAAGGTGGCCAATAGCACTGTGTGGATGAAGTGTGCCTGCTGCATCTCTCACAACCTTCATGTACTCGTGCACTTGGAAGAGCTCAAAGCCAGTGAAGATCACCCGGTGAGTGGAATCGCCCGGTCCACGGCGTTGGGAAAGCAAACCCTCCTCCAGCCTGCACATGGGAGCACGGGAAGTACGGAGACATGATGAAGAATTAGTGGTGTCAATCAAGCAATTCATGAGGTGTCAGGCATGAAAGATGGGATGGATATACAAAAGAATAAGGGCTATTTCACCACTTCGAGATAAATTTCATACAATGGTCTTCGACTGCTTGAATGGTTCCCACAGCGGTCATGAAGGACTCTTGCCTAAAACAACAGGCATCCTGGCAACATTTAAAAGCCAGTGTGTGCTGATGAGAAACTGAAAGCCAAAATTAGTCCAGAGGTTTCACAGTTTAAATGTTAATAGCAGATACTGGTCTAGAAGGTCCTTTAGCTGAGGGACCTTAATATGACTTGTCAGTTTAATAAAATATTTTGTATTACTTTCATCACTCACAATCCACCAAGACGGTGCATAAGTATTCCGTAAAAAAGTAATGTTTTAAAGAAAAATGGCATAAAAATACTAAAATTATTAGTTAAAATTAAGCTATCAATTAAAATCAAAAGTGTATGAGCAAATAAAATATTAATGGCCAACTGCATACTTTCAAAATGTGAAAGATTATCCAACACACTGTGTAGTGTTAAGGTAAGGGAATAATTTGTGGCTATAGTAACCAGTTGGGCATTGGTATGCAAAGAGCACCCAATAAAAGATTAGAAGGCCATGAGTTGGCTGAGCCCATCATTCAAATGCAACTTATAAAATGATTACCACTTAGTGGGAAGTTGTCTTTTGGAAAAACGGGTCCCTGTCATAGGGATATCAAATTTCCTCCAGTCAAAATTTTTGTTGTAGACGAATAACACCAATGCACATTTAAGTGACTCAAAGTGTGTTTCCTGTTCTAATGAGCAATGTGTTTGTGAGCAATGTGCTCTTTAGATAAGCAATGTTGTCATTAGAGAATGGAGACACTGTGTGACAGCGATGAGTGAGTCGTGGAAATTCCACTTTCCCATGGCTGGAGCCAATAGTTTGGATTTTAATATCTTATCTAAAATAAACATTAGGCTTAGGTATAAGGCGTGGGGTAATACATATATAGCTTCCATATATTTGAGTTTAAAGGCTTACTTAAAAAGGTGACGATAAACAGACACCATCATAAGATGAATTATCTGGCATGTTTGTAAAAACAACATGTCAATCTTAAGCATAACTTCTTAAAAAGTTTTACGACCCGAGATTTTTTTTTATCACACTGAAAAGGGTTAGTGGCTCTGCTGTTATTGAAAAGAGTGGTTATTGGGACCTGTGAGGGTCCTTTCGGGATGGCAATCCAAGTACAGTGGTAAATAGGGTTCAAGATATTTTCATCTGTCATGTAAATCAAGTAGTACATGTACATGTGTTGCAATAACCTACATCACTACATATTGGCAGTGATTTGCATGAACACAGAGTTATCATGTTACCAAGGGAGTGCCCATTAATATATGGGCATTCCTCGATGAACGAAACAGACCTGTTCCTGAAAAGTTGTCCATAAAGTCAAATTCCGTATATATCAAACCTATTTTCCCATTGGCTTCCATTGTATAATTAGATATGCGCTCCTACAAAAAAAATTAGGCCGAAGGCGTAACAAAATCGCACTTAACAATGCAGAGTATTTTTTTAAGAACACACCTTAATTGGCAATTCAATACATGTTATGATAAAATATTAATACCGAAAATAAGTCACGAAATAAAACATACTGTACAGTACATACTTACATCCAAGGTAATTGCTTTATGGTCTCTTTTAGCACTTCTGCTATGACTTGCACTTAATGGCCTCTTCCCAGACACGTTGACAATTTACTGAAGAACGTTATAAAAGGGTAAAATCGTGCACAGTACTGTGTACCAGGCGTGATCAACACAAAGGAGTGAACAAAAACAAGACGAGTCTGAGCGGCATGGATAGTGCTGGAACCCAGTGCAGTGTAAAAGTGTAGTATTCCGGCTAAGTGTTGCTCTTATGGTTGCAGAAGATTCTGGATGCATCAATAACATTCCCTGATAAAAATTAAAGCAGCAATACATGTACACTGGAGCTAAAAGCGTGTGTGAAAGGGGGACAGTGTAAATTTTAAAAATGTCATGATGGTACCTGGGTTTCTTTACAGATGACTGAATACCATCCGAGAGTTTTCTTTTGGGAATATTTCTGGATGCCTGAAATGTAAAGCAGTCAAAGGTTAAATGGTTGCGAGTCGGCAGTTTTATTAGACCGCACAAATTATTGATGGCATCAGCATCCCTGTACTGCTGTGATTAGAAAATAAATTTTGAACATCAGAAAGATTATGAACGACAGGGGCCAATTTGGCCCACCTTGTTTGTTAGGCCAGACCAGAAAACTGCAGACAAGCTGGAAAGAAGGAAGCCAGGAAAAAGCACAATCGCCCAAGCTCTGTGGTCTGCAAAAGAGGGGGGTCAGATACTAGTGATGTATAATCTCAATTAAGTTATATGCGGGAATAAATTAAGAGTGATTAAAGTACGTGACATCCAACTTCAGAATAACTCAGCTTATCATCCCCCTTAGGGGTGGATGAAATGAGTGAGCACTTTGAAAGGTCAACAGTGGTCATCTGATGGAGAGATTTGTGTCTGCTTTGAGAATGAGGAATTCCCACCATTGATTCAGGGTTACGGGTTTAGACGAGCACTGCACCATGTGCACTTAGAGCATGGAGACACTAACTTTTTGGTCTAGAGTTACAGGGTATCCATGGAAGTATCATCCATTGTTTTTTTTTAATATAGAAAGTTATACAAATATTTTCCTTATGGTTGGAACTATTGGCAAAAAAATGTGTAAGCATATAATTAGAGTAATTTGCCTATTGAAAAACTACCGATGGAATGAGAACGTGGAAATTAAACCACTGGCTCAGGGGTGCTTTGGAATGCTAATTTAAGCAAACAACATATGACGATCTTCTTGGTTCTTTCGGTAAAGTAACGTAGAAGGGAAATAATACAATTATAAAAATAATAAATAATAAAACATATGACGAGCGATCGCTGTATAGCAAACACTTTAAATCGATAGGTGTTTTTCTCCACGAATAAAATATGAAATGGCTAACGTTCACTTTAGACGACCTCAAGCTCATGCTGAGAGTAGTCCTGTCATCCACGACTTGACTTCTCGAACCCACAATGATTAGCTAGTAATAAATCACCGACATTAAAACTGTACCATATAATATTAATTACTAAACCAAACTGTCTACTTTTAAGTAAACGAGTAAGAGTAGTGTTCTTTCCTGCTACCCACCCCCTATGCTAGTGGTTGAAATTCCACATTCTCATGGCAGATGCGAATTCCTCCACTAGCCAGCTACAATTTACATCCTGAAAAAGTGCAAGTAATTTTATCAATCCTGAGTGGAAGATCGACCTCTGACTGGGATTTTAACTCGCAACTTCCAATTGTACGTCACACATTCCGACCACAGGGCCAGATAAAAACCATCACAATCTCAAAATATAACAGAGAGAGAAAAGGATGATGGAGCTAAAAACAGCTGAAACCTGCAATGAACACTATTGGACTGCAAGGCAGCTTCAAGCCTGCTTGCATTTAGCTCATCCTTCCAAAGCCAGTCACTGAAGACCCTGAATGGTTTTTCTACCAACTGCCTATTCACTGACACTATTAAGGTGTAGGTCACAAAATCATAACTTGCCATGGCAGAAAATGTGATTCCCAGATTCTCGGTGCACGTCGGTCAAGGAGCACACTAAAAGTGAGGTTGTTAGACTGGCCAATATCACCTTGAAGCCCAAAATGTGTGGCTGCAAGTTATCTAAAAAATGGGAATATTTTAAACAGATTGCGAACCCATCTGTGGAGAAGTTTGAGTGTTAAAACCTTGCATGCATGAGTTTTGAAGCTTTCCTACGTCATTAAATGATACTCTACTGCTCAAACAACTGTGGATGATCTTTGTAATTACTCCCATTTTAGAGTTCCTCCACTGTTATGCATTTCATTGTGCATAAAATTATAATTAAATTTGGTACACTGAAGTTTTTATAGCAAAATATAGGACTGGGTTTAGGTTTTTGTTAATCTGTATGTAGTTTTTAAACTGCAACATTTAAACAAATCCATTATTTCTAATGGAAAATCACTAAGGTTGAATGTATAAACGAAATGATCACCGTGTTATTATTATTTTTATTTAGTTTTTCTACCTACGTGACTTTACCGAAAGAACCAAGGAGTATGGATTCCTGCAGTCACGAAAGCTTCAAATCAAGATATCACCGTGTATTTATTTTTACTCAAGTCAATGGCGACGAGGGGATAAAAATGTCCAAGCGAGATGATGACGGAGCCTACTGCAAGAGACAATTAAGGAGTCTGAATGAAGGCACGCACGTTTGTAAGTAATTTAGATACAAATATAACGTTTGATCAATGCATTGAGTACGTTAGTGGTGGGGGATGGGCGATAGGAGATGAAAAGGAGGGCGGAAATGTTGTTGACTTATCCAACGGTAAAATCAAACCTGAAAGCCTCATTCCTTTGACATGGGAGAATTAACCGTCGGCAATTCTGACCATCAAGCCTACTGCTTATCAATGTTGATGTTTAATGCAGCATTTCTATGTAATTAAGCATGCAACTTTTCCATGCTTAATTTACACAGTTGTGGGAATTTTTTTTAATCATGCTTTTGTTACCACTTCTCTCCCCACTTGCCAAATGACCTATTGTAAATTTCATATGCACTAGCTGTGCAGCGGCTTCAGACTCCAATGCATTTTAAAGCTATTTAAATTCAAATTGTGTAGCATTATGCAACCCTTCATTCATTGTTTCGTCATTATTTAATCCACAATATCACAGATAAAAGTCGAATCTAACCCACAGACAATGCAGTGCATCAAAGAATGGGATTTTGGGTGACAATAATTGGATTTTTCAGGATATGGTGAATTCTATTGGTGGAATTCTATGGGGACAACTACCTAAACATGTGCAATGGTTGTGTATACATCGAAATGCAAAGAAACGCTGGAATAAAAGAGTTATATTTACTGCACGTGGAACAAATATTCATATGTAATCATAAAACCACAAATACAACACATTAATTAAACATTGTAATCTAAATGAACAAAACTATACATGAATATTGATTATTCACAAAGTGGAACCGTCATGTTTCTGGTAAAAAATTACGTGAAATGTGCATGAGGACAAGATCTTTAGCTGTTCGCCTGCATGCTTGTTACTAAGAATTGCAAACGTCCACAGGGCAGAAGCAAAAACTTACCAGTAGCGCTTCTTTTGAGATTCTTATTGGAACCTTCCAAGAAACTATTGTGGATTTCATTGGAGAAAAAGAACATCCATCATTTAAAGTTAAACATTAAAATCTAAAGTTTATATTGAAAGCAGCGTTTTCAAAATGAACACATTTTAGAAATGTACAATGACCACAATAAAACACAAAATATAAGAACCAAAGAATACAAAATATATATGCCCAATTTCCATTTTCTTTACAGTAAAATGCATTTAACCAATGTCAACATATTAGATTTCTTAAGTATTAAATATCATTCATTGCAATGATACAATCTGGCTGGAAATGTGTTTCCATTAAAATAAAACAAAAAAGACAACAGAAGTACCTGGATAGTGTATAGTGGGTGTGTGGCAATTAATTGCAATTAAAAATACAAATAGTAATTTATAGAAAGAATCATTGTTTGGGAGTTGACATACAACACAATGAAAACGTTTGAAATGGTCCATAAACACATTAAAAGTATTTCTATATAATTTACACAAGCTCTCAACATGTCCTATGGGATATGTCAAGTATGATAATTGTTTGTTTACCTTTTATCTGCCAACAAAACTGACACATTTTTTACAAGGAGTCATGTTTGCATTGACCACAATACCTGCGGTCGGAATGCAAACAAAAAACACAACTCTGATAATGTATGCACTGTCCTTGAAATTGATTGATCCACACCCGAGACAGCTTTTCTTCGAGCCTAGTCTCACATGGTGTTGGACCAGATGACGCCAAAAAGGTGCAGCCCTCAGCCAAGTGCAGCAATTCCACATTCCTATGGTGAGACCGGTCTGTCACGAGGGGTGTAATCAACACACGCTCAATGCTTACCAAGCAGATTGGCCACCAGCTGGCGATCTGGAGCGAAGGGGTCTGCGAGGCTGAAGGTGGTGTAGCGCACATGCTGAGGCTGCCTCAGGGCTTCTAGGTTTCCCGCGAGCACGTCGCAGAGCCAGGTGATGTTCACGCATGGCACACGCCACTCGCGTGCCTTCTCAAACTTCATGCCGCTCGGGCTGCATGCATTGGTGACAGATGGAGACGTTCACATGATTAGCACTTTCATAGGCAGACACAGGCAGACGTAATCGATTTTTAAATCAAGTCGTGACGATTTCACACATTCAAGGTTTTATTTTGCACACAAAAATATGGTGGGGACGAAGGCCTCCCATGCCATGTTGGGCATGGGGGTTCTTTGACCACAATCTCGACCACACTGTTGTCAGTGCGGCTTAAAATAAGCTTTCTAGGTTCATTGCGCAAAGTGGTGATGCAGTGGTTCGCGCACTGTGCTATTGAGCCGAGCGGTCGGAGTACGGCTCCTTAAATCAAGGTCAACTAAAATTGATTGTTAGGTTGTGCGACTAAGTCAGGTTGCTTCACATTGGTAGAGAAAAACTCTGCAGTGAATCGGGTAAACTTGACTTGCAGAGTGGCTGAAAAAACAGCACCATTCCTCCTCAAATTCAATTTAGCACAAACTAATCACTGCAAATAAGAGGTCTATGGATAGCTTAGGAACAAAAGTTAGTCACAACAACAGACAAGGGTGCAATTCCAAGTCACTTTTTGAATGGTACAACCTGAAGGGTTTTTTCTCTCTCACCGCTGAATACCACTAATTTTATACATAAATAACGCATCTCCTCGGAGTAAGCTGCTAAAACCCAACAGCATCTTTCAACAAATCAGATTTGAAATACACTGGGATTTAAATTAGAGGTCAGTAATATATTTACAGTATATTGCCAAATGTATGTGAATATCCCTATATAGCAAAGTATTTGCACATGCTGCTGCACAGAGCACTGTGAGTTATTGAGTTTAAAGTCCAAGCATCAAATGATGTAGGCTGGAAACTCAAACATAAGACCTATAGGGAAGACCTTCAAGCTCAAATTATTCTACAATTATGAATGGAAATGCCTTTACACAAGCTTAATAATGATGTAAAATCCCCCACCATACATTTAGTTCCGAATTAAATTAAAACAAACATCTTCCATTCCAGGTTTTTACTGAAATATAAAGATATTTTATATTATTCAAACAAATATATAAGCCTACCAAATGTAAGTATTCCTTTATACTTATATTAGGAGGCTCAGAGATAGAGTGAACAGGTCCAGTTTGGAAGATTGAAAGTTAAAATCCTGGTTAGGGGCTGACTTAGCCTATCATCCTTCTGAGGTGGATAAAAGTAGAACCAATTTCTGGAGAAGTCAACAGTGGTTGTCCTATGGATTACCTCGCCACCGCCATAGAAGCACGGAAGTTGCACCACTGGCTCAGCGCTATGCACAGGATATGAGTACCATCTTCGAGCTTAATTGAACAAGGTAACACTGACAATTCCTTTTTGAAATTTTCTTCAAAATTACATTTGCTACATATCAATTGGAATGTTCAAGTTACCCAAGGGCAACACAACAAACCAGCATAACACATCTTAATACCAATAATTATTACGGAAGATAAAAAAAAAATGCTTTCTAGAGTTTGGTTTAATTGGCCTCTTGTCCCACACAGGAATTGTTTAAAATACAGTAGATCGAGCGCATCGCTATACCAAGCAAGCAGCACAAGTCGCAAAGCATCTTCAGAATATTAATGACCGATGTCAAAACGGGATAATTGTACATAAAAATATAAACACATTAAATCATGCACAAATGCTCAAGGGGCCAAGAGAAGTGTTTTCCATTGAATACAACCTAAAGAGAAAACTAATGAGGCACAATGTGAGTTACAAAGGGTCTTCTAGTTCAGTGTCGATTCTGTGAACCCTGACAACCCCGCATGAATAAAAATATGGAAGGTGAATGTGGCAAAAATTGAATCAGTTAAGAGCTAAGGCCTCCATGTTTAAATGGGCACGGGACAGTGGCTGTCTGCTTTTGCAGTTCTAAGCCAGAAGAAGTTCCACCTTACCATTGCTGGCACCAGCATATTCGCGCTTGACTTTCTATAAAGAAGTGCTCATTATAAAGACGCCAAAGGGATAGGGGATAGTAAAGGGCGATTTGCAGATATTGTGGGTTTACTCTCCAACACACCGGTGTGCTGAACGTGTAACGAATTGGCATGTTTGTTTACGTGACAAACCTTACTAATTGGCTGTATCGGGTGGTGGCGGGTTTAATATTTTCACAATATAACACACAAAAAAACTATATTATGTATGGTATTGGTCGCGAAAGCCTACGTGTTAAACTATAGAAATGTGAGAATACGTTTTTCTCCTTTTTTCTGGCAACAAAACAGGTGTTAAGTTGTTAAAACACCAAACTGAAACCTATCACAAGGAATTATGTCTGCATTAACCACAATACTTGTGGTCAAAATGCAAACCAAAAACATACTCTGATAATATATGCATTGTCTTTGAAACTGATTGGTCCACACCAATCAGTTTCCATTACAGCTAGATCACCTCTGTTGCACTGTGTAATGTATGAAGGGGTCGAACAGCGCAGCTCGTGCGGCAGATAGCCCGCTCCGCGCCCAGATCCCCACCAGCTACAGCCACAACACCTAAATTGATTATCCATTTACATTCACTAATTCTTACCATCCGTACCCGCCATCTGCCACCCTCTAAACGTCCCCCCATCTTCCCGATGTGACTCTTTCAAACCTCATCGCCACCCATCCACACTCTAAAAACGCCCTGGAATTCCCGTTCAGTCTGTAACAAGCCCACTTCTACCCGAGACGCCTTTTTCTCGTAAAACCTTCAAGTCCTAGTAATTACAGAAACCTGGATATCCACACTTCTGCCCCAGCTGCACTTTCCACATCCCGCACCAACTTCATCTATTCCCCACGACCATCTGGCAAGCCTGCTGCTCTTCCTTCATTTCCCTATTTCGAATATGAACTATCGTCTTTATTTTTCCCCTTTGCAATTTCGAATTCTTTACCGCCGCCCTGGTCAGCCCTTCTCGTTCGACAACTTGGATGGACTTCTCTCCACTATCCTTCCGATCTAATCTCTGTTGATTCTTCTGGGTGACTTTGTCCTCGACTTTAAATCTCTCACGAGTTCTTTCAACCTACACCTGGTCTCCTCTCCTCCGACCCACTCCTCTGGTAGCACGCTTGACCTTATCTTCACTTCCGCTTGCTCAGCTTCCCATTCCCTAGTTGACCCATGTTCTCCGTTCGATCGCCTATTACTGACCATGACACTCTCAATTCCATGCCCCTCACCATCCAGCCCTTCATTTGCCCCCACACGCCTCAGCCGAAATCTACGCTCCATTGATCACTCTGCACTTCATTTCCTGGTTTCCACTAACCTACCGCCTCTATCTGATTTCTCCTACCTCCACGCAGAAAAAGCATCATCCATCCTACATTCTGCACTATCCTACTCATTAGACACTCTTGCCATCCTAATCATCCTCCTAGGCCTTGGCTAACACCTGGGCTAAAGATTTTAACGTCACCTCCTGGAGCTGTCAAACATCATCTCCAGAACTCACCCAACCTTTTCCTCCCTTTATCCCCTACCGCCTTCCTTGCTTCCATCTGCCATCCCTACTATCCTCTCATTCCTCCTAGCTCTTTTCAACTCTCCCCTTTCATCTTACATCTTCCTCCACTCCTTCAAAACTACCATCATTCTACCCCTTCTGAAAAAACCTTCACTAGATCCTTCCATCCCTGCACACTATCGCCCTATTTCCTTGCTTTCCTACTTTTCCAAACTCCTCGAACGCCGAGTTCACACCCAACTCACTTCCGACATATCTTCTTAATCTCTCCATCCCCTCCACCAGTCTGGTTTCCGTCCATTCCATTCCACCGAAACCGCTCTCCTCCACATGGACAACCAATTGTCTAACTCGCGTCATTCGGACCTTTCATCTGTCCTAATTTCGCTTGACCTGTCTGCGCCTTTCAACACTCTTGATCACTCCATCCTCTTATCCACTGTCTAACCTCTGTATCTCTGGCACCCCACTTCATTGTCTCTGCTCTTACCTCACTTCTCACTCATCCAATGTCTCTTTTAATCATGGTTCTTCCTCCCCCTCCCCCATCATGGTTGGCATCCTCCAGGGTTCTGTACTTTGTACTCTCCTAATCTCCTTCTCCTTCTACACATCCCCCCTCGAGCCCATCCTTTCTTATTCTTTGGGTCTTTCGGTAAAGTCGCGTAGATAGGTTCAAAGAATTTCAATTTCTCGTATCACCTATTTGCCGTCGACACAAATCTTATTTTCCTTTAAGGCTCTTACCCCTGACCTTTCCGACCTTATCTCATCCTGCGTAATGGCCATCCGAGAATGGATGACACAACATGTCCTTTACCTTAACCCTTCGAAAACCACCGTGATCTATTTTCCCGCCACCCGCTCTCCTTCTCCTCCCCCCTCCATCCAAATTCTTGGCGCAACCTTTGATTCCTCATTTCCCTTCACTTCCCACATCGCCAACATCACTCACACATGCCGCTTCCATCTTTTCAATATCAGGAAAATTCGCCCCCTCATCACCATCACCGCTGCCAAACTTCTTGTGCACTCCCTAGTCTTCACTCGTCTGGATTATTGCAACTAGCTCCTGGTTCTTCTCCCTGCCAACGCCCTTTCCCCTCTACAACAAATTCAAAACTCAGCTGCACACACCGTCTTTAACCTCCCCTTCACCTCTCATTGCTCCCCTCTCCTTTAACAACTTTACTGGCTTCCTATCTATCACCACTGTCTCTTTTAATTGCTCACCTTAGTATTCAAAGTTTTCCATGGACTGGTCCCCCCTTACCCCTCTTCTCTCATTTCCTTATATGCGTAGTGAGTTCAACTGAGTCACAGACGTTGTTCTTTAGAGGCAACACATTTATTTGTAATATCAACACGTAACACAAAGGGGTAACTGCCCCTTCAGATACAGCCTAGGGTGGTGGCCACCCAGCTAACTACCCTATACGGAGGAGTTACAGCTACGAAGGGTCGGGCCCTCACTCGGGTCCCCGACCACGTGTTGATATGCCTCGTAGGATGTAGAGCTTCCAGCTTGTAGACGTAGGGCTTCCAGCTGTCGAACGAAGAACCCCGGTCCCTCTCAGGGACCCGCCTTATATCCCCCCGGGTCGGGGCCGGCTCCGCCCTTGGCCCCGCCCTCCTTCTCGAGCGTTCTAGCTCTCCCCCTAGCCCCTCCACCTGGGGCCCTCTCTATGGGCACTCCGGATCATGTGTCTACGGGGTTAACCAGAATGCCATGGCCCGGGGCAACCCTGCTCCTGGGCTGACACTCTCCCACTCCCTCTGGTGGGAGCCGGCACTGCACGCTATGCGTGCTGGCCGCGCTATCCCAGCGCTCACCAAGCCCCGCAAGGGCTGGTACTACACCCGCCTACGGGGTGTACACGATGACGGTGCATTGCACGCCACGGCCCTCCCGGGCCGGCACCATACAGTGACATCCTCGATGTCACTTATTTATGTCCCATCATACCCGCTCTGGTCACAAGCTGCCTATCTTCTTGCTGTCCCTACACCCTGCGCCCAATCTCGCTTTCACTCCTCTCTGCTGGCTTGCCCCCTTACACTGGCACAAACTCCCTCTCCACATCCGCTTTCCTCTTTTCGCACTGCCCTCAGGTCCTATCTGTTTTATCTTGCCTTTACCCATCTCTTCCGCCACCCCTACCAGCAACACCTAACACCTTTCCAGCCAGAGCCTCAGCCTCCACCTCCCTCCCTCCACCCTAGTCACTACCCAATCCCCATCCCTTATCTTGCCATTTTGTACCGTAGTCAGTACGCATTGTCAAGCACCTTGGTTAAAGGTGCTTTATAAAACCAAAATAGAATAGAATAATTATGCCTAGCAATCAGATTACTTGCTTGAAGGTGATAACATTTTAAAATGTGCAGCATAATTCGGGTGAACACTTGTAAACATACAAGTGCATTGAACTTCACATTTAGATTGTTCGATTTTTGCCAATTTTCTTCAAGAAAAAAAATTACCGGCACAGGTTTGTAGGAGATTCAATTTAAACAGGTATATTTAAAAACCAACTTCATATATTTTTTCCATTGATGTTGCTATATACTCAACTCTCGTATAGCTTTAAGCTGTTACACTAAAACATATATATATGGGCCAACAAATCCTGGTTATGAAAAAGCATTACATGACAGCTGTTATTACATATTAGCACAAATGATCACTTTACAAATTAACACTTATTTTAATACTGTGAACCGTTAAGTTCCTGTCATATTTGCCACGCACAAAATATATAACTTTCAAGAATTCTGCACTGATTGTATGACAAGACATTGTTTTGGAATATTAATGAGAACCTCTCATAATTTCTTGTTGTAACAATCATCATCTTCCTATGCACTAATATTAACTGGGATCTTTAGATTTTTAGTAAATGTGCAATTGTTTCCTAATTAATATAAACCAACAATACAGCTGTACATGCTAGTTTTTGGCATTTCTCCCTCTAGTTAATTTCATAATTCACAAGCTACAATGGATTGGTAGTGGCCTTCATCCAACAGTGGAATGATCATGGGGGAAGGGGGACTGAAGTCTTAACATGATTTTTAAAGTACTAAAATTTTGATGAAGCTCTTTCTTGGTGAATTTACACTTTAATGTACTCGAGTATAACTTGATCATGCTTTTGGAAATGTTGATAAGGTTAAACGATCCACTCTCCTGAGCATTTTATTTCCCCAATTCGGTATGCAATTCACACTCCTCTTCCAAATGTGGCACTTCAAGGTTAGGCTTGTGGTTTAGCACATTACAATTTGAAGTTGTTATATGAACCTTATGGCGGGACCCCGGGCTCCCAAAAGCCCCCAGCTCTCGCATAAACTGCGTTGCGACGTCATTTTATGTCAGTTGAAGGCAAACAATACGGCAATGTATTCCTCTGGCCGAGCTCTACACGATGCGCTAATCAAAGTTTCAAAGTTTTTATGACTTCTGCTGCGCTTGGACGACATGACAACAGAAAGATCTACGCCAGGTGGGTTGCGAAGTTTATGTGCGCGGTGGGACGGAGTTGCCAAAAACAAATGAATTAATTACGATTTTTACTGCCGTTTATTCGGGGTCCCGCCATAAGGTTCATAGGAGTAAACCAGTCTCTGACGTTTTCAATTACCTATAAACACAGCAGAACCTCGAGAAAATGTTCATCAGGGTATGGGAAAGTCTGCCAATTTCATCTGGGAACACAGGCAGGCATTTCATGCTGTTTGTTTCTCCATCTCCCTGTATATCCGATGCTAACATCCATACCTCTCGAATAATTGCTTCTCTCAATATATTTGTGCTTCGTCTCTCTGTGATTACGTCTCTGTACCTTGTCTCTCACTGCGTCTTGTCTCCGTGCTGTGTTTCTCTCCGCTTCTATTATCCTTACGTCTCTGTATGGCGTCACACGCTCGGTGCGTGAAACGTGTCCTTAGGCAGTACATTATTTCCCATTTTTTGTAAAGTACTATTTCTTACTTTTCTTAAAAGCTCTTAGACATTCCATTTTAGAGCAGCAACATAAGTAAATGACATTAACTGCTACTTGGTGTCACATATATGGTAACAGGCCCTGTAGTTAATGGCCCTGTCAAGATGCAAATATTCATAAAAGTCTGCCAATTTGATCCGATCCGATCGAAATCCCTAATTTCGATCGGATCATTGGGATTTATTAGTAATAAATCAGCATTTTGCGACCCCCACTGCCACTGTGTAGCATATTATTACGTGCCAGGGACTCTATGAGATGATAGGACAATAGTCTGAGTCCATAATTGGCGATAAGGAACAGCAAAGCAGTTATAAATGACTCAGAATTTTGAGCAGTTGTGTATGCAGTACACGACTTCCCTGAAGACATACCTTCAGCGAGCGCGATGCCGATCACACACAGTTCGAATTCGACCCTCGATCGATGGCTGCGCCATCGCCGCACACGCGTCAAATAAAAAGCAAGAGACAAGTCCTTACTTACTAACAACTCCTATCATTTTTCATTGCTGGAGGGGTTGCCCCCCGATCTGAAAATCCTGGCTCTGCCATTGCACCCAATGAAATTATTTAAATTAATTTGATTATTTTAAAAAAAATTACAACACAGCTAACTCTCAGTCATCCAGGAATAGGTTATCCAAATGGTGGATTTACAGTACTTGCGAAAAAAACATCTTAACACACTAGATTAAATTCTTAGGAGCTTCTCATTCATCGGCGCCTGGAAATCAATGACACAAAAACCTTTTCCATCACGGGTTTAATATGGAATGCATACGTCCACCCTGGTAAGGAAGATTACCAGCACAAAGTATTTCTACTATGTTTCTTATAAGCAAATATTTTGCAGGAAAATGTTCCATTTGCAATGATACAGTAGCTCCTATCGTGATGAATCAATCACACAATCCTGCACTTGGGCTGCCAATTGCCCAGAGCCAAATCCATATAGCTTTAGGGTTGGACAGCTTCTGTTCTGCTAAGGCATAGCATAAATTGAATGGAATTTTCCCCACATCACAAGAGGCCAGGGCTTTCACAGTACACATGTACAAGTGGCAACGGTATAAATTGCAATTGTAATGCATTTCAACAAATGGCTCCCGAGCTTGAAATGTGATGTTAAGCATAGGTTGCAGATAGAAAAAATCATCAGAGCTTGCACAAAGATAAAACCCTAGGATTAATTTGCTTTTACGCAAAAACATGGGAATAGTAAAACGCGCAATTGATGAAGGGTGCTCCAAAGTCAGCCGAATTGAATGATTGACCGAATATTGCATTTATTTTGAATGTCAACGTCTATTGGCCATAACACTTGGTTGATACTGCCGAAAGTCTACTGTTGAAATTAGGCAGTCATCCATTTACCCAACAGGGTTCTCAAATGTAGCGAGGTGACAGTATAAATTGGTCACCAATTACCGCACAGCATTTTACCATATTAAATTTAGTTTTTACTGCATTTGGCAAAGTTCAGAACTAAGCACTACACATTTGGCATTTTATGATACACACTACTGCAGACACAACCGAGCACAATTGTGACCTGGTTTATGTATAGCATGGATCCGGCCTACTTGTAACTTATGTGAAAATGTAGGTTGAGTCTAGATGGGGTTGAAATCTGAACTTACAATCAGACTGGTGTACAGTACTTCAAAATAACAGCAGATGATGGTTGTTAAAAATGTGACTTGTACTTTTATCAATGTTACTTAATTTTCCTGCGCATCTCTACATTTTCAGTTATTTCTGTGGTCATGTCAGGTGATATTTCATATTGTGACAATGCCTTCATTAATGTACCTATGACCAGCACAGACAGTGATGGGTGGCAATCAAAGAGGATTCAACAATACTCTTAGGTTTTTTCGGTAAAGTCACGTAGGTAAAAATAAATAAATGATAAAAATTAATAATACAAATAGGAATAATTATAGAAATAAAATAATAAATGACGACGTTTCGGAGGCAACACAAGTCTCCGTCATCAGGTGGGACCGTCACAGCTAGATTTACTGTATCAAGCTTTAAATATTTATTTATTAGTATTTATTATTTACTATTTATGTATTTTCCCATACGTGACTTTACCGAAAAAACCTAAGAGTATGAATCCTTGCAGTCACGAAAGCTTCAAATCTAGAAAGGATTCAACAATACCAGAAGGCACATTCTCTTCACTAAAGAATCATATGCAATGAAGTATAAAATAAATCCCTACACACAATAAATCAGAGTAAGCGTACCATGATTGTTGTCAATTTTGCATCGAGTGATGCATGCAGAAACAGTTTGTCGCACACACAAAAGAATAACAAAGATCTTACTCTTTGCAAACAAGCAGCGTGTTGCTCCGGCTGAGATAGCCAGTGTATCTGCCTCCTGTTAGTGCAATCATCAGCTTCAGCTCCTCCCTGTCTTGGTCCACAAACCCAGTTACCGAGATGATCTGTGCAGCACAAGAATAAAGCACAAAGGTCACTTAGCATTTGGAGAAATGTTGATGGAGTAAATTTCAGTCGAGGTGGCGCATACATATTTAAAATCAAGCACTTTGAATGCGGTGCTATCAATGTCAGACAAGCGCAACTCTCAAACTAAAGCGGTAGCAAGGTACCAATAGAATGGAGAACAGCAAGTAGGTTACTGACCTAGCATTGCAGTGTTTTGAGTGTAATTTCTCCAGGCACCTCACTTGATTCGCACATGCATTATTACTCAAGTTAAATGTATCAAAACATCCTAAGCGAGACCCTCTTGATAAAATGGCCTTAAGACTTAACTGACGTTTTGATGAGTGCGTTAGGATGTACTTGTGTTGCCCATTTAAAAATTTCTTATTTTAATAAAACAAAACAAATTAGTTGGTGATGCTGTGTCGGCAGTGGTGCACAGGCAAACGTTCGTCAATGTGTTGTGAGCAGTGTGCTTATGCAAAAAGCATTACTGACTGTTGTAACTGTATGTTTTTAAATGTTATTACCATTGAAAGAATTGCGTTTTTTATCCTATCTTGTTTTAAGTTATTATAAATGCATTGGATTTGTTCAATTACATCAAAGATATAATAACACTCGACATCTGCAAATGTCTTTTGGAGAGTATGCATTGAAAATTGTGTTGTGAATTATATACAGTCTTATCTTAATTATACATTCATTGAACCACATGTAATTCAAAGTTTGTTTTATTTGTATGTGATATGTAATGGGTTCATGTCACCTCTTCAGCCACTAGAGGTGTTATTATTGACTGAAAAGTAAAAACATTTTTTTAAAATAAAATGGTGACCAGGAATCGTGACAATTCTAATCATACTTTAGAAAAAAACAGTCTCAATGGGGGTTCTCCCATTGTAAAATGAAGTATATCAACGGGGATTAAATAACCAATTATCTGCCAATTCTGCCAGGTGGCAGTGACGGTATCCAACTCAATCAAAATAGCATGGGTTCAAATTCCAGAGGTTGGCTCAGCCCATCATTCATCTGGGGATCATATAATAATTACCAGCTTATAGGTAACAGTGATTATCATACGGGGATACTGGCAACTGCCACGGAAATGCTGAATTTACACAATTGGAAATATCTACCAATGAGCAGATGGTATTGCTACATATTTTCAGGGTCACATTGGAGGATTCACAATGTTAACACGTGTGCACAGCGAAACAGCCTGTTGTGGAATGGGGGTGAGACTTGCATGACTCGCGCAGGGCTTGGCAGAATGTTGCAAGGCCATGGGGAGATGCAGGGCGCGATTTGGAGGGATCACCCGTCTGCTCTTGAGCGTGTCATTGAGCCAATGTGCGGTCACACAGCGCTTGCCCTCCTTTAGTGCCTGCGCCATCACAACAGGTCACACTACAGTACAGTAGGCAGATACAGTGTCTGTGAAAGATGGGGGTGAATGGCAGCAGATTGTGTATTAGAGTTCAGACTCAAAGAGGATACCTACACACCCTACATACAATAGAGTGAGTAGTATCTAGTGACTCTATAGTATTATCTGGCTCTACAGTAGTAGTATCTACTGACTTTATAGTTGTATCTACTGACTATACAGTAGTATCTACTGAGAACAGTAGTGTCGACTGATTCTATAGTAGTATTTACTGACTCAATAGTAGTATCTATTGACTCTATAGTAGTGGTGACATCGTGAATGTCACTATGTAATGCCGGCTCTCGCAAGGCACGGCGGGCGATGCAGTCATCACGGATGTAGTACCAGCCCTAGAGGGGGCAGTGGCACCACGCATGGCGTGCAGTGCTGACTCCTACAAGAGGGAGTGTGAGAGTGTCAGCCATGGGATGAGGTTACCCTCGGCCATGGCACTCTGGTTGACCCTGGAAGGCACATGACAAGTAAGATCTACACAGGGGCCCCAGGTGGGGGCTAAGGGGTGGCCACGTGTCAGAGTGAGATCCTACGGGAAGGGTCGAGAAACGACAAGAGGTTTCTCGAAGGTGGTCGTGGCCAAGGGCGGGGCCGCACAGGGACCGGGGTTCAGCGTTGCTGTCGTAATCTGAAGATCTGCCATCTACATTCTACGTCCAAGAAGAAGTCACCAACACGTGGACGAGGACCCCAGCGAGGGTCCTGTCCGTTGTAGCTACTCCCAGTAACTAGCGTAGTTAGCCTGGTGGTCCACCACCATAGGTTATCTGGTAAAGGGGCAGTAACCCCTTTGTGTAAATGTGTTGGTGTTAATAAATATGTGTTGCCTCCAAGAAGTACGTCTGCGACTCAGTTGAATCCACTACAGTAGTATCCATTGACTATTGTAGTAACTACTAACTCTATAGTAGTATATGCGGACTCTATAGCTATATCTGCTGACTAAAGCAGTATCTACTGACACTACAGTAGTATCTCCCGACTACAGAGTAGTATGTACCGACTCTATAGTCTTAACCACTGATTCTACAGTAGTATCTGACTGTAGTAGTATCGACCGACTCTAGAATAGTATCTATCAACTCTATAGGAGTATCTACTAACACTACAGAGTGCCGTGGTGAGGCCTCGTTTGGCGGAGTGTTGCTGGCCTCGGCTAGATTACCCAGCCGGCCGAGGTGGCACCTTGGCCGACTGGGGCTGGGCTGCACCCCCCCCACCCCCCCAACGCCTCCCCACACCATCCCCCCCCATCCCCCGGCCGCTCTACAGTAGTATCTACTGACTATAGTAGTATCTACCGACTCTATAGTAGTAATTGCACACATTTGGGTGGGGGGGACATTACACTTCAAAATTTACCTCAGCGTTGTGCTTATGCTTTTTTGCGTTTTTAACGTGAAGTAGAATTTCTCCCACGTCGCCTCAGAGCGTGTACATTGCAAGGGGCTACCACGAGTCGGCGTCGCTAGGGGAAACCACGAGTCAGCGTTTTCGCGCCGCAATAAGCGTAGTAATAACAATAATTGTTAATTTAACTACTTTAAATTTGACGGATGGGAAAAACAAATAGAGCTTTTTTGTCCGGTGGCTTATTGCGTCATATCTGTATACTTTGTTGAAACATAAACCCAACAGTTTTGCAGTTAAAAGCGTCATAAGTTGTGTGCGCAGACACACAGACAGACAAAAAATGAATATATGTATAAGATGGTGGCTATGTAATTGCCGCCAGACCAATCACCGATGCATTCTAGGTGAGAATTCTTCTTTACCTGTGCAAACACTGGCCCAGTCTGACTTTCACATAGCAGGTGTGTGCAGCGAGGTGAGTGAGCAGCTTCCACCAGCCCTCCATTCTGAATGATTGCCTAAGGAACATTCAACACAACACATCACAGTCAAATCAAAGTATCTCTCCCCTCAAAACAAGAAATGTGGCAATGCTCATATCAGACAGTGATCCTGAGTCAAAAGTGGGAATTCCACATTTTCATTGTAGAGCCTGTCTCTCCAAAGACCCAATAAACCATACGGTTTGTAGGTTGGCTCTTGACCTCCAATGTGCGGTCAGGCCTGAACTGGACCAGCAAATTCCCAACAAAAAGGCCTGGCTCTCGAGGCGAGTGTGACTTCCAACCTTTTTCCACGAGTTGAGCAGTTGCTTGTCCAGCATCTGCTCCTGGTACTCGGCGATGGCGAACACACAACCGAGCAGGCAGCAGTCGCTTGGCGCTGTAAGTAAAATCAGACAAATCTAATTGTACTTTCCAAATTAATATGGTATGTCATCTTGTTTTACCAGGTGACAGCGATTGCACATTTACTGGGCCTGATTCGTATGAGTTCCAGCCAGGTGGAAGTGTTGGTAGAGAGCTTTACTTACAATTGGAAATTTACGAGTTAAAATCCAAGTTTGAGATCGACTCAACCCATCATCCCTTAAGTACCATTTTGTGGGAAGTCAACAGTGGTCATCATATGGAATTACTGGCATTGTCATTGGAATGTAAAATTCCTAACGTTAGCCCTGGGGCAACTAGGACATCAGCACTATGGTTCGGTAATTTGAGCAGGAACAATTCGTTGTTTATAGTTCATATTTGGGATGAGCAGCGGTTCTGCCTATATTTATTGGAAAATTGTTATAGATATGGCAGCATTCTGGCAATTTTTGAACAATGTAAATTAACCAGATAAGAATCTTCTGAGATTCACATCTGCTTTGTAAGCCAGGCTTGTAGGAATGTCAATAAAAGTCAAGTAGAAGGATAACATCATGGGACCTCCTTTGCCAGTACCAAAATATATGGTGTTAGACCAGAGGACGCCAAAAGGCACCTTTTGGCATCCTCTGGTCTAACACCATTTGAGACTAGGCTCCAAAGAAAGCTGTCTCTGGTGTGGACCAATCAGTTTCAGACAATGCATATATTATCAGAGTATGTTTTTTGTTTGCATTCTGACCACAAGTATTGTGGTTAATGCAGACATGATTCCTTGTAAAATGTTTCAGTTTGGTGTTTTAACATCTTAACACTTGTTTAGTTGCCAGAAAAAATGGGAAAACCTATTCTTATAGAAGGACAACAGTAAAAACAATAAACTCAATGCAAACACATGTCAAAATAAGGACAATGGATATCAGTGGTTCAACCTCAGTGGCCGTGTATCCCTTAACGCACCCTCTGTGCAGTACTCCACAGCACTGCTGGGTTGACTCGTTGCTGGCTTGACCTGAATGTAGGCCCCCTCATGTAGAGGCCTGGGTTCTCCTGGCCGGTGAGTCTCCAATGTGCGTGTGGGCACTGACATGCTCTGCAGCACCTGTCGCATGCACGCACATACCCAACATAGTCAAACGGAGAATGGACTCAAAGGGCACATGCACACACAAGCTGGGATGTTAATAAGATGTATATTGTACAACTAACACCTACAAAGGCTCAAAACACACATATAGAATAATATATAAACACTGGGATGTATTAGACTGCCAATTGATCCCTTTGACTTTTCTTAAAATAATCTCTGACATTCTATCAGAGGATTAGAGAATGTGGGTCTTGATATTTTCTACATACGGCCAATATTAAAAAAGGATACAAATGAGTCAATTTAGTCATGCCAAATTTAAAGTATCCCATTTTGAATTATTTTATAAATGAACCCCCTGGAACCCCAATGGCTGGGTGACCATGCTCGGAGGAACACCATTCACATGGACATGGAAATGCCAATCAGTCGTGTAGTGACACACTCAGATACAGTAACTACTTAGAGGAAATAAGGAATTGATGGTTGGAAAAAGAAAAGATAAAGTCATGAAATGTTGCAAAAGTTTCTGTCATTTCCCTATGCCTACATGGAATGCAATGTTCTAAACGTGTCAAGAATGTGTGGGATGATTACATTTATAATTTCATGTCAGTGGCTGCAATTAAAAGGGCAATATGTGACAAGCAAATCAATGCCCATGAGTACAACATTTGGAATGTTGTGCTCAATTTTAAACGACACTGCAACCAATAAACACACATCTGTGCTGTAAATACATTCGTAGCCTGTGTATATTACGGATGTCTGACAAATCTGAAGCTTTTTTGGAGAGAAAAAAATTACTGAAAGTCACAGCCACGTGATTTTCAGGTGAACCACCACCTTGCCCTCTCGTAAATTAGACTAATTATTTGGTGATGATGCTTTTTGTTAATTGTGCTTGGCAGTTGCACACAAGCACAATTAACAACCTCACTCCTCCAACCTTTCAGCTGCCAATTACTTTGAACTTCCTATCACCCAAAAAGCTCACATTTGTCAATAACACTGCCTTAAAAGAAAACAAATATGCAATAGGTGACTTTTAGACAGTGAATTGCCCTTCTTCATAGCACAAAAAAAAGAGGCCAGAGATATACCGTTACCAAGGGGTGGAGACTGCACTTAATACCATAGAGGCCTGATGACAACTAAATATAACAAATGTTTTCTGATATTTTTTTCTTTATTTAGCATATGAATAGTTATCTCGTTGTAGCTATTGAGTAATAGACAACCCTTTCAATAACCAAAAGGTATTACTAAACTCATATTAAAAGTAAAATTATAAAATGTTGTTGGCCCATTGCATCATAGGAAGATTTGTTCTTGTGAGGACACAAGGCGGAATCCACCCAGCAATGCACTCCTGGGCTCAATGCCCTCTAACAATGCAGCAGATAAACTACTCTCATATGCTATTACTGCACCGAGCAGCTGAAAAGCAACAACAAATAATCACTCATGTCAGTAGTATGCCACTACTCTGGAGAAAAAAAAGTTAAAATCTTCCAGCCAAAGAATAACCCATGTACTATATTACTATTTGCAGGGTTTGTTCATAAACATTGCCACGCAGTGCATCTGTTAAATAGTTCTTAGGTACCTGCACTGTCAACTTTTCAATTCAGCTTCAAAAAGCATAATTTTCCTATATGTTCTCTCGTGAAATTCAAAAATAATGCTTTTGTTTTTAACAATTCGTGTACAAAAAAAAGCCACGCCAAATCCTCTCTGTTGGGAAAGTGTTCTGTGTACTCACGTGAGCCACATTGGATGCCCTGGAGACCTGCAGTGCCTCGGCGCTGTTGGTGATGTTTCTCAGGGTCCTCACCATTGGACTTATCCCCGTGAACTCCAGCCCAGGTCCCGGCCTGTTCCCCCCCATGCTCATTGGTGTATGTTCTGGCCGGGGCCCTGAACCCCCAACCGCCCCCTGGAACCCCAATGGCCGGGTGACCATGCCTCCGAGTCCCTGAGCCGTGAGCTCAGAGACATGCATCTGTCTGGACATGGCAAATCCTTGCTGCAGCCGGCCATCCTGGGATGTGGGCATGGCGGAATTTGCTGCAAGAGGGCGGGCGGGTCTGCCTTGAACAGTCTGGACCCACACCTCACCAGATGGCAGTGTCATGACATCCAGCTGGAGCCGCCCGTTGGACGGAGACGGAAGAGCACTGTGGCTCTGGCGCATGCGAGCATCCATACTCGGCCGAATGGTGTGCAGGGTGCCTAAACTGGGGGCGGCCCTCGGACTCGGAAGGGGGATGCAAATGCCTGGCGGGGGTTGAGGAATCATCAGACTCTTGGAGGAACCAGACAGCACAGGTGAAGACTTTAACATTGCCGGTGGCATAAATGGCGGCCTCTCAATCATTGGTGTGCACTTTGATGATAAAGCCCGAACAGGCCTCTCGTTTGTCGGCCTCTGAGGTATGTGAACACGATGCAAATCCCCGACTGCCTGTTGTTCAGTCCGCCTTTCCTCCACAAACTTCCTGGATGGCGAGTCAGTGGTGCTCATTGGGGAATCGTCCTTTGACCGTGCGGAACCAGAATCTTCAAAGTTAACACTGCGCCCCTTTTCTTCTTCTTCTTTTTCCTCTTCGTGCTCATCATCTTTCTCTTCATCATCGACGTTGGGATCGTCACCTTCATGGTCGCTATCATTCGCAGTCCCCGGCTGCTCCAGGGGGAGCTCCTCCTCCCTCGGCAGGAGCACCAGGCGAGGGTGGTACTCGGTCTCCTCCTTCCTGCTCTTGCTCGCTACGCAGTCCACCACCCAGTCTGGAGTCACGACGCGGATGCGGCTGTGCTTCAGTGCACATGTGTACTTCTCCTGCACACAGTGTGGTACACGAGCGCATAGGGCACAAGCGCAGGCAGAAAACCCACTCGTCAGACAATGCAGAACAAAGCGTCACTTTGGCATCGGCTAATAACACATGATTGCAAGCATTAAATAACGCTGCCTACTAAATAACACCATCTACTAACATATATTCAGCTATTTCCTATCACTTTTTGCATTTCTATGGCAAAATAAGTGAAAATGTGTTTTCTGCCAAAATATTAAATCAGGTACTCAGTTACTGTAATCACTCAAGCCTGAATAAAGCTAAAGCGTGCATCATTCTAGATTAGAAGTTTTCGTGAATGCAGGGATCCATACTCTTTGGTTCTTTCGGTAAAGGCACATGACGGTAAAGGCACATTACGGTAAAGTCACGTTACGTCACGTTACGTGACATTACCGAAAGAACCAAAGAGTAGCGTGCATCATGACACAAAGACTTTCATTTATAAGGTGCGAATCGCATAACCAAACGTCAAAGCAGCTCTGCACAATTGGGGGATAATTAATTGGACAATGAGGGAAAACAAAGGAGGGTGGATAGTTTGGGCAAAAAGAAATGTTTTCAGCAGCGTATGATTTGAAGCTGAGAAGAGAAGAGGCGAGCTGAGGATGCGTGGGGACCGAGTTGTAGAGAACAGGGGCGCAGTCACTGACAGTGGTCATCAACAGTGGCACGGAGCGAGCGTGGGTGTGGTGGAGGCCAGGGCTAGGAAGGTGAGCGAAGAGGGCAAGCGGATTTGTATGGTTGGAATAAGTTACTCAGAAAGGGGGGGGGGGGGAGAAAACATGGAAGAACTCGTAGACTCAGAAAACGATCATTAAGTCAACCCTTTCAGCTAAAATATGTACACAAGCAAAAGCTTTGAAGTGATGCAAACAAATGATATAATTATCTATCAGACTGTACACAATGTGATTATACATTAGGATTGTGTAATGATTCCCCCCCCCCATGATGAATTTCATGACTTAGGGTCTTGATTTAAAAAATTCTGCTTCTGTGGTGAACACAGCAGTTCCAATAACTACTAGGTTTATATAAACCAATTAAACAAATATGTAAACAAATCTAATTATTGTAGCTTTTTCTCACAAATTTTTATTGTGTTTTTGACATTAATGCCATAAAAACGAACTTCTAGTGGAACTCTGCAAGGAGCACTGTATCACTGTGTAAGAGAATAAGCCAAGAATAAGACATCGAAGAACTAATTCTGAAATTGCTTCAAAAGACCCTTTGAAAAAATAACGAGGGATGCACCTGTTAAAGCCATTAAAATGTTGTAAGTGGCATACTAAATTAAATCAAAATGTATTACGCTCAAGAGATGGCACAGGCCAAATTAAATACAAATTATAATTTCATTGTGTTTGTTGCAATCATAGGTGAGTAGGCTGAACAGCATCTACAAAAGTAGTAGGATTGGGACCTCCTTTGCCAGTACCAAAATATAATAGGTTTTTCCCCTTTTTTTCTGGCAGCAAAACAGGTGTTAAGATGTTAAAACACCAAACTGAAACCTTTTTACAAGGAATCATGTTTGCATTAACCACAATGCTTGTGGTCAGAATGCAAACAAAATAACATACTCTAACCAAAAGCATTGTGGTTAATGCAGACATGATTCCTTGTAAAAAGATTTCAGTTTGGTGTTTTAACATCAGTGGCCAGAAAAAGGAGGAAAAACCTATTATCATATCAGTAGAAGGATTGTAACTTATCAAAATATTACCAAAAGCAGATAAGTAAGCCTCTAGTTGGCCAAGTGTCTAAAAGCACAAGAAGCAGTGGCTGCCCACTTGATATCTCATCTGCACCAAGATGACCTGAGCTGATAAAATCAAGGACTAGCATGACAGCCCTACATAAGACTTATTTTATTTCTTTTGCATAATTTTATTTCACTAAAACTATTAATTAATGCAATGTTATGAATACATTTCCATTCAGAACTCTCACAGTGAGTGATGCAATAACTGGCAGATACTTTCCATTGAAGAAAATCATAATCATCACAATCATTTCTTATATTGCACAAGTTTCAGTGTAATACAATTCACAAAGTGACAAGGCAATTAGTAAGTACAAATCATTATCATTTATTTTTTATATCAATCATGTCAATCGAATTATCCATACTGTCTTTATCACATATCACAATCAAAAACAACGTTTTAATCCTCAAGAGTTGGAATCAACCAATGTAATTGATAAACCAAATTTAATACGGTGGACATTTGTGTTATTATCAGTGAATGGGCTGAGATCATCAATCTGTTACACCAGAAAACGTGGTGAAATCACAGTTGGTTAATTATCCTGGACTGGAACCCAATCTGGCAGGAGTGCTGGGTTCAGTGCACCGACACAGAACTCCCCCAAGTTACCTGGCCAACCCAACGTGCAAGGTGATCGTGAGCTGGGTATGCGGCGATGCAGGCAGGACTTACCCCCTTGGGCTCGGGGATAACCAGGTGGGTGCAGCGCTTGTCGAGCAACAGCTGGCAGGCTCCACCATAGAAGGTGAGCAGTGCCCAGAGCGGAGCTCGGTCCTCCTGTGGGATCTGCAGACAGCAGTGGGTGACGGTGGCGGCGTTGTCCCGAGGGTACACAGGCACGCAGGCAGTAGCACATACACACGCACAGGCACGTGCACACGCACAGGCACATTGAGGCAACCACGCGCATTGGTACGCGTACGACGAGTGCGGCTTCGGTAGTAGGTAAATGAGTCAGGGGTATACATCATACGCAGATGCACAATATGAGACCAAAACACGCACGGATACCAAGTGGGTGACAGAACAGATGCATTTTTAATAACACCGGAAATATCCACGTGACCAAAACAGCGGGTCATAAATGCATCGCTGAGATTAAAAGCCCCAAAGTCCATTGATGGAACAGTTTGACCCTCGGTGCACCCACACAGTGCTTTGAAGGCGAGCTATGAAGATGTTTTATCAAAAGGTATCAAGAACACTAGTATCATCAAGGCTTGGCAGGATACTCACAAGGCTTGTTCACCTGTATTGGCCATCCAACACTGGGTGCTGCGACATATATTTTTAACTAGCTTTACTACCCGGCTTCGCCCAGGAATTGGATTCTTGTCTTGGATTAATACACGGGCTACGCGGAGGGTTTGGAAGGGGGGGGCTGCGTGACGTCAGCAGGCACACTGCGTAACGCTGCCGCATGCGGGTGACATCACAGATGTGACGTCACCGCTCACTTGCGTGCAAAATATATCCATTATTGCGCACCCCCCCCCCCAAAAAAAATACAAAAGTAATTTTTTATACGTTTTGCATTGTGTACAGTCTGAAAGCTACCCACATGCCCAATTTCAAGATTGTTGCATGTCGGGAAGTGTGCAAAACATTTCGAACACACACATTCACAAATTTCCTTTTTATATATATAAAAGACTAGTTGTACTTCCCGGCTTTGACCGGCACTTGGATTCACCACACCCGGCCGCCTTTGTCTCCCCAGTGGCAATGTTCACACACCACACCAGTTACTCGTTTGAGGCTGAGTCGACCTAGGGGAGGCCCAGGACCGTTAAAATAATCGTCACCAGTGGTGGCCGTGAGTGGGAATCGAACTCGGGTCGCCGGGTTCGTAGCGCAGTGCGCTAACCACTACACTACAATGCGTTACGCTTCCACATGTGCGGGTCACGTGACAGATTTGACGTCACAGCTCACTTGCCGTGCAAAAAAATATATGCATTATTGAGCTCCCCCCCCCCCCCCAAAAAAAAAATTGTGTATTTTTATAATTTTTGCATGGTGTACAGTCTGGAAAGTACCCACATGGCAAATTTCAAGTTTGTTGCATGCCTTTTATATATATGGAGATGATGTTGACCATAATTCATGATTCTATTAAAGTAAAATTAAGGGACTGGTCCAGAAGCGGGCTGCAAATACTTAGAGCTCCAGTAAAAATGCATCTAATGGTCCTGTTCTTACAAATTTTTATCTAACCTATAAAAGTAATTTTTTGTCCGTCTGTGTATCTGTGGACGTAACTTGTGATGGTTTTAACTCAGCAAACTGTGGGGTTCACGTTTTGAAAAAGTACCCAGATACCAAGCAATAAGCCCCGGGGTGAGCCAGGGCTATTCGTATTTAACATACATCAACTTTAAAGTAGTGACATTAACAAATAATGACTATTAATTATTATTTTGCTACGCTGAGCGCGCCAAAGCACGCATTTGCGCATGCGCATAAAAGCTGACCTGTGGTTGACCGAGCAATGCTCACATGCAATCGGTGGGGGCGGAGAAAAATTATCATTTGCGTAAAAAATGCAAAAAATTACACAAGACTGAGGTAAATTCTTCACAGTGTGATGCCCTCTTCTCCCCACCCCCACCCCAATGTGTGCAGTTACTACTATAGGGTCGGTAGATGCTACTGTAGAGTTTGTAGTTACTGCTATTGTAGAGCGGGCGGTGGGGGGGTGTAGCAGCCCAGCCCCAGCCTGCCAAGGTGCCACCTCGGCTGGCTGGGCAATCTTGGCGATACCAGGGAATCTGCACGGGACTAAGCCTCACCACGGCACTCTGTTAAGTAAGTAGTTAACTGCTATAGAGTCGATAGATACTATTATAGAGTCGGTATATACGATGATAGAGTCGGTAGATACTACTGTAGAGTCGGTAGATACTATTAGAGTCGGCATATACGATGAAAAAGTCAGGAGATACTACTGCAGAGTCGGTAGATGCTACTGTAGAGTCCTTTAGATACTGCTATAGAGTAAGCAGATACTGCTATAGAGTAAGCAGATGCTACTTTCGAGTCTGCAGATACGGCTTTAGAGTCAGAAGTTACTACTATAGAGTTAGTTACTACTAGTCAGTGGATACGACTATAGAGTCAGTAGATACTACTACAGTCAGCTTATACTGTTGTAGAGTCGGTAGATGCGATAGAGTCAGTAGATACTGCTATAGAGTCAGCAGATACTACTATAAAGTTAATAGTTACTATTATAGTCAGTGGATACTACTGTAGAGTCAATAGATACGACTGTAGATTCAGTAGATACTACTAGTCATTATATACTACTGCAGAGTCAGTATTTACTACTAGGGGGACCTTGGAGGCCACGTGGCCAGAAGCAGAGCCTTCTCGAGGGTTCTCGAAGGTGGGCGTGGCCTGGGTGTGGCCTGGCCACGCCGAGGCGCATTTAAGGGGGCTCTGCACCTGGTGCGGGGCTGCTCGGGTCTGGGATGAAGATGCCTCATGAAGACGCCTCATGAAGAGTCAAGTCAAGCCTCAAGTCAGCGTGGCCAAGCAGTAGCCCTCCTGGCTTGGCCACGCCAGTTGTTATCAGAGTGTCAGTGTTAGCGAGGATAAGTCGGTGGCCACCACCCTATGTGTCGCGTAATTACACGTTGTGTTAATAAATAGTGTTGCCTTCCCATAACAGTGTGTGCGCCTCTATCGAACCATTTCACTACTATAGAGTCAGTAGTTACTACTATAGAGTCGGTAAACACTACTAGAGTTGGATAGATACTACTAGAGAGTCGGTAGATACTACTCTAGAGTCGGTAGATACTCAATAGAGTCAGCAGATACTACTACGGTCATTAGATACTAATATAGAGTTAGTAGATACCAGAGGTGGGACAAAGTCATTGTTATGCAAGTCCAAGTCGAGTCTGAAGTCATCAAATTCATGACTCGAGTCTGACTCGAGTCCAAGTCACATGACTCGAGTCCACATCTCAGAGGTGGGACAAAGTCATTGTTATGCAAGTCCAAGTCGAGTCTGAAGTCATCAAATGCATGACTCGAGTCTGACTCGAGTCCAAGTCACATGACTCGAGTCCACACCTCTGGTAGATACTACTGTAGAGTTAGTAGATACTGTCAGTAGATACTACTATGGTCAGTAAATACTACTACAGTCAAGTAGATACTACTGTAGAGTTAGTAGTTGCTACTATAGTCAGTGGATACTACTATAGAGTCAGTATTTACTACTATAGAGTCGGTAGATACTACCATAGAGTCAGTAGATACTGCTATAGTAAGCAGATACTGCTATAGAGTCTGCAAATACTACGATAGAGTCAGCAGATACTACTATAGATTCAGTAGGTACTACTATAGTCAATAGATACTACTGCAGTCAGTAGTTACTACTATAGTCGGTAGATACTACTATAGAGTCGGTAGATACTACCGTAGAGTTGATAGATATTACTAGCGTCAGGAGATAATACTAGTCAGTAGATTCCACTATACAGTGGAACCTCGGTATACGTCGTTAATTCGTTCCAGAAGGTAGGACTTGTACCGAAAATGACGTATACCAAACAAATTTTTCCCATAAGAAATAAAGGGAAAGGAAATAATCCGTTCCAGAGAAAAAGAAATAATATTTAATATGGCATATTATACATTAATGGGGTTGTATAAAATAATTTAGACACTAATTACTAAAATGCATACAGAAGCCACGTGACCGCGCTGCTACCAGCTGGGCTGGTCACGTGGCATGCCTCAAACCCGCCCGTCGCGCACGCCTCGACCCGGGGCTCCACCCTCCATGGGGGCAGCCCCCCACGCCCCCCGCCCCCACGCCCCTCTCCCCCACGCCACCCCGCCCCTCTCGCTTTGTTTTAGTCGTGAACGGGGCATACGCGGGTACTGTACGCGTTGACTCATTCCGACCCACACAAGTTCTCGCAAACGCGTCGTATCCCAAGCAAGACGTCATATCCCAAGACATTTTTTCTCTCGAAAAAACACGACGTATACCAAATTCGACGTATTCCAAAGCGGTCGTATACTGAGGTTCCACTGTAGTCTGTACATACTGCTGTAGAGTCAGTAGTACCGACTATAGAGTCAGTAGATACTGTTATTGAGTCAGCAGATACTACTATAGATTCGGTAAATACATTAGGGTCAGTAGATACTACGGTCAGTAGTTCCTACTACAGTCAGTAGCTACTACTGGGCTCAGTAGATACTACTGTAAAGTCAGTAGATACAACTACAGAGTCAGCAGATACTATAGTCAGTATATACTACTGTAGAGCCAGATACTATTGTAGAGTCAGATACTACGATAGTCACTAGATATTACTCACTCTATTGTATGTAGGGTGTGTAGGTATATATGCCTACGCGGGGGTAAAACATTTTTTTGAGGTGGGGTCGAAAATTTTCAAAACCTTTAGATCAACTATTTTCCCCCCACTTTTTGGACTTCTGTAAGCCTCTTATAATTTTGGTTTAACACGTAGGCTTTCGCGACCAATATTATTCATAATAAAGGTTTTTGGGTTAGATCGCGTTATTTATAAATGTGTCGCAACCCTCCACCACCCTACACGGCCAATCAGTAAAAAACGTGTCACCTTTACAAAAGACAAATAATTCACTACTTCAGCCCACCGGTGTGTTGAAGAGTGAATTCACAACATTTACAATTTTTTAGTACTACGTTTCGCTGGTAATTACATCCAGCATCATCGGGCGATTTGCCAGAATAGTGAAGCCCTCCACCTGCTCCCCGTCTTAAATAGAGCAGCAGGGTGACGTCATCATTTTACCCAATGATGTGATTTCAGTAAGGTTCCAGTTAACTAGTCGCTTAAATTACTTGATACACTAGTAAAAAATGCAGGTTTACCAAAAGATATTCCAAAACTACATGACCATTGTTTAAATAACACTTACTTCTTATGGAGAGGTGATTTCTTTAAACAAAAGGAAAGAGCAGCAATGGGCTCTCCATTATCTCCTGCTATAGAAAATCTGTACATGGAAAACTTTGAAACAAGAGCACTTGCCTCATGTACATTAAAACCATCTTTTTGGTCTTTGGTAAAGATACACTTAATGAATTTCTAAATCATCTCAATGCACAAAACCCAGCCATCCACTTCACCATAGAAACGGAAGTGAATAACAGACTCCCTTTCCTAGATATTTTGCTTGGACATGGCCTAAATGGCAAAATAACACACAGCATATACCGAAAGTGAACGCACACCGATGCCTATTTGAATGCAGATTCACATCATCACCCAGCTCAAAAATCCTCTCTTATCAAGACGCTCATACATCGGGCTAAAACAGTGTCAGATGGTGAAAGTCGAGGGAGAGAGATTAAACATGTTAAAGAAGCACTAAGACAGAATGGCTACAATAATGCTCAAATTAACAGAGCATTGAATGCCAAATCAAGATCGAAATGCAATACTATATCTCAGGAGTAATTGACAAATTAGCCTGTGTTTTGCAAAAGCAAAACATTAAAGTAAGATTTAGTACAGGACACAAAATTCAAAAACTAGTAACTTGTACTAAAGACGAATTACCTAAATTATCAACAGAAGGTGTATATCGGATGAATTGCTTATGTGACAGATGCTATATTGGACAGACGGGACGCAACATCAGCATAAGACTAAAAGAACACCAAATAAATATTAAATTATCTGAAACACAACTGTTGGCAGTGGCAGAACATGCTTTCCAACAAGGCCACTCAATTGATTTTGATAACGTTGAAGTGTTGTGTAAAACTAATTATTACTGGCCAAGACTAATTAGAGAATACATTGAAATTGAGAGAAATAAAAATAACTTGAATCGCTCTGACAGCTACAGGCTTAGTGCGGCCTGGAAGCATATTATTAAATAATACATATTACAATTCCTTATAGGGGAAACACATACTAACGTAGTATATAATTACAAGAACCCCCCTACGCCACCTCTGATTTGATTGGGTATAGTGATTGGGTGGTTCAGTTATTAAATAATACACATTACAACTGATTACTAATCTACAACTAATTAATAATCTACAACTGATTACTAATCATAACAAGTAACTGCTTACTAATCTCCATATATATAAAAGGCAAAGTTGTGATTATGTGTGTCTGTTCAAAATGTTTAGCGTACTCCCTGACATGCAACAAACTTGAAAATTGCCATGTGGGTACTTTCCAGACCGTACATCATGCAAAAATTATTAAAATACACTTTTGTGTTTCTTTTTGGGGGGGGGGGGGGGAGCTTAATAATGCATATATTTTGTGCACAGCAAGTGAGCTGACATCAAATCTGTCACGTGACACGCGCATGTGGAAGCGTAACGCATTGTAATGTAGTGGTTAGCGCGCCGCGCTACGAACCTGACGACCCGAGTTCGATTCCCACTCACGGCCACCACCGCTGACGATTAGTTTAACCGCTCCTGGGCCTCCCCGAGGTCGACTCAGCCTCACACGAGTAACTGCTGTGGTGTGTGAACATCGCCACTGGGGAGACAAAGGCGGCCGGGCGTGGTGCTGTCACCCGCCTCCTCGTGTGCCGTGCCGGCCTTCATAGGTGCTCGCTAACAGCACTTGCCCCCTACAGTCTCTTCTCTTACCTATTCAAGTCTCCGCGCGCGTGCTCTTGCAAGGGATTTGCCCCTCGAACGGTGGCCTTTACGTCCAAAAAAAATTGCGAGCCAGCACGCCCTAAGCCCCGCGGTGGGAATAGGACATTCCCTTTTCACGTCCGTCACCTTTCAATTAGTTTATTTAGCGTTATTTTTTAGATATTTATTAAACTGTAAGGGTTAATTTGCATATTATTTATTTATTTCCCTTCACCGCACACTGGGTCACAACGCAGATAGCTGCACATGCGCCATCGCCCAAGGTAAGTCGCACTTTTTTGTATGATATGCTTTTAGATAACACGTAAGCCCCACTAATTTGTCTTATAAGCATTTATCTCATATACTTTGCACTGCCCACATGGGTTGCCCCTAGCAACGCACACACGATCGCCACAAATTTTCTTTCGCCTTAAACATGTAGCTAAAACACACCAAACACGTACATTCCTTCACTGTGCGAATGTCCTCTTCTCCCCACCACACCCCAATTATACCCCAATGCGTCCTGAAACTACTATAGACCCCCTACATATCATTATTATAGCGCTTACATCACATTATTGTCGTGTTGCCGGGGGGACCAGCCCAGCCCCCAGCCTTGCCAAGGTCACACCTTGGAGGGCTAGGAAATCTAGGCGAGCCCGAGGGCTCTGCACGGGACTACGCCTCACCACGGCACTGTCTGCTTACTACTTTATGCTATACATTCCATATATACTGCTATACAGTCAGCATGTACTACTGTAGTGCTAGCAGGTACCACCAGTCACTATACACTGCTGTCATCATAGCAGGTACCACCACTGTCGCTTGCCCCGCTCTAATAATAGCAGCTTACACCACAGTATGCATGCACTGCTGTAGGGAAAGCAGGTACCACCACAGTATGCACTGCTGTAGTGATAGTGCATACCGTGTGTGCGTAAGTCCATGTGTGTTAGTCAATGTGTGTGCGTGGTGTGCGTGTGTAGACAACTACTCTTTTTTAATTCAGTTACTTCTTTTGACAATAATAATGCCTGCGTGCAAGTCAATGTGTGCGTGTGGGTTGATGTGCATGTCTGCGGCGATGTGTGTGTATAAGTCGATGTGTCTGTATGTGTGTAAGTCGATGTGTTTCTATATGTGGGTCGATGTCTGTGTGTAAGTCCATGTGTGTGTCTGCCTTTTGCGCCCGGGCAACGCCGGATACTTAATGCTAGTTCCGTATATATTGCTATACAGTCAGCATGTACTACTGTAGTGCTATCAGGTACCACCAGTCACTATGCACTGCTGTCATCATAGCAGGTACCACCACTGTCGCTTGCCCTGCTCTAATCATAGTAGCTTACGACACAGTATGCATGCACTTCTGTAGGGAAAGCAGGTACCACCACACTTTGCACTGCTGTAATTATAGCAGGGACCACCACAGTAACTAGGCACTGCTGTAGTTAAAGCAGGTACCAAAGTCCGTATGCACTGCAGTAGCTAAAGCAGGTACCACTACTGTATGCAGTGCTGTAATCATACCAGCTACCACCACAGTCACTATGCACTGCTGTACTGATAGCAGGTTACACCACAGTCACTAGCCACTGCTGTAGTGATACCACGAACCACCAGTCGGTTTGCACTGCTGCAGTTTAAGCAGGTACCACCACTGTCCGTGTGCACTGATGTAGTGATAGTGCATACCGTCGATGTGTGTGTGCGTAAGTCCATGTGTGTGTGTTAGTCAATGTGTGTGCGTGGTGTGCGTGGTGTGCGTGTGTAGACTCCTCTTTTTAAATTCAGTTACTTCTTTTCACAATAATAATGCCTGCGTCTAAGTCCATGTGTGCGTGTGGGTCGATGTGCATGTCTGCGGCGATGTGTGTGTGTAAGTCGATGTTTCTGTATGTGTGTCAGTCGATGTGCGTGTGTGTTAGTCGCTGTGTGTGCGTCGCTCCATGTTAGTCAGTGTAAGTCCATTTCTTTCTGTGTGTTTTGGTCCACGTGTGCGTATGAGTCCATGTGTGTGTCTGTACGTACATGTGCGTCTTTGTACGTACGTGTGTGTGTGTGCGTAAGTCCATGTGTGTGTGCCTCTACAGTGAGGCAAAAAAGTATTTGACCCCTTGCTGATTTTGTACGTTTTCCCACTGACAAAGAAATGATCAGTCTATTATTTTAATGGTAGGTTTATTTGAACAGTGAGAGATAGAATAACAACAAAATCAAGAAAAACGCATGTCAAAAATGTTATAAATTGATTTGCATTTTAATGAGGGAAATACTTTTTCCCTCACTGTATGTGCGTGTGGGAGTACATGTATGTTTGTGTCAGTCGATGTGTGTACGGCAATGTGTGTACGGCAATGTGTGTACGGCAATGTGTGTATGTGTGTAAGAGTCCATGTGTGTGTGTGCGTCGATATGTGTAAGTTCATATGTGTGTGTAAGTTCATGTGTGTCTGTCAGTCTATGTATGTATCCTCTGCAGACACAATCGCAGAAATCGTGGCTTTAGTGCAACAGAACTGCAGTAAAATACACACCAAGTGATCTTACCTGTGATAAACATGCTGTTAACCCCAAGAATGGTTGACCCGTGTCTGGAGAGAATCCCGTTACACTGGCGATGAAGGTCCGTCACAGAAAATAACAGGAACACACAGGAACACCACCAACATGCAATGTGTACAGTGCTGATTTTCAACCACTTAAAAAGCATTCCACATTCACTAATCTCCAGAGAAATAATGTATGTAGGTATGTTTAACTTATTTCGCACCAGTATGTAGCCAACCATGCTACTTGGAGGTGTGGGAAACTAAGCGTTGAGTATGGATGAAATTATTTTGTTTTAACTTTCGACCAATTATATTCCAATTGTGACATTTGTCTTGACATGAAAAATAAAAATCTCATACAATTAACCCTTTTGTCAATACAGTGCAATTTGGATTTTAGCACAGCTGGCTACAAACGGTGTGAAAGAAGTTCAACATACATATACAGGTAGTCCTCTACTTACGATGGAGATGCGTTACGACGACCCCATCGTAAGTGGAAGATGGCCTAGCCTACCCAGGAGTCTAAAAGAATGGTGATAATATAATTTAACAAAACAGAGCAATCTACAGTACCGTACTGTATAAACTATATTCTGTATGTATTTATTAATTGCAATACTGTATTGCACAGTAAAATGTAAAGCAAAAAAAACAAAGTAAATTCTTAGCCTACCTATATGAACTGCAATTTAATCAAGTTTTTTCAGGAAACAATCCTATCTGCTATAAAAACTTTTAAAATGCATTGAACGTATCGTATCGTGGTAACCTTAAAATGAAATCGCTAAAGCTACGTATCGTAACGTATCATATTGGACTGTACTCACCAAGATTCTGTCCGTCGTCTGCATACTTGAACGATGTTAGGTTGTTGATGGCAATTTTGTCGTATCGCTATCGCCATCGTAAAATCGAAATATCGTAAGTAAGACCATCGTAACTCGGGGACTACCTGTATATCAATGTTCAATGTGATACACATGTGAACCTGATTTAATCTCTGTCGGCTGTCTAAATGTCAACCTAGAAACAAAATGGCTCAATGGCTCTGTGCTTTTGGCAAGGCACGTGTCTCGGAGAAAACCATCCACCTGATAAAAAAAACACTGCTTCGGCATAAACTACTATTTATTATAAAGCAACCAAATATTTTTGGTTAAAACATAACATTATCTACAAGGATGAATGTTGTCGATTTTTTACATAACACCAGGAATTATGAATATTTGATGTGGTCCTCAATATATCCAAAAAGGATTCTCAGAGTCTCAAGACTAAAGATTTTCTGCATCTCACGGCTCATTGCGATGTTTAACCAATGCCTTGTGAATAAACCAATGCACTCATGAGGATATAAGACTGTCCTTCCCCCGCACCTCTTATGAGCGGAGTTCGTTATTTACATTGCGAAAGTTCAATAACAAAGCTGATGTACTGCCCTCTACTGACCACCTCATAGGCCTGCAGGTAAATGTTTGACAGTGAAAACTCCAATCTCATGTTCAACATGTTGGATTACATTACCCTGTTGGTACTAAAAGGCCTGGATAATTTTTTGTGTTCAAACTGCTCGTAAAAATCATATTGGGGGAAAAGGCATTTTCTAAAGTATAGCAAATATACCAAAAAACTAACAATTCTATGACACTGTATTTCATATAGTTGATTTATATGTACGTGTCAAAAAACCTCAAGACACATACGTAAGAAGGCCTATCAATTACCCTTTAATATATTAAATGACAGTGCCTTCTTTAAGAAAGTTTTGCCAAATAATCATGAAAACTATATTATAACATTAAAGGAAATAATATTTACAAAAGATATTTCAGGATAAATGCAGTATATCGATATGCGTTCATACCACAATATGCAGATAATTTAAAGTGTCCCGAAACTCAACCGAGTATTGTGCAGTTAATGTGCGTTGGTGGTCCTGAGCCTGTGGTGGAAATGACATTCCTCTGCAGGGAGATGGAACAAGTCTGTAAGACCACTGTTGGATGGCTGGCAAAATGGCACTCATTGTATCATTACCATATAATGGGCTAAGTTGAACCCGAACAGGATATGAGCTTTCAAGCTTCCTAATGTGTGGACACCTCCTGGCACAGCATTTCCCGGTCAGACCATCATCTGCAGGAAGTGGTCATATAAAATGTGAACAAAGGTTGAAATTTTCGAAAACCAATTACCAAAATACAACTTCTTTTGATTTTCAAATGTGACTTTTGTGTTGACATGTTGATTCTGCATGTACAATATCTGATGGTTTGCGATGCACGCAACTCAATGTTCTTTTGTTAAAGGATACGGCAGCAGGACTCCACATCTCAGAGACAGCATCACCCACGATGGCTGAATGGAGAAAAAAAAGCCACAGTGCATTAAAACAGATTTAAATGAAAAAAATTACATTCTAACTTCATAATCATGTTTAGATATGGACAGTGCAATGTTTTCTAGCATATTCACATCAAATATGTTGTACAATGAAACAATGGTAAGTTCAAATAAAAATAAACTATTCAACTATTTTTTTATTTACCAGGTAAGGCCCACTGAGATATACAGTAAAACCTTGGATTGCGAGTAACTTGGTCTGTGAGTGTTTTGCAAGACGAGCAAAATTTTAAATGTTAATTTGATAAATGAGCAAGGTCTTGCAATACGCGTAGTACGTATACGCTGTCTGCCGAGCGTCACGTGATCACAACTGATATACGAGTGCTTTGGATTACAAACACGTTTCCGGAACGAATTATGCTCGCAATCCAAGGTTTTACTGTATAGTTCTTTTTTATAAAGGACCTGGCCACAAATGATTGCTTGAAGTGTCGGCTTATCATCTGGAAATTTCTAGCAACCAAATACTCTAAACGCATGTTGATTCTAAATGTGGAGGGAAAAATGGGAAGACCCGGAGAAAAATCCACACGATCACGGGGAGAACATGCAAACTCCAAATATACAGGTGTCTTGGTTGGGATTGAACCCACACTCTCCTATATACCAGGCGAGATATTAAACATCCAATACACCAAACACCAGATACACCATTTCTAAAAAGGGTCTACCCAATACACAAGCATATTATTTTGCACACAAGCCTAGTATATCTGAAATGTGTCCAATGTACCATTACTAATACATGTACAATTTAACGAGTGAAATCGCAACATGAATATGAATGACACTTGTGCGCAATATTTTAATGAAAACGAGATTAATTGTCTGAATGGAAACTGAAAAATATATGTAAACTCTTGAGCATGAAGGTCATCTCTTTGCTTTCTCTCCCTGTAGCATTTCACCCCCCACTTCCCTTCAAATATCCCTCTTCTTCAAAATAGTGACAATTATGTGGCTCTTTCAATACAGAATTTTGAGATGTGGTTAAATGTAAGTGCTTCAAATAATATAACCTTTATAACATCTTGCCCGATGAATCTGATTGTAATTATCAGCGAAACGTCGTACTCAAATTAAAAATGCTGTTGATTCTCTCTTCAACACACCGGTGGGCTAAAGAAGTGAATTATTTTGTCCTTTGAAAAACGTGACACATTTTTTACTGTTTGGCCGTGTCGGGTGGTGGAGGGTTGCGACACATTTATAAATAACGCGATCCGACCCAAAAACCCATATGAATAGTACTGAATATTGGTCGCGAAAGCCTAGGTGTTAAATATAACCTTTAGCCTCATCTGTTATTTGCTCTTATTAAATTGTCTCCACTACCTTTAATTTCTTTGACATAGTTTTAAGTGTTTTCCATGATGTATCGATTGGCTAAAACGTTTGCTAAAATGGATTAATTATAAGATACCTCAGTCCACCTAAACGCTATTTTTTTACTCTATGGGTCTCCAAACTCCAACACGTGTGACGCACTGCTAATTTTCACCCATGGTGCTGAGGCAGCTGAAGGAATTCTCCACTCCTACGAGTGGTCAATCTCTCAACACTTGCGACTTCCCACAATATCCCAGTAATTTATTAGCCAATGAACAACCACAAATGCTTTCCACATAATATCATGTTGTGATGGTTAATTGTGTAAAAAAAACTTTTTTTTACAGATGTAATTTCAACCCGCTGCATTATCAAAGGAATATTGCCAATTAGTTTCCAATAAGTAAAAACACTAAGTCCATTAATGCAATTTCTATAGCCATTTTTATGAAATGTTGTGCTTTGTCAAAATATACAAAAATATCCAAATACTGTAAACATGGTGGGCAAGTTAGTTGGTCTTACCTATTCATCTACGATCTCCTAAACATCGATTCAAATTATTGAGGTTTATTCTACTGGCCTGGAGGGGGTTTACCTTTTATGAGGTACACGATTTTATCTCCCCTAAATAGTTTTTATTACTTATGTCTGGTTGTCCCTTCCTTTGACATACACAAAGAATGGAAAGTCAAATTATAAGCATGTAATGTACTGTGACCTTGCAGAGCATGAATATCCTGAACCTACCTTCACCACGGGTAGATCAAACACCTCACGGGCCTCGCTCACTTCCGCATGCTCGCCATCCTCCGAAATGACATGCGATGCCAGCGAGAAACAGGACGCTTCCTTCCCCTTGTTGTTCTTTAGAAGCTCCACCACCTGTAGCACGAGCAGTGCACATTGAGGTATCATCAGTCACATGCAAACGAGCAATGTAGTGGTGCTCTCCAACATTGGTGGCCCTGAACCAGTTGTGGGTACGGGACATTTCCAAATCGGGAGTCAGTCTATCGGTAGGATGGGCACTGTTCACTTCCCACAAAGCAGTACAAACTTTATCAATGCAAGATAAATTATGGGCTTTATCAATTCCTGAATGCGAGTCAGAATTTACGATTAACGCCATCAACTGTATGTTGAACTTCTTTCGCACCGTAAGTATCCAACCGTGCTAATCTTTAAAATGACCAGCTATTTTATCATGTTGTCGCGAAGGTTGTATATTGAAGACAAAAGTCAGTGTCTCCCTGCTCAATTTGAGCATTGGGATGGCACTTTTCTATACTGACGGCCAACTGTGTCAGTGGTGGAAATTCCACATTCTCATTTCAGGGGATTATTCTCTTTATACAATATACGCCCACTGTTAACCTCTTACGAAACATTTTCATTATGGGCCCTGTGGGTATGGCCATGCTAAGGCGACCCCACCGTTATTCACTACACAGAAACAAACTTTAGAGGCAGGTAGAGTCCCCTGACGTACTTTTACGTGCCTATGTGTATGTACGTGTTCGCGCGAGCAGCAGCGATGCGGTGGTTCACACTTTACTCCAGTCTCAACAATCAGTTCAATTCCAAGTGGCACGCAAATTAATGTGGCCGAGACAAGAGTGGGGAGAAGGGAGAGAAGACGGGGCTGCTAAGAGAGATGTGTTCCGTGTTGGTAGGCCTGTGCCTCTCCGTGCATGTATCTATTGCTGTGCCCCTTCTCTATGGCTTTACCCGTGGCAGTACTGTATCTCTCGTCTTTCTCCGTGTACCCTGTCTCCTTCCCTTTCAATGTCTCATCGTCGCTTTGCTTCTCTACGTGTCTCTGTCTCTCCAGGTCTCTTCATCTCTCTCTCAATATCCCTCCATACGTCTCTTCGGTCCCTCTCCGCGTCCCTCAACGCGGACAACAGTCACCCCGGGGAACTCCCCGACCCCGTGCAGCCTTTCCCGCGCTACAGCCGCGCATCGAGGCCCCCTTGGCGGCATGGGTTTCTATCCGAGAGCGGCGGCTCTCCGACCGCGTAGGCCTCGCACCTTCTTGTCGACGTCGCCCACCACGTAGAACTTGACGTCCTTGAAGAGATCATCGGGGGTTGGCGGCTGTGCCCCCTGGCCCTCGGAGGCCATGAGTGGATGTCGGGCGAAGAGAAAGCGGTCAAGCTCCGTGTTTTTCCTCCCAAGGCAAAGCGCGGGAGAGAAAGGCGGGAGATGGCGCAATCCACTGCGTCCCCGGACGTGGGGGCGTGTGTCTGTGACGTCATCATACATCATACGACCCCGCAGTCGATGATGGCGCAAACCATTACCTAAACACCCCCCCCCCCTCCCACAGGCCGGTGGAGACGATGAAACAGTCCACTGCGCTTACCTTATATGGGTATGGATGGCGTAGTCCATTCTGAGTTTCAGTCACGAGGGGGGGGGGAGTGGTTAGGGGTTAGACTTAGCTTGACAACATTTCATTACGAGGCTGGTCAATGTAAATGTGGAGGTAGGTTTTTCAAAACAGTAAGAGAAACACGGAACCAGGTTCTGCTAACGTATTGTATACAAAATACTCCACAACAACGCATAGTTTGTATCCAATATTGCGGTTTGAGTTGACCAGGGGCGCGTAGTGTAGATGGAGTACTCTTGCCAATAACTGCTGACAAACCTAACAACATTTGTTTAACACGCCTGGCTGCTGGTGAGATGTAGAACGTTGAAACTGGAATATCAATAGGCCGGTGGAGTAAAATTTACATTTTATATGGGGAAGCTCAGGAGGGTTCTATTTTGTATCCACAATGGTCCACAACAATGCACAAACAATTCGTGCCATGGTCATTAGTTTGCGCTATTTTAGCCGAATATTCTGAACTGGCCATCCGTCTTGGACGCAGTGGGAGTGCCTGCAACTTTAAAATTGCTGGATATAAAACGTTGTAGACGAGGTTGTGGTTGACTTTCAGTGCGGTCCACCTCTGCTCTCCTTGCCGTTTTATAAATCTGTTATTACAGGCGACCCCCGCAGCTATACGACCTAATTGGTTCCTGGACGATGGTCGTAAGTCGAACCCTTATTTACCTTAGGCTCAATGTTATACATTGGGATTCCGTTCCTGAAAACCCATTACATACCATAAAAAATACCAAAATTGACCACGAAAATAAATGAAAATAACCCTAAGTAAACATAACTTTAAAATAAATGTATTAAGCATAAACAAACACATTTGAAAATGCTACAGTAATTTTCTGCACGCACAGCACATATCCTCTTCTCAGACGTAGCGAAAGGTGAAAATGTTTCCAAATTTGAAGAAAATGTACAAAGAGGCGAAGAGCGCTGCTTGCCAAAGATACATAAAGAAGATACACCTCTTCGTCCCATTGTCTCTACTATCAACTCCCCCACTTACAAACTGGCTCGTTTTTTGTCCGAAATCCTACGGCCTTTCACTGGAAAAACCACCTCTGCAGTACTAAACTCTACTGACCTGGTATCGACAATCAAGGGGATTGCCCTGTCCCCAGACGACCTGCTTGTCAGTTTTGATGTGGTTTCCTTGTTCACCAAGGTACCTGTGCCTGACACCATCGCAATCATTGAAGACTTGGTTCATCAAGGACTGAATGCTGGGGTACCCCCCCTGGTGAAACACTGCTTAACCAATACATACTTCACCTGGAATGGAACCTTCTACAAGCAAATTGAGGGCACCCCAATGGGCTCCCCCCTATCTCCGGTTGTAGCCAACATCTTCATGGAGAAATTTGAGACGGACGCTATCCAGACTGCCACTCTACGCCCGACCTTATGGAAGAGGTACGTAGACGACACTTTTGTCATCTGGCCACATGGCCGGCCTGCTCTAGACCAATTTCTCGACCACATCAATTCCATACACCCAGCCATCAGATTCACCATGGAAGTCGAAAATGATGGCAAGCTACCCTTTTTGGATGTCCTAATCAAAAGGAGACCTGATGGTTCAATGAGCCACTCTGTCTACAGGAAAGCCACCCACACGGATGCTTATCTAAAACCGGATTCCCACCACCATCCATCCCAGAAGAATTCCCTCATCAAGACTCTATATCATAGAGCCCAATGCATCTCCGACCATGAACACATTTCCAGTGAACTCAAACACGTACGCCAAGCTCTTAAGGCAAATGGTTACTCCGACTATACAATCCGCAAAGCCATCACTCCAACCATCAAGAAGGATCCTGTTGAGGAGCCTTTCAAGACCATCACCTTACCCTACATTGCTGGGGTCACAAAAAAGATCTCCAAAATCCTGATTAAACACAAGATCCAGGTCCGATTCAACACAGTACATAAAATCCGTGATCTGGTACCGTCTGTAAAAGATGTGGTTCCAGACATACAGTACCCTGGCGTCTACAAACTAAGTTGCCTCTGTGGTAGCAGTTACATTGGGGAAACCAAACGACATGTCTCGGACCGCATCCGTGAACATAAAGCTGACCTGAAACACGGTAGGACAAACACCTCAGCCGTAGCAGATCACTGTTACAACTCAGTGGGCTCACATGATATCGACTTCTCCAAGACAGAGGTTCTCTGCAAGCCATCTGGCTATCATGAGAGATTCGTTCATGAGGCGATCCACATATACAAACACAGAGACAATTTTAACCGAGAAGATGGATTCTGGCTCAGCAATCATTGGAAAGACGTAATAAACCATTTCGATACACATTAGGGTGTGTAGAATAATACATAGTGTTATATTAAATGTATAAGATATAGGTTGGTTTACAGCAATACAGTATATAATTTAATGTTGGGTTTATCTATGGCAGTATATAGTACGGTATATGCTCGTGTGATATAAGAGAATAAGGTTTAGATGGAAGCATATTATAGAATTTTTACGAGGTAGAATTGTAATGTATTACTTGCTGTTAGTAACTCAGCTTATTATAGAGTATAGTAAGTATACTGATGGTGCGATGCAGTTTATACTTTAGTTTTTTATGTAGTTTATACTTTAGTTTTCTACGTGGTTGTTGAGTAACTGCAGCTACATATCATTAACATTCCTTTCCTTTGTTACTGCTAATCCCTGCACCCCCCTTGGTTGCTGCTGATCCTGCATAATGCATGGGCATAATATGACTTTGACACCCCCCCGCCCAACGCCTACGCATTTTCCATGAATATGCTAAATTCCTCTTCACATGCACATTCTTTTTGTTAAGGCGCTCTTCAACCCCCAATGCAGCTTATATATAAGCTCCTAGTTTGGTAGTGTCTCATTCTTCACCTGAAGACGGCTGCTTGCGTTGTAGCCGAAACGTCGTGAGAATTGTTTTATTATGTTTTATTTTTATTATTTTATTACTTCCCTTCTACGTGACTTTACCGAAAGAAACAAGAAGATGAATCCCTGCAGTCACGAAAGCTTTAAATCGAAATTTAACCGCCTCTACGGGGAGGGTTTCCACATAACTTTGAGATCCTTCAACAAGCTCCGGGATAAGAAGGCTCAGCTAATCGAGTCTCTCACCTTTCTGAAGAGATGCCGCGACTCTAAGGTAATACCAAACGCATTTACACTAACATCTGCTGCTGTAACTTCTTCTAATGCGAAACGAATTCTGTCTAGAACTAGCTTAGCTCTTATCTCAGAGAAAATCAGACTTACGCGCACCGAACTAGATCAGTTAGACAAGACACTCTACAAATCACACTTATCTTTGAGTGTAACAATGTCCACATCGGATTGGGAACATGTGGAAAAAATGACTGCCTCTTCAGCTGCCGCTATGTCGACTAAATGTAAGGACAACTTGATTTCCAAATTCAATCGCCTCTCAAACAAGAAACCGGACCCACACATTGAAAAGCTAGATATTAACAAAGTCGTAATTAATCGCAGTAACAGTCCTATTTCTGAAGGTTTGAAATCCGTTTTAGCTAAAGGACTAAACTTTGCAGTCACACCTAGACACATACCAGTTAATGATATAATTGCTCGAGTAGATGTAGCTCTCAAGGGCTTGAGTCACATCGCTGCAGACGTAGCAAGATCTGAAATCTCTGTAACCCTCAAAAACGCTAAGATGCCAGCTAGCAACATCAGCAAAGAGGAGCGTTTTGAATTAGCTCAATTAAAAAAGAGGGATGACATTGTCATCCTCTCAGCCGACAAAGGCAATGCCACTGTCATCATGGACAAAATAGAATACAACAACAAAATTCAAGAACTATTAAACGATGGCAGCTATACAAAAATAAAAAGAGACCCCACCAATTTCTGCTTCAACCGCATTAATTGATCAGACCAAACAGTTCTCGTTGAAACCTTCTGCAGCCAGACCACCAAGATTGTACGGCTTGCCAAAGATACATAAAGAAGATACACCTCTTCGTCCCATTGTCTCTACTATCAACTCCCCCACTTACAAACTGGCTCGTTTTTTGTCCGAAATCCTACGGCCTTTCACTGGAAAAACCACCTCTGCAGTACTAAACTCTACTGACCTGGTATCGACAATCAAGGGGATTGCCCTGTCCCCAGACGACCTGCTTGTCAGTTTTGATGTGGTTTCCTTGTTCACCAAGGTACCTGTGCCTGACACCATCGCAATCATTGAAGACTTGGTTCATCAAGGACTGAATGCTGGGGTACCCCCCCTGGTGAAACACTGCTTAACCAATACATACTTCACCTGGAATGGAACCTTCTACAAGCAAATTGAGGGCACCCCAATGGGCTCCCCCCTATCTCCGGTTGTAGCCAACATCTTCATGGAGAAATTTGAGACGGACGCTATCCAGACTGCCACTCTACGCCCGACCTTATGGAAGAGGTACGTAGACGACACTTTTGTCATCTGGCCACATGGCCGGCCTGCTCTAGACCAATTTCTCGACCACATCAATTCCATACACCCAGCCATCAGATTCACCATGGAAGTCGAAAATGATGGCAAGCTACCCTTTTTGGATGTCCTAATCAAAAGGAGACCTGATGGTTCAATGAGCCACTCTGTCTACAGGAAAGCCACCCACACGGATGCTTATCTAAAACCGGATTCCCACCACCATCCATCCCAGAAGAATTCCCTCATCAAGACTCTATATCATAGAGCCCAATGCATCTCCGACCATGAACACATTTCCAGTGAACTCAAACACGTACGCCAAGCTCTTAAGGCAAATGGTTACTCCGACTATACAATCCGCAAAGCCATCACTCCAACCATCAAGAAGGATCCTGTTGAGGAGCCTTTCAAGACCATCACCTTACCCTACATTGCTGGGGTCACAAAAAAGATCTCCAAAATCCTGATTAAACACAAGATCCAGGTCCGATTCAACACAGTACATAAAATCCGTGATCTGGTACCGTCTGTAAAAGATGTGGTTCCAGACATACAGTACCCTGGCGTCTACAAACTAAGTTGCCTCTGTGGTAGCAGTTACATTGGGGAAACCAAACGACATGTCTCGGACCGCATCCGTGAACATAAAGCTGACCTGAAACACGGTAGGACAAACACCTCAGCCGTAGCAGATCACTGTTACAACTCAGTGGGCTCACATGATATCGACTTCTCCAAGACAGAGGTTCTCTGCAAGCCATCTGGCTATCATGAGAGATTCGTTCATGAGGCGATCCACATATACAAACACAGAGACAATTTTAACCGAGAAGATGGATTCTGGCTCAGCAATCATTGGAAAGACGTAATAAACCATTTCGATACACATTAGGGTGTGTAGAATAATACATAGTGTTATATTAAATGTATAAGATATAGGTTGGTTTACAGCAATACAGTATATAATTTAATGTTGGGTTTATCTATGGCAGTATATAGTACGGTATATGCTCGTGTGATATAAGAGAATAAGGTTTAGATGGAAGCATATTATAGAATTTTTACGAGGTAGAATTGTAATGTATTACTTGCTGTTAGTAACTCAGCTTATTATAGAGTATAGTAAGTATACTGATGGTGCGATGCAGTTTATACTTTAGTTTTTTATGTAGTTTATACTTTAGTTTTCTACGTGGTTGTTGAGTAACTGCAGCTACATATCATTAACATTCCTTTCCTTTGTTACTGCTAATCCCTGCACCCCCCTTGGTTGCTGCTGATCCTGCATAATGCATGGGCATAATATGACTTTGACACCCCCCCGCCCAACGCCTACGCATTTTCCATGAATATGCTAAATTCCTCTTCACATGCACATTCTTTTTGTTAAGGCGCTCTTCAACCCCCAATGCAGCTTATATATAAGCTCCTAGTTTGGTAGTGTCTCATTCTTCACCTGAAGACGGCTGCTTGCGTTGTAGCCGAAACGTCGTGAGAATTGTTTTATTATGTTTTATTTTTATTATTTTATTACTTCCCTTCTACGTGACTTTACCGAAAGAAACAAGAAGAAGACGCTGCTTCGTTCACTCTCGGCGCAGCTGCAGACTTGTCAGGCTATGTACTCGAACATGACAGAAGAGCAAAAGCAGCGCCACCAGGCGACGAGTGTGCGCGTGACGATGTCCCAAACATTTTCACTAAGGGGTGGGGTCTAAATAAAGTGGGCTGGCATTCATAGAAAGGGTGAGGGCCCCGAGAAAAGGTGTGGGACCTACAGGGAGGGAAAAAAGTATTTGATCCCCTGCTGATTTTGTATGTTTGCCCACTGACAAAGAAATGATCAGTCTATAATTTTAATGGTAGGTTTATTTGAACAGTGAGAGACAGAATAATAACAAAAATCCAGAAAAACGCATGTCAAAAATTTTATAAATTGATTTGCATTTTAATGAGGGAAATAAGTATTTGACCCCTCTGCAAAACATGACTTAGTACTTGGTGGCAAAACCCTTGTTGGCAATCACAGAGGTCAGACGTTTCTTGAAGTTGGCCACCAGGTTTGCACACATCTCAGGAGGGATTTTGTCCCACTCCTCTTTGCAGATCTTCTCCAAGTCATTAAGGTTTCGAGGCTGACGTTTGGCAACTCGAACCTTCAGCTCCCTCCACAGATTTTCTATGGGATTAAGGTCTGGAGACTGGCTAGGCCACTCCAGCACCTTAATGTGCTTCTTTTTGAGCCACTCCTTTGTTGCCTTGGCCGTCTGTTTTGAGTCATTGTCATGCTGGAATACCCATCCACGACCCATTTTCAATGCCCTGGCTGAGGGAAGGAGGTTCTCACCCAAGATTTGACGGTACATGGCCCCGTCCTTCGTCCCTTTGATGCGGTGAAGTTGTCCCTGTCCCCTTAGCAGAAAAAAAACCCCAAAGCATAATGTTTCCACCTCCATGTTTGACGGCGGGGATGGTGTTCTTGGGGTCATAGGCAGCATTCCTCCTCCTCCAAACACGGCGAGTTGAGTTGGTGCCAAAGAGCTCAAGGAAATTATCAGTCTATAATTTTAATGGTAGGTTTATTTGAACAGTGAGAGACAGAATAACAACACAATCCAGAAAAACGCATGTCAAAAATGTTATAAATTGATTTGCATTTTAATGAGGGAAATAAGTATTTGACCCCCTCTCAATCAGAAAGATTTCTGGCTCCCAGGTGTCTTTTATACAGGTAACGAGCTGAGATTAGGAGCACACTCCCTCTGCCGCCCCCTCTCTTTTTAAGGCCTCGGCACAGATGTGTTGTCTTTCTCCGTCTGTGTGTCTCTCTCTGTGTTCTCTTTCTCTGCTTGTGTGTCTTTGTGTCTCCGTTTTCTGTTTTGTCCTTCTCTCAAATTTAGCAATCTTTGGAAGAACGTAATCAACCATGTGGGGTGTTGACTGTTGTGTTGGCCGACTCTCTGGTTGTATTGCATTGTATTTCTGAGTTTACTATGTTTTTTTTCTCATTCATTCGTACCTGATGATGGTTGCTTGTGTTGCAATCAAAACGTCGAATTATATTATTTAATTTATTTTCTTTATACGTGACCTTACCGAAAACACTAAAGAGTAATTCCTTCAGTCACGAAAGCTTCGAATCCAGGATTACTTTTATTCAGAATGCAACTCCACAGGAAATTAAAACAGGCCGATAAATACAGGTCCCTCACGTCTTATACACCCTTTGATAATCTGAATGCACATTAACGAAAGCGGCACAGAACAATTGTTTTTTTTACGACCAAGGGGAAGCATTTTCCACAAAAGCAAACGACGTACATGCCGCAATTACAACACACGTCACCGTGGCTACTCGGCTAACAGAAGGCAGTCAGACTTCATTAGCATGTGAGTCTACAATTCCACGGCAGGATAGGGCCAGTCTCAGGCCCAAGCCGTGCTCAATCTCATATCCATGTCCTCTGCATGTGCTCGTGCCTTCCCACCTCATGTATTCTTCACATTCACACACCCTCTATTCTCCTACCTCTTGTGGCCAAATGACTGACCTGTGCTTGGAAAGTAGCAGCTTCACTGAGAACGAAACTTAATTAGTTTCCATGGGACATACAACTTGTCAACTCGAGCTGGCCTGATATAACCTGATGTCTCCCAAACTCGAGTGGAAGGGCACCTTTAGTTGGTAAAAAAATGGAGTTGCCATATTTTTTCAATATGAGATGGACAGGTCTTTTGCAGAAATACTTCACAGTAAGACTCACTCAGAAATGCTTCGAGTAAAAGGTCAAGACTGCATTGCTGATGAAAATGTTAAATATTATAATAAAATTAAGTCTTCCTGCCACCGACATGTATTGTTGTAATTTGGGGAATCCTGAATTCAGGCTGCACCAAGAATTCGTGACCAAGTCGAGTTTGACAAAAACAAAATATGGGAAATGCCCGGCCAAGTTGGCAACTAAAATTTAAACTCGATTAATGTGGCTCAAGGGCTTCATAGCGATCAGGGCAACCATGTTATTAAGTGGATAACAAAATGTTTAAAAAACGCTGTTCTTAACCAAGTATTTATTCTAAAAAAAGTGTAATGCAAGTGTGCTTCCACTTGTAAGAACACTTTTATGATAGCACAGGTCCCACTTTTAAAGTCATGGGGAAAATACTTCAGACATATCACCAACTCAGCCAGGATATGGCACGTTTTCACACGTCGTGGAAATGAGGAATTATTGTCACATGAGCAATAGAAATGTGTTGGTCGGCACGTTATTAACCAATTGAGTGTGGAGACATCCATTTCCTTTGTAGATTGCTCAAGTTTGATGGACACACGATACAAGTGTAAACCCTGCATTGGCCCTAAAATGCTAACTTAAAGAGAGGACTGAATACACTAGATTTATGTTAGGGTGAAGATTATAGCTAACATTGTGCCCCCCTGCCCCCTGTAACATCCCAAATAAATTAGTAAAATTGTATGTATCTCATTTTAAAATTACATGTTTTCCACAACTGATGAAGTGTCTCCCTAACCCATAACACAAAAGCAACCTGAAAATAAACGCATTTTCAACTGTTAAATGCGAATATGGAAATATTAACATTTAAATCACACAGAACTACACGGTACATCACAGGAAAGATATTAAATTAAATTGACATGCACATTCTTTTTTTGTTCATATGGATACTTCTCTGGGCGGTGCAAATGTCATGCATTTTTATTCCTTTTTTCTAAACTCAAAAATATTTAAGTGATTGCCACAATTATACTGTTATACACATGGTCCATTTTTTCCCTTCCAAACCAAGTCAAATTAGTGCATTAACCTCAAAATGTGAGCTTGTTGGAATATTCCCGATTGCTTAAATTTTATTTTTTATTTCAATTTCTAAGTCAGTGAATGTTCTGTGTCCACAGAACAATCTGTTCTCTGTGTGGGTTTCTTAACTCTAAATGTCAGCATTGTTGTTGTACATTATGCACAATATTTATGAAATCGGTCTATATATTTAAGTCTGGCAGCGTGGTTGAGTGAAGGATTAATCAATATCAACATTTAAAAGAAGTCTACAGATGATACCTTCTCATCTCCCACGCCACGAAGAGTACATTATTGATCCCCAGAGGTCTCTCAACAGGTGCCCTTCAAAACAATTGCATAACCAGACTTTCCCCCTCCTCATAGCATGCGGTTTATACACCCGTGTTTTATGTTTATAATGATGAATAACCCCTTAAGGACTTCGAGGAACATCATGGCAAGCAAAACTACGAATATAGTTTCTCCAGAGACATTTCCAGTGAACTTTATACAGCAGCAGCTTACACATATTACAATTGAATTCCCAGCAGTCCTTCGCTGTAGAGGCGCTGCTTGTATTTCATACGAATTGCCCTTTGCTTGTGTGTTGAAGAAGGGGATGCACACTCGTAATAATTTAAGTATCTCCGCCGCTGTTTAGTGAAATCTTGTTGCAGTCCACGTTTTTCCCACGAAAGTCGCTTGCTCGGGATTGTGTTCAACGAGCCATTCTCTGCAGGTCACGTGGCGACAGATGGGAGTTCCAATAAAATCACTCTTGCATCTTATTTTTTTCATACTTATTTGAACTAGTGTATTTTGTCAGTCGTTACAAAACTACTGGTTGAGCACGTATCACTATCGGATCCAAGCCTTTGCAAGGCCATTGTTCACGTTCGGGATGCATGCACTTCTTCACAAAGCATCAGCTAATTAGCTGGAGTGTGGAGGCAACTTCACTGACCAACTTCAACAGGAGTTGCACCTTTTGCCATGATCATTCGTGGTAAACCCATGCGGTGACAGTACTACACGCACTAGAAAATGGTGGCGGGTGCAAGCTGAGGAAAATATGAAAAAAAGTCCCCACTGTACATGAAAGGAAAACATCATGGAAGGGGGAGGGAAAAATAAAGTGTACAAGAAAACAAGCAATCTTCCAAAAAGGCAGCCATGTAATTCATTCAAAATGTAAGCTTAAATTACACTATTTATAAAGCTACACAACTGTTTTGTTTAAATATGCGAACAGGACGATACAAAAATTAGCTGATGTTAGAGAAAATATTACAGACAACAACATGAACACAAAACATCCCATTACAGAGAATTCACCTTTAGCCTCTATTTACTTACTCAGTAGCTTCGGTCAGGTCTTTTTCTCCTCTTAAAGTCCAAGTAATACTACTGTACAGTCCTTGTTGGCTTGCATGGCCATCAGTTAAATTATCAGAATGTTTATACAGTATGTTGTATATAACCCTTTATGTTTCTCAACCACAAGCAGGATATGCTTTGCCTGAGCTCTTATTCCCACTTGTTAAAAAAAAGAAACATTTGTATATTTTTACATGAGCATTCCCTTAGTCTATGAGATACAGCTTAACCATTTCCACATCAGAAAGCTGCATTGGCACACAAACATAATTTCCCCAAACGGTACAGAAGTGCCAGGCCTCGAATTACTCTTCTGGGTATCCAGAATAATCTTAGGCGCGTGTTTAGTTGCAGTCTTGACAAAGGTTAAGCAAGCATTTCATCTAATATGCAATTGTCTTCGGCAATATTTTAATTTCACAGTGCTTGACTAAATTAACACGTTTGTTTATTTTCTTTAAACAAAGATTTAGGGTGGCTACAATAACAGGAAGCAGTTCTGTTGGAAACAAGATGTGGGTGGCACAAGTGTCTGGGTGCACCCTATCACTGCTGGATGTGGACCCAGCTGGTGCTTTGAATGGTTGAAGAGAATAATAATTAATCAACCGGGAAAATCTTATTACTCTTCTTCTTCGTCATCCACCTCTTCAAACCTCTTCTCCTCCTCTTCCTGAAAACACTCGATGAAGAAGTTGGTGATGGACTTGTAGAGGTGCCTTCTGGCCCGATCCTCCATCAGGAAATGACCCATGTCTGGGAATATCTGCCCGGAATAAATAAACGTTAATGCATTTTTGTTAATCAAAAATTTGCATTTAAACCTCCCATTCTCACGTGGCTTTATCTCAGTGTATTTAAAGAGGGGGTGTATATTGGGTTTGAATGTTGCAAAAAAATATTTTTGACTAGAAGACTATACACAATACACTGCGTGTATTGCCATGTTGGCAACCCTGGTGGCAAGTAGACTACAGGGAAAATAATGCATTGATACATGTTATTTGAATTATACATTTAACAATCTATCTTTCTGACAATTGAACCTTATGGCAGGACCCCGGGTCCCATAAGCCCCCGGCTCTCGCATCAACTGCGTTGCGACGTTAATTTTATATCTGTTGAAGGCAAACAATATTGCAATTGATTCCTCTTGACGAGCTCTACACGATGCGCTAATCAAAGTTTCAAAGTTGTGTTTCTTCTGCGCATTCGTCCTCGCTGCACTTGGACGACATGACAACAGAATGATCCGCGCCAGGTGGGTCGCGGCATTTATGTGCGCGGTGGGACGGAGTCGCCAAAAATAAATAAATTACGATTTTGACTTCTGTTTATTCGGGACCCCAGGGTCCCGCCATAAGGTTCACTTGCTGCACATGGGAAAGTGAACAGACATTATAAAAGTGAATGATGGCGCTCAGATTAACTTGAAGGGAAATGTCGAATTATTGACCAAATAACGGGGGATACCCTGTATTGGCTAGGTCTAATGATGTCATAGAGTGACATTATAAGATTGCCTTACTTTCCAGCTATGGGGTGAAATAATATAACAGCAAGCAGCCTTTCCAGAATAAGTCATGTTTTCACTTATTCATACAGACATCCTATACACAGGATAACTTGTATGCAATACATTTTACACCGACCTCAAGGCAGATCCCACAATAAGTGGGATCCTACTCATAATTTTTTTTTTAATTAATGTTATGTTAAAATGCACGTTCAACAGCCCAAGGCATACAGCAGCACAGCAATCAAGATGTATACTGCATATGTTGTGGTTGAATTCATGTGTTATAGAGATTATCCACGAGATGGCGCGCACACCACAATGGATCGTCGCAGCCCAGGCCCGATAGTGACTAACCCACACGATGGGGCTCTGTGGCCGCGTGCATTAAACACCTTCAGTGATTTCCCCCTCCATTAACTCACAACTGTTTTAAATGAGAAAATCTAGGAGAATTTCCTGAAGATGTTCAAGCAACCAGTTACTGAGGCAAAAGAGCATAGCGTAATGGTGTCAGCATGTAATTTTTCCCCCTTCAAGTTAACCGATAGAAAGAACCTATATACTTTTGACTTAACTTTCGTGACTGCATGAATTAATATTCTTGGTTCTTTCGGTAAAATCACGGAGATAGAATAAAATAATAATAAGTTGAAAATAATAAAAGCAAAAAACCCACGACGTTTCGACGTTTCGATCGCAACACAAGCGGTCTTCATCAGGCGGAGAGAAAAGAGGGGACAAGCCTCCAAATGCAACTGCTTATAAGGGTTTCCAAAGTGAGTGGGCGGGGGACGAGAGTTGGGACGAGGAGGGCTGCAGGGCGCAAACAGCATGGGCGGGGCAGCCAGTGCTAATGTAGGAGCAGACAATGCAGGGGGGAAGGGGTAGAGATAGGGGGAGAGAGAGGAGGGGTGATAGGGGGAGAGAGGGGGGTAGATATGGGGGGGGGGGCATTGCACCTCGCTACACACATCCACACTGCTGACGGTAGAGGTTGACAAGAAAACACAAATCAAGTCAAGAGTTATCTCAATTAAAAAAGAGGGAAGATATTGTCATCCTCTCAGCCGATAAGGGCAATACCACGGTCATCATGGACAAAAACGTGTACAATAACAACATTCAGGACCTACTTAATGATGGTAGCTACACAAACATTTTACGATATCCCACCAACTGCCTCGTTACAAAAACGAACAGCATCATCACTGATTCAGCTTCATTAATTGAACAGACCAAACGGTTTTTCTTAAAACATTCTGCTGCTAGACCACCCAGACTATATGGCGTACCAAAAATCCATGAAGAATGTACACCCCTTCGTCCCATCGTCTCCACCATTGGCTCACCCACCTACAAACTGGCCCAATATCTGTCTGACACCTTGCAGCCATTCACTGGGAAGACCACCTCTTCTGTTCTTAACTCCGTTCACCTGGTATCGTCAATTAAAGACATCTCACTGTCAAGAGTAATTTGTTCATTAGTTTTGATGTAGTTTCTTTGTTCACCAAAGTTCCTGTGCCCGATACCATTGCAATAATTGAAGATTTGGTCCAACAAGGACTGAATGCTGATGTACCAGCCCTGGTGAGACACCAATACATACTTAACTTGAAATGGAACATTCTACAAACAAACTGAAGGCACCCCAATAGGTTCTCCCTTAGCTCCAGTTGTGGCCAACATTTTCATGGAATTTTTTAGACAGACGCCATCCAGCCATCCATTCTACGCCCGTCCTTGTGGAAGAGATACGTGGATGACACGTTTGTCATCTGGCCACATGGCCGACCGGCTCTGAAACAATTCTTCAACCACATCAATGTCATACACCCAGCAATCAAATTCACCATGGAGGTAGAAAAGGATGGCATGCTACCTTTCTTGGATGTCTTAATCAAAAAGAGACCAGATGGCTCATTGAGCCACTCTGTCTACAGGAAAGTAACCCATACTGACGCCTACCTAAAACTTGATTCCCACCACCATCCATCCCAGAAGAATTCCCTCATCAAAACGCTACACCATAGAGCTCAATGTATCTCTGACCATGAACACCTGACCAGTGAACTCAAACACATACACCAGGCTCTCAAGGCAAATGGATATTCTGACTACACATTCCACAAAGCCATCACCCCAACTGTGAGGAAGGAGCCATCGGAAGATCCAATCAAAAACATCACCCTGCCATACAAAGCAGGGATAACCAAAAGGATTTCCAAAATCTTGAACAAACACAAGATCCAGGTCCGATTTAACACAGTGCATAACATTCGTGATCTGATGCCATCTGTGAAGGACAAGATTCCAGACATGCAATATCCCGGCGTCTACAAACTAAGCTGTATCTGCGGCAGCAGTTACATTGGGGAAACTAAGCGACATGTTTCGGACCGTGTCCGTGAACATAAGGCAGATCTGAAACACGGCAGGACCGATACTTCTGCCGTGGCTGATCATTAATTTAATGCGGCTGGCTCACGTGAAATGTATTTCTCCAAGACAATGGTACTTTGCAAGCCGACTGACTATCAACAAAGATTCGTTCATGAAGCCATCCATATATACAGACACAGACACAAATTCAACCGAGACGATGGTTTTAAACTGAGCAATCATTGGAAAGATGTCATCAACCACTTTGGGTCATGACTTGATTTGTGTTTTCTTGTCAACCTCTACCGTCAGTAGTGTGGATGTGTGTAGCGATGTGCAATGCCCTCCCACCATCTCTACCTCCCCCCCTCTCTCCCCCTATCTCTACTCCCCCCTCTCTCTCTCCCCCTATCTCTACCCCCTTCCCCCCCCCATTGTCTACTCCTACATTAGCACTGGCTGACCTACGCTACGCAGCTCTCCTCCTCCCAGCTCCCCCATTGTCTGCTCCTACATCAGCACTGGCTGACTGGCTGCCCCGCCCATGCTGTTTGCGCCCTGCAGCCCTCCTCGTCCATGCTCTCGTCCCCCACCCACTCACTTTGGAAACCCTTATAAGCAGTTGCATTTGGAGGCTTGCCCATTCTTTTCTCTCCACCTGATGTAGACCGTGTTGCGATCGAAATGTCGTGGGTTTTTTGCTTTTATTTTCAATTTAATATATATAAAAAATTATACGTGACTTTACCTAAAGAACCAAGAATATAAGCTGTATACATAACATAACACAATTAAGCAATGTGTCCTTCACACGTCCGTCCCTCCGAATAAAAATACATTATTTCGTGCACAACCCATCAGTCGCACTGCAATTTGGGAGCACACAAGCACAGCAGCATTGATTCAAGACAAGCAAACTCTGAACCGGTTTAGGCATACAGTGCAGTGTTTTATCAGCGAAGTTAGGCTTGCATGAATCAATGCTGGTGAAAATATACAAAGCATTGTTACGTGTACACTCGCATATAGTTGTCTGTATATTTACTACTGTCAAGCCAAAAGGCATTGTCTTTCATGATGAAACAATCAAGGGGCATTGCTTATATCTGTTGGGCAGTGGAGTTAATTTCACATTCATATGGCTACATGTAGCCAGTGGCATTGATTTAATCGACTGTGAATTCCCCACACAGTGGCATTGATTTAAATCAGCCCTGGAGAAATGAAGGGCTGAGTTGACCTCTGCAGATATTGTACTTTGGGGTTACTCTGCCCACCATAAGAATGTGTAAATGTTACCAATAGCTTGTATAATAATATAACCATAGCTCTAATTAAAATAACCCTTCAATTTGTTTAAAAATATTAACACATACTAAATGAATGTGACAAACCTACCAGAGCCAAGTTTGTTAAAATACATTCTCTATTTACCTGCACTACAAAAAAAATCTGCATGAAGGTGAGATTTAAATATTTGTTCAAGAAACTGAGTTCAGTCCGGGTCGTGGCTAACACCAGTGGTGGGTGATACCTGAACCGATCCTGGGTCTCCCCTTTATGTAACCTGCATATATCTACGCTGGGTAAAAGTGGGATATGAATTAAGTTATGTATGTATGTAGGTTGAACTTCTTTCGCACCGTCTGTAGCCAACTGTGCTAATCGGAGGTGCAGGGAACGCCAAACTAAACACAAAAATCAGTTGTAAAGAAATTAGATTTCAATAGAAATTTTAAAGTGCAAAGCTGCATTGACTTCCTAATATTGGAAGAGCATTTTAGATGGCCGCAGAAGTGCATCTGAAAGCGTGCGCTGCGGTAACCGTCATTATTGAGGTAACCATTTTTTTACTTAACTGTGGAGGTACAAAAGGGTGCAGCTGAAATTCAACAATTACACAGAGTTTGCTTCAGCAAATTATCGTACGTTGACAGCTAATTGTTACATACACAAATGTCTAAACAAAATAAATAGATGTTCATATTGGCAAGGCCAAATAGTAATTTTCAGGGGTGACAGCAATTTAAAAGTAAAATGCTAAATTTAAGAGTAGAATCTGTGGGTGCGATTCCAGAAAATAGAAACACGTAATTAAATATTCTTTGGGTCTTTCGGTAAAGTCACGTACGTGGAAAATAATAAAACACAAATTCTGAAAAATACATTCATAAAAACCAAAAACTCACGACGTTTCGATCGCAACACAAGTCTCTCTGCTGATGACGACTGCTTGTGTTGCGATCGATTTTTTTTAATTATTCTACGTGACTTACTGAAAGAACCAAAGAATATGAATTTCTGCAGTCACGAAAGGTTTAAGCCAAAACGTAATTAAATGTCAAGTTTTTCATTACAAATCCAAGTCAATGTCAGAACAAAATGGAACCTCGTTCCACTGTTGTTGAATTACAGAATACACAAGCCTGGCAATTTAAAATTTAGCTGCACACGGATAATTGGGTATATTGCCACAAGGACGACACCAATAAAAGTTACAAACGAAATGCCTTGTTGTTAGCGGTGATTGCATTAAACACACCGTAACGTTGGATGCACATTTACTACAGACAATCAGCAGCCCACCTGGAGGGAGTAATTGGCTTCAGCGGCAATAAATTGCTTGATGAGCTCGGTCGTATGCTGAAAATGGACCATTGCTACAAAGAGGAGAGATCATCGCAAATGTTACCCACATCCAAAATAAACCACCACCAATAAAAATACAGCAGGGATTACTTTTAATCTATGCTTGAATGTGACAGGATCTCACTAGAATTGAGCAGCAAGGGCTAAAACGACAATAAAATAAAACTTGCTTCCTCTACCCTGCTTACAAGGTTCATGATTTTAACGCATGTGCAAGTCTATTTGATACCTTTCATCCTTATATTTCTCGAGAGCATCTATGAGCCTTTTTGAAATTGTTGATAATTGCACCCAGGAATGCATCGTTTAATGGAGTATTGTCATTAAGGTGTCATTGACCTCAATACAACAGTTCTGCCCATAATGCAATGTGCCAGAAACACTTGATTAATTTTACTTGTAATACAATTGAGTTCAGTTCGTTGTGATCATTGAAGGGGTTGTCGATTACGCACTACTAACTAATAGGTAATTATTTATACGCCATATTAAACACTGTTCATCAGGAAAAAAATACATACATTTAATTCTCATCAGGCCACATGACGTGAAGTGCCTTGTCCAACCCTTATTAACTAGATCTGTTTTGCTTCCTTATTCATGTTTTATAAATGAAGTCCACTATTTGAAACGTCCCCTATTACATTTGTCTTTCTTTTTAAGGCAATGCTATTTATGTGTTTCAGTTTTTTAGGTTGTGGGAAAATGTAAGTATTGCAATTTACATGCGAAAGGTTGGATGAGTGAGGTTAGGCATTAATGATTGCCTTTTCATAGAGTATCCTGCTAGATGGCACATTTGTAACAGTGTGCATCCCCATTGCTATATATTATTTTTCAGATTAATACAAATGTATTAAAAACAAATCTTAACCAGTGGCAGTCGCCTCTGTGGCTGTCCACAACCGATCTAAATTGTAAATTAAAAAACATATATACGGTGATACTGTGATGCCAGTGGTGCACAAGCACAAATAACAAAACAGAACTCAACACACTCTTCAACGAATTATATGTAGTTAATATTTGGATCGTTATCTCCTCGTATGAGTGTGGGATTTTTTGCCTTCTGCGTCCTCCAGTTTTTCCCCACGCGCAGAAACGCTCTGCAATGAATTAGCCAAACTCTAAAGCAGGCCCCCTGGAAAAATATTGCTGTAGTCTGGAGACTGTGGGGCTTTCCTGGGTTAATATAAAACGACAGTATATATATAATTTACCAAGGAGTAATGGGACGTAAAATGCTGGCCATAGTGAATACATTAATCACCGGATAAATTTTAAATACTAAAAGTGAATGAATATTTTTTTTGATATTTTAATTAAGTTTAATATTATAAGACGAATAAGACGAATCACATTAAGATGTGAATTGGGAACACTTAAATCTACAGGATCGTACCCACTTTACCCCTTTTACACACGCGTAACATTGACGAGCGCTCTCCCTGCATTCTAAAGGAAATCCATTCATTTATTGAGCAACTAATTTTAAATACTTCACAAATGAATGTTGTACAAATCAGGCTCACTTTGTAAATAATTGTAAACGAAGTGAAGTTTGTAGCTCGTGTTTTTATGTTGTCAAACACAATACGATATTCATATTATATTTTTTTCAGAGGGCAGAATGTTATTTTGTTGTAGTGTGCATGCTATCTGACAAACCCGCAACTGTATTTCATCCTTTCTCACTATTAGAGTGTTTTTTTTACAAATAAGGCAACAGAGACATTTAAATGAGCCCGAAGTGTCAGAATACCTATTATAATTTGCATAGAACAAGCTGCATAATTATAACACTTTAAATATATCAACTGTGAAGTTAATGGAATTATTATAAACATAAAAACACAAACCAGTTTTAATTATAAGGGGTTATCGTCTATTAATGAACGTCTTTCAAAGCCATCCTTCGCTATTTCATTTTCTGCTTTCGTCTTCTAAAAATGGAACCATGAAATGCAACAAAAAGCCACAACTTGCGAATCCGTTTCCACCTGGCGGAGAGCCATCAAAGCGAGCGCGGCCATAACCAACCTTGCAGCAAATTGGCAATAATAATGTGGATTAATTGGCTGTGTAATAATTTTTCCTCTTCGTACGGTGTGTCGTGGATGATTGCGTTTACCGTCAGCCGTGCCGTGGATCAGCAGCACTTTCTCGTCCGTAAGCTTGGCCACCCTGTGGACAGCTCGTGACACCTGCATGCAAACACGGACATCGGAGGCACACTTAGCAGCATGCAAATATCCGGCCGTGACATTGCCGATGTTAAAACGTTATGGAGCTCTAGATTGTGCAAACAAGAAGCCTGGAGGTGTGTGTAAAAAAAAAAGGTTCAGCAGTCTCCAACTTTTGCGCAGCAACCCGCGTTAAAAATCTGCATAAAATGTGTTGCAGCCTTTTGAAATAAGAGCTAAATATTATTGAGATATTCTAGGCAATCACAGGGTATCTCTTTCATAATTGATACTGCAGAGGCTACAGATTTTACTGTATATATATCCCAGTCCAAAGAGCTCACCCAAATCAGGTAAAGGAACAACGATACTAATTGTGGCCGACTCAGGCCATGTTGAAATGATTCTAGATTTGAAGCTTTCGTGACTGCAAGGATTCATACTCTTAGTTCTTTCGGTAAAGTCACGTAGGTAAAAAATGAAATAAAAATTAATAAAAATAATATAATAAAATTAAAATATAATATAATTATTTTATTTTTATTAATTTTTATTTCATTTTTTACCTATGTGACTTTACCGAAAGAGCCAAGAGCATGTTGAAATGGGTGGGGCATTGCCCCCCATGCCCCCCTCCCGCAAACTCCGCCCATGAGCACAACGTTACTAAAGTTAAGGAGTTTTTTTTTTATGGAGTGGAATTATTTTCGCCCCTGGCCAAGGTCTATTGATTTTCGTTATCGTGAAATGTAAACTAATAAACAATCTGAAGGCAGCAGCAGCATTATTTTCCACAGAAAAATACGCCTGGCACTCTTAAATTCGTCAAGCTGAGAGCATCAGATTCAGTTTGTGGTTGGTGTCATCTCTACCTGCATTAAATAATTATTGATTTTGGCCACAGTGTGCAGCAGGGCTTCTCAAGACTCATTCCTTACACTTCAGGAGTGGGCAGGATATAATTTATTAGTATTATTAATTAATGGCAGCGTGCAACGTGTAACGATGACGATGAACATTGAAAAGGAAAAGATTAGTGCACATGGAAATGTGAACCCAAGGACGTGTTAGGGGTGTGAGGAATGAAGTTTGTAAAAGTTGGATAAACATACGTATGTGTGTGTATATGCCACCGCGTCTGAATGTAAACCATGGATCACCGATAGAAAACATAAATACAACCACATTTTGCCCTTACTGGTCCACTGCTAAATGTGACTCCAGGTGATTGAAATGTGATATGTGGTGGACTAATCGCTACTGCCACTCGTGTAAAATGTGATCCACGACGTCACTTACAGTCAACACTGGCTGTATTTCCAATGATTTTTTTTTATTAAACTGAAATACTGCTGACTGCTCTGAATCAGCAACATTTACATGGCACATGAGAGTACGGATGAGCGTGGGCTATTATCACTGTGCCTTGTGTCATTCCATATTGGTATTCAATTCAAGTACTGATTCAATAATGTTGTCAAAGAGGAGATGTAAAAGTGCTGGATTTTGGTAGGTCATTATGTGCTGGCATCATCTTCCAAATGTATAAAATTGCAAACATTACCGACAAATTACTCAATTGAAATGACACTTCGCATTCATCGTCCCCCTGCTGGCAGACTAGTTCCTGCTTGCAGGCCGGTGCTGTGTTCACCTTGTGCCGCACAGCTGCCATCAGGGGTTCCATTAGGCTAAGAACATTATTGTTTAAAACTGAGTTCTGATACGTTTTGTTATATTATGGGTGCGGTATGAACACAATATTTTTTTTATTACTATTACATGTAATGTCCAAACAATTATTTAAACCAAACAATATAGGAACATACAACAAAACAATTCACTTATATTTAATTGCTCTCATTAATTTAGTGCAAGCTACTCATTACCTAAGGGAGCTAGAACAAGTTTAAGTTTATTTAAAATTAGGTGACAAATTGTTCTCAGACATACATTTTTTAATTCATCTCAACAGCTTTTGAATGCATCCACTGATGACAAACTGCCTGTGGCATGCTCACGGCGATGTATTCTCAACATGTGCTCTCTCCATTGTAATTCTGTTGCTCCAATTGTTGCTACACAACACTGCCCATGAATATGGCTGTCATGATATACCATGATATATCATACACTATACAATCCATAATCGTATTGTCCATTTTGAAAAATATTATTATATTGTGATTATCACAGCTCATTTTATTTTCCGCAATATTTTATTTTGTGACAAAATATCTATTAAACTAAAAATCATTAAATTACCCCTTAAATTAGTGATTTGCACGGCAATTATACGATGCAATCATCATTCTTGTAGTTTATTCCAATTATTTTGTGTAACTGATGGTATGTGCATGATACGCGTTATAGATTGCAATCAGTGTGTTGAGTCAACTGCTATTGAATAACTTTTAAAAGTCATCTTTATTCAGATCAGAGGTATAAAAAAGTGAAACAGAATATTCATATTGTGAAATTCAATACTGTATCATATCGTGAAAAATGATATCGTGCCAACTGTAGTCATGACACCAATGTTAGTAATTTAAATATACAGTATAGATATTTTCAACTTTATCCTGAAATGTATGGCGAGGTCTTTTTCAAATATATATTTTGAAAACGTATTCTTCAATTAAAGTAAGGTGTGTCACCCCATGATTAAAACTGTATTTTGTCAATCCTCTTTGCAACAGTATTGGACATGCATTTCAAGTCGCATTCTGATTGCATTAACGTAAAGTTGCTCGCTCATGCATATCTGGTCTGTCGCACCCTTGTCTACTAAATACTCATAAATTGCATCCCGACGATAGGACAGAATAGGCAATACAATTACAGCTAGTTATTATCTTTTTGAAAAGCTGCATATTTCAGGCTGCTGGCAAAGTGCACACGGAGGGTGAATTTCACAGTTTGGATGTATGAGGAAAATAGCAGCATGCATGATCTTCACGCTCAGAGAGGACCAAGTTAAAGATGAATGCCTTTTAAAAGCAGGTGAAAATCTTGGGGGAATTAGTATTGCCATCTAGGAAGGGCACAGAGATAGTGGTTGCAGCAAGGGTGAACATTTCTCTCCTTGTGTATGGCCATCATTTAACATCAGCTTTCACCAACTGCTAGCTGATTATTTTCCCACCTATCACTATGTAGGAAACTAAGGTTTTCAAGTTTGAGGGTAGAATATCAATTGTCAGTACTGCAGTGGCAGGTGTATATTTATGGCCCACATTCAAACACATCCCCATTATAGCTGCCAAAATTGTTGTCAAGTGCCCTTCTTTTATTTCAGAAGGCCAGCGATTCCACACAACAACCGTGGGGAATTTGACATGTGTAAAAGCAAACCACACATGGCATTTTGAAATAAAGCCCCCACAGTGCCACCTTGCAATGAGATAAGCGACAACATGTCAAACGTAATTGTAAAGGCTTTAAAACCGTATGAGGCATCGGCAGCATTCAACAAGAGGGACAATAAGCAAGCTGTAGCTTACGTACCTCGTATATTTTTTCATCATGATTTGGGTGGCCAAGGTAGCGCTCAGAAAAAGCAGACGCTGGAAAGATGACAAAAATACCTGTTACATTTAGTCATACATACAAGATGTATTGTGCTTATATACAACATTTTCAATCAAACTAAATAACATTTCAAAATATTACGTAAAAAAAGAAAGTATGTTTAAATATATCGATATATATAAAAGTAAAAAATTGTGTGTGGGTTTGTGTGTGGTCGCACGCTTGGCTCTCCAACGGTGGGGTTTACGAAAAAAAATAGCCAGGTACCACGCCGTAAGCCCCGCGGTGAACAAGCGCTATTCATTTTTCACACCCGTCAACTTTAAATTAGTTTAATTAGCGAATTTGTGCAGTTTGCGTTCATTTATTTATTAACAAGTCACACGCGTTCGGTGGGGGGGGCGGCTTTTACCAAGTCGGTCGGGGTGAGGGGGACATTTTCACACAAAACGCTGAGGTTAATTATTAAAAATGTGAAGTCACGTAGGTACCCCCCCCCCCCCCCATGTGTGCAGTTACTGCTATAGAGTCCCTACATTAATATTATATAGTGCTTCGATAGTCATTATTGTAGCGTGGCCGGGGGGAGTGGCCCAGTCCACAGCCTGCCAGGGAGCCACCTCGGCCGGCTGCACAATCTAGGCGAGGCCGCGGGTTCTGCACGGGACTAGGCCTCACCACGGTAATGTTAAGTACAATTTTATTGCTTCTGTCGCTAAACTCACGTATATAGAAAAAGTGATATTAAAACAATTGGTTACGAAATATAATAATCATTTTGTTTGTGTGCAGACAACTTTTTTTATTGCTTCTTTCGCTAACCTCACGTAGATAGAAACCTATTATTTATTTAATAACCTTGTAAATAATAATTAACTTTTTTTTGCATGCAGACAAATATTATTTCATTTTCTTGCTTCTTTTGCTAAACGCACGTATATAAAAACCTATCATTTACATAACCTTGGAAATATTAACATCATATTGTTTATGTGCACGAAAATATGATTTCATTTTCTTCTTTCGCTAAACTTACATACATTCAAACCTATTTTTTTAATAATCACCTTGCATTTATACGAATAATTATGTTTGTGTGCAGACAACCATTTTTCACAATGTACTTGCGTTTTTATGTGTGTGCCTATGTCTTTGTGTCCATGTGAGTCCATCTGCATGTCAGCGACGGTCGCTTTGTGTGTGTGTGCGCAAGTCGATGTGTCTTTGTGTGTGTCGATGTTTGTTTGCGTCGATGTGTATGTGTAAGTCCAAGTGTGTGCGTAAGTCCATGTGTGTGTGCGTAAGTCCATGTGTGTGTGCGAGTCAATATGTGTGTCAGTCGATGTGTCTGTCAGTCGATGTGTTTGTGTGCCAGTCCATGTGTGCGTTAAAGTCGATGTTTACGTGTTTGTAAGTCAATGTGTGTGTCCGAATCGATGTGTCTGTTTGTAGGGCATTGTGTGTGTCAGTCTGTGTATGTGTGTGAGTCTGTGTGTCTGTCGACCCGTGGCACCTGGGTCTGCCCCGTGACCTCCTGCCAGCGGGCGTTCGACACTTCACGTGACCTCAAGGTGCACATAGCCTGGCACAAGCGTCGTGGTGACGTCACCACCACTTTGTGGCGAATGGCGGTTGTTGTTGTGTGCAAGTCGATGTGTGTGCATGGCTCCATGTGTGTGTGTAAGTCCATATGTGTGTTTAGGTCCATGTGTGTGGTTGTCTATGTATGTGTGTGAGTCGCTGTATGCATGTACGTTGATATGTGTGTGTAACTCTATGTGTGTGCAGCTGAAGTCAATGTCTGTGTGTGTGAGTCCATATGTGTGATGTGTGTGTGTAAGTCGCTGTGTTTGTGTGTGTGGGTCGCAGGGGCGGTTTCTTCATTAGGGCGATTGGGCGACGCACCACCAATGTCATTGAACCACAGAGTCACGCTAGCCGTCACTGTCAGCCTCTGGATATAGTCCAATCAGCTTCATGTCACGTTCTGTGGAGTACCGCCTCTTTTTGGGCGATTTCACTCCGGCTGAGAATCGCCCCGAGTGGCCCCATAGACTTACATTCAAAGATGTTTTTTTTCGAACGGCGGGCGCTCCAATGCATTCTCTATGGCTTCCGGGAGGGCAAGCCCTAACGTGCTTACGTCATCATACGTGCTAACGTCATCATACGTAAGCACGTTTCATCCAACAATATAATTTATCGCCACATAGTGGAATCTTTAATAAAATTAACTTGAGTGGTTTGTTTTAATAGTGAGTATAGAAACAAACAAGATGTATTGTAAGAGTCACTTTATTTTTCATTAATATTAAAGAAGTGAAGTTGCCTTTACATGCTTAAGCTGTTAATTTATCCATTGCATGGGTGGACCTTATCCTTATCAATCATCCAGACATTTGCCCCCCCTGAGAGATTTTGCAGGAGCCGCCACTGGTGGATCGATGTCTGTAAGTGTGTGTAAGTCGGTGTGTGTCTGTCTTTTTGACCCGGGCAACGCCGGGTACTTCCCGCTAGTATATATAAAAGGGAAATTCGTGAATGTGTGTCTGTTCGAAATGTTTAGCATACTTCCCAACATGCAACAAACTTGAAATTTGGCATGTGGGTAGCTTCCAGACTGTACACAATGCAAAAAGTATAAAAATAGACTTTTGTATTTGGGGAGGGGGGGGGGGCGCAATAATGGATATATTTTGCACGGCAAGTGAGTGGTGACATCACATCTGTGATGTCACAGCGTTACGCAGTGTGACTGCTGACGTCACGCATCTTCCCCCCACCCTCCGCGTAGGCCGTGTATTAATCCAAGACAAGAATCCAAGTCTCGGGCGACATACTCCAATACTGTCCAAGTGAGAAACACTAGTGTTTACTAAACTAACCCCACGGTCAATTATAATATCATGTAAAGGCTGGCAATTCCACAGTTCCTTCCATCATAGTTAACCATGACATTCTTAGCCATACTGAACACAACAATCTCATCTGACCTGTCAGGAAATGGCTATACAGGACAACTCATCTTATCTGCGATGAAATGAGGTATCGATAATCAGGGATCTTATTATCCGTGGGGTGAGCTGCGAATTCACTCCACTTATCTGCTGGGGTACATGCAAACATATTTAATGAAAATTATAGACCATTTCATTATGACATGGCCCAGTGGTAGTGCATACAGTGCACATTAAAGATCCCCTGATGTAATGTGTGCTTGCATCATGGTCCAAATTTTAAAGATTACCCAAACTACTCAATTGGGACTACACGTCGCTACATTGCCCCTACTGGTATAGACTATACATCTGTGAAACATAGTACCTTTGCGATATCCCTGGGCTATAAGAATAATGAACAAAAACATGTTCATATTTTACAAGGTAAGGCCCACTGAGCTATTTCGCTTTATTTTAGAAGCGACCTGGCCACAAATGATAGCTCAACGAAGTGGCTTATACACGTGGAGATTTATAGCAGCCAAATACTCGAAACACATGTTTCTAAATGTGGAGGGAAAAACCGGAGGACCGAGAGAAAAATCCACGTGACCACAGGGAGAACATGCACACTCCAAATACCTCTATACCAGGCGAGGTAGTTAACATCTCACCACCATGGTGAGAATGGCGCAAATACCAAATGTACTAAATTACTGCTCATTATCAAGGAGCGCATCTCCTACCATAGAGTCGCCAGTCAGTGATGGGAGCCACAGCAACGCCACACTTAAATAGGGCTTCTCCAGAGCCGAGCAGCAGCGTGGTGACATATCCTCCATAAGCCTGCGAAGAAACACAGCAGTGTCAATCCAATTTCCACAGACACATAAAATGAAAGAAGATTAAATAAACAGGCAAGGAAGTTTAATACATTGCCGAATAGAAATACATTATTATCTGTTGGCCCGTGGTCAATTGCAGATATTTTATCAGGAACGTTACTGATATCACCGGCTGAGATCCTGAGTGGGACACATCGTGAGCTTGCTTGACGTAAAGGAAATCAATGTTTCTACTAAGCTGTTGAATCATACATGTAGTTCCATATTTATTTTTGCATGTAGTTAAAGGTTTTGTGTGTGTTTGTTTTAGTATTCAATTTCATGATTTTATTTTACAATTGTACTTTTATGCATTTCCCAAACCCATATCTCCCTTTGGAAAAGATAAGTGTGTCTCAGCAGGGCTCACGTTAATTACAGGTTTCTGTTTAAAAAATAGGTTATGACCAAATCATCTAAATATACCTGATCTCATTCGATCATAGAAGCTAAATATGCTAGTGCTTGGATGGGCAACCACCACACACACTCGACAGTTATAGGTGGCTGTGGGGCCATTTGCTGGGCAGCAGTAGGCAGTGCATAAACATTTATAGTTGTACTCTACTTTCTATGCTGCCACATTTATAGTAAAGCATTTATTATGACCGCCATGACTCACACGCAGCACGGAGAGGCCCTCATCCAGCGGCGGACTGACAAAAGCGGATGTGCATATACGTGTCTAAATTAATCATGTTTCCCACGATCATTTGTTTTGGCAAGGCAACCTTGGGCTGGCTTCGACTTTACCAAGTCCGATCAAAAGAGTGTGGCCACATAAAACAATTGCCCTGGTCACCATGATCATAATGAAAAGAGACAACCACATTGTGAGGCCTGAACGTCTGGGTTGTGCAATGTAAATCCTCCCAATGCTCATGTATGGCTGCCGTGAGTATAAATCTATCAATAACATTCCCAATGAACATCTTATGGAGAGAGTTTCCACCCCACCATGGGATTGTGGAATTTCCACCACTAATTCAGGGCAGCCGAGAGAATTAAGCACCGGTCAATTGCTCAATCGAGCAGCAAGACACTGAGTTTGCCTTTTGTTTGTATTCACAGTCACATTGGGAATACAAATTGCGTTACTACCAGAATCAAAATCTTTATTTATACCGGAGGAATCCTATGAGCTATGAAGCTCTTTTTTTTACAAATGTCCAGTAAGGGCAAGTCAGATAGTTACAACAACAAACAATAGGAGTGCAAAGTAGGGAAAGATATGCAAATCATGAAACTATTTTTATTTCATACAAATAAACCAATTTTTATCTTTTTCTAGATTTGAAGCTTTCGTGACTGCAAGGATCCATACTCTTAGTTCTTTCGGTAAAGTCACGTAGGTAAAAAATGAAATTAAAATTAATAAAAATAAAACAATAAAATCACGACGTTTCGGAGGCAACACAAGTCCGAAACGTCGTGATTTTATTGTTCTATTTTTTATTAATTTTAATTTCATTTTTTACCTACGTGACTTTACCGAAAGAACTAAGAGTAACAATTTTTATCTCACCAAGTAAAGCCCAACTGAGCTTTTAGCTTCTGTTTCAGTAGCGACCTGGCCACAAATGATAGCGCAAACGAAGTGGCTCATCATGTGGAAATTATAGCAGCCAAATAATATAATTAATCTAGGCCCCTAACATGGCGCAATCACAAAATGAGTATGCTGGGCCGACAGTAAATTATAACTCGTGTAAAATGGGTCCACATAAATGTATTAAACTTAGCACCATGGCAGCCCGTACAGGCTAACGTTGCAGATGCCTTACGCTGAGTGCTGCATAAATCAACGCCCGAATGTCTACGCTCCTTTGAGGTCACAGAATGAACAGCTGCTCCTTTTAATTGTATGAAATGAGGTAACTGGTCGGGTTAAAGGGGTCTCCAGATTTACCATGTGCACTAAAATGACAGTTGTAAGTCATTTTGCTCTGGTGAGGCTGCAGACTTTAATCGTGTTGGACGGTGCTACAAATAGCGCTGCGCTGTTGATTAAAACACCGTCCAAATAAGTTAAATGTAAAATTTAGCACGCAGCCCACAGACAGCTGCATTAATCTGCAGCGAATGCTGCCCACACTTTTTTGTGAACCCAAACTTAATTTCATTTTCTCACATTATAATAATTCATCCGCATAAAGCATCCAACGTTCAATTATGCTGCTTTCCTTGTTTTCCATCCATAACTGTCGTTTATAAAGAGCAGTTCCCATTAGCTAAGTGGCTGATAAAGAAAAAAAATGAGTGGCAAGATGGGAACCTCATTGTTAAAGGGCTGTCAAACTGAATTCCACCTGCTATAAATTGCTGATGGTGCTGCAGTGGCTAGCGTAAATTAGCAGGCTGATGGCAAAGGACAAAGTGGAGTAATTGCTCACTCTGTCCAAAGTCCCATAATTAGCAACATCAAGCTGCTGATGGAGAAGTGACAGAATAATTATTCTCTTCAGTTATGGTTTCATTTAATCAAGATGCCTTTGACGACTAGAGAACAGTATTCATTTGTATGGTAACACTCTGCAAGCGTGCAGTCAGGTACGGCTGAGACTACAACACACACTTCGATCACAACAGGAATGTCAAACATTCAAATCCTAATTTCGTGCTGGCTCAGCATATCTACTCTCTCGGGTCAATAAGGTGTGCACTTTCTTTGTAGGAAGCCAACAGGGCTGCTTGTAAGTGGAGGAGGGGCCCCGCCACGAGCATGCGGAAATTCTGCCACCGGCTCTGGGCTACCAACAGAGATGGGCATAGCCCCATCAATTGTTTGAGCAGAAAGTCCCTTTGACTTTAATTTGACTTGATTCTTTAAGGACAAGTGTCATTACCAATTGTTAACATAACCGATTCCAATACGAGATGGTAAAAAACAAACAAGGAAAGGATACCTTGTGATATCTAGGCTAGGCTATATTTTTTTTATTTGTCCTTATGTCGCAATTTGTATAGCTAGGTTAACCTTGGATATCGGTGTAAAACATCGTGGACGAATATTGATTGCAGTACGAACATAAACGGCATTCAAGGCACTAAATTGTGTGTGTAAACATTGCATGAACTGAAATGACGGTGTAATTACCTTTCCATACACCCCAATTCGCAACTTGTCAACATAAGGAAGGTCCAAGAGTGTCCTGTGAAAACAAATGTCAGCATTTAGCGCTGCTGTAATGGCCACTATGTCTGCGTCACCCAGAGAGCTCATGGCACGGCCAACTGCGGTAAAATTGACGACCTCGAGAACTAAACACTACCCTCCACGCGGCCACCTCCCGTGTGAGCCACTGCACTTGGACTCTCAACCAGAGCCACTTTCACACGCAGCTGTTAGTTTTTTCTGGCGCTATGGCAAGATACTCTTTGGTTCTTTTGGTAAAGTCACGTAGGTATCCAATATTTTATTTATTTTATTTTATACCTACGTGACTTTACCGAAAGGACCAATAAGTATGGATCGCTGCAGTCACGAAAACTTCTAATTTATGGCAAGATGTTAAGTACCTCTCCCGGTATACAGGCGATCGTGGGTTCGATCCCATCCCTGACGTCTGTTGTACACTGGGAGTTTGCTTTTCTCTCTCTCCCCGAGGTCACATGAATTTTTCTCCGGGTCCTCTGGTTTTCTCCTCCACATTTACAAACATGCGCTTAGAGTATTTGGCTGCTCTAAATTTCCACGTGATGAGTAACTTCGCTGCACTATCATTTGTGGCCAGGTCGCTTCTGAAAAAAATCTACATAGCTCAGTGGACCTTACCTGGTAAAATAAAAATTTGTTTAGTTTAGTTTTGGCTTAGTTCTTGTCCAAAATTGCCCAAGTCAGGGCAGATGTTATTAATGCGTGCAGGTGTAAGTGTTGCAATTCCTGCATTGCATTTTTACAACTCTTCATGGAGAAATTTCGCCCGTGCACATGAGGTGATAACATTCGAGCAAGGCATGCCTGAACCAATCCTGGTGACTTCCAAATGTTTATAGGCAAGTACCCTCTATTTTGTGTTAAGTAAATAAAAAGTACATATTTTTTACATCTCATCAGCAGCCACAAGGCATTCTGATCACTTTGTCCGTGTGTAAACACAGTGCGTCGCCGTGGGCGAAATATGGAGTGACCACTGGGCATGCAGGGGCGCGACCGCGGGCACCTCAGAGCTGCGATCTGGTCGCGGTCTTCCAATGCCCCCAGGCGGTGGTGCAGCTCGTGCAGGAGTTTGTTTCCGCGGAAGCCGGAGCCCCGCCCGTCGAAACGCGCGGTGATGACACCGACCGAGCTCACCAGGTGCGTCTCCCAGTCCACTCGGAACTCCTCCGTGACCACCTGGCTGCCGGGAGAACTGTCGCTGTGCCCCGGGACAGGGGGGACGTGAAGAGAAGAAAGTGCACTGAGCAGATGGGAGCATTTCAAAGGGCACCCCCAGTGCTAGTTGTCACTGTGCAGCATGTATGTATATATGTATGTTGAACTGTACGTAGCCAACCATGCTAATGTAGGGAAGGGCAACAGACTAAACACAAAACACAGTTATAAAGAAATGAGTGTTGAATCAAGATTTAAAAGTGCATAGCTCCAGAGCCTTCCTAATATCGGAAGGAAGAGCATTCCAGATGGCCGCAGAAGAGCATCTGAAAGCGCGCAATGTGGTGACCGCCTTTGTTCAATGGCTGGAGTTTGCGTTATGTTTCATTCTCCTTGACGAGATCAGCAAGGTATTGCGGTTGATTTGTGGCTAAGCACAAGGTAAGTCAGTAACGGCCTGAAAGTAGGCATCAGACTGCCTTCATTGTGCTTACTTTCAATTTGACAGTCTTAATTATTACTTAAAACTTTCGTGACTGCAGGAATCCATATTCTTTGTTTCTTTCGGTAAAGTCACGTAGATAGGAAAATAATAATAAAAAGAAAGTGAATAAAATTTAAATAAATAAATAAAATAATAATAAACCCAAAACCATTAATGTAGAATGTAGCCTGCTTCTTAATCGGAGTGAGTGTACTGGCAGTCTACAACGTAGACTGTAGCCTGGTTATTAAGTTTGGTGAGTGTACCGGCAGTCTATAATGTAGACTGTAGCCTGGTTATTAAGCTGAGTGAGTGTACCGGTAGTCTATAATGTAGACTGTAGCCTGGTTATTAATCTCGGTGAGTATACTGGCAGTCTATAATGTAGACTGTAGCAATGGTTATTAGGCTAGGTGAGTTTACTGGCAGTCTATAATGTAGACTGTACAAATAGTTATTGAGCTGGGTGAGTTTACTGTCAGTCTATAATGTAGACTGTAGCCTTGTTATTAAGCTGGGTGAGTGTACTGGCAGTCTATAATGTAGACTTTACAAATAGTTATTAAGCTGGGTGAGCGTACTGGCAGTCCATAATGTAGACTGTAGCAATGGTTATTAAACTGAGTGAGCGTACTGGCAGTCCATAATGTAGACTGTAGCAATGGTTATTAAACTGAGTGAGCATACTGGCAGTCTATAATGTAGACTGTATCCAGGTTTTTTTTTAATCTTGGTGAGCGTACTGGCAGTCCATAATGTAGACTGTAGCAATGGTTATTAAACTGAGTGAGTGTACTGGCAGTTTATAATATAGACTGTAGCCTGGTTCTTAACCTGAGTGAGCATACTGGCAATCTATATTCTTGGTTCTTTCAGTAAAAAAATTGAAGATTTTTTTTATTTTAAAAACACGACGTTTCGATCACAACACATTATAGATTGCCAGTACACTCACCGAGGTTAAGAACCAGGCTACAGTCTACACTTTCGACTGCCAGTACACTCACCAAACTTAATAACCAGGCTACAGTCTACATGATAGACTGCCAGTACACTCACTCCGATTAAGAACCAGGCTACAGTCTACATTAATGTTTTTTTTATTTTGTTCACTTTCTTTTTATTATTATTTTTTCTATCTACGTGACTTTACCGAAAGAAGCAAAGCATATTGATAGTCTAACTTATTGTTTTCATTATCAGCGGAGGGATTGGGTGCTTGAGAACACCTAAGCAGAGCCAGCGAGGTACATGCTGCAAGTAACAGATTACTGTCATCTGATTACTCAAGGCAGGTGCTAGTAATACTGTACGATTATACGTCTTTGGTGTGTCATTCAATTACTGTTACTAAGCATGTACTGGTTGATTAAGTTTTAAAATTGGATTCATAAAACAAAGAAAAAAATCTACACTATGGGGACCTCATTTGCCAGTAAAAATATGATAATTGGTTCTTTACCCTTCTATCTGGCAACAAAACTGACACCTTTTTGCAAGGAGTCATGTTTGCATAGACCGCAATACCTGCAGTCATAATACAAACAAAAGAACATAACTCTGATAATGTGCACTGTCCTTGAAGTTGATTGGTCCAATGAAGTTGATTGGTCCAATCAACTTCAAGGACAGTGCACATTATCAGAGTTATGTTCTTTTGTTTGTATTATGACTGCAGGTATTGCGGTCTATGCAAACATGACTCCTTGCAAAAAGGTGTCAGTTTTGTTGCCAGATAGAAGGGTAAAGAACCAATTATCATATTTTTACTGGCAAATGAGGTCCCCATAGTGTAGATGCTTGCCCCGAGCTCTCATACTCTGATGGTGCATTGTCCTTGAGTTGTGCGCCTTTTGGCGTCATCTGGTCCAACCCGTATGAGACTAGGCTCGAAGGAAAGCTGTCTCGGGTGTGGACCAATCAACTTCAAGGACAGTGCACATTATCAGAGTTATGTTCTTTTGTTTGTATTATGACTGCAGGTATTGCGGTCTATGCAAACATGACTCCTTGCAAAAAGGTGTCAGTTTTGTTGCCAGATAGAAGGGTAAAGAACCAATTATCAAAGAAAAAAATATTCCAAACAACTAACGGGTGAAGACGATTCATGTTACAATGCCTTAAATCTCAGCATGGATAGTGCTGCTGTCATCGCTGCAATTAAACTGTTTTGAGATATTTATTTAGAAATACAAAAGCAATAAAATCGTGCTACTTGTGCAACGCACATTAGGTACATTAAGTGTTGCATGCGGTGTGTATGAAACCCTGCAAGATTGTCATCATTATGCTTTTAAGAACAATAACAATGAAATGACAAGTGTGGATGCCTGAAATGTCATATACAGCACAAGGCACCACTTACACCATGAGCAGCACGGGGTAGTGTGCCCTGTCTGAGAAAGTGATGGGGAAGCTCAGCTGTAAAGGCAGCACTGCAAAAGGAGATACACGCGAAACCCATCACGAACATAATCACCAGCACAATCGCCATTTAGGGCCACGGAAATAATTGAATTCTCTCATCGATTTGGATATCAGTGCCAAGGTAAATGAGATGCCTGGCAGCTCGTGTGTGTTGGGAGAACATTCGGGGGAAAGAGACCGATTTCCTCATCGTTATTATTATCAGCAGTTCATAGCATGTGTATCTCTACAAGGTGTACCATCTATTATGCCTGCGGAGAAATTCACGAGGACAGTCTTTTCCAAGGTGCCGGCTGTTGAAGTTGGTTGATTGACTGCCGACTTTCAAAGAATACAATGTTCATGAGAAAACATGTGGAGTTAACCAACACTACCTATTACCCGTGTCACAATTGTGAACAGATCGACGTATTTTCTTAATGTACTTGGTTTTGGATTACTTTTGCCATCATGGGGCAGGGTCCTGGCTCGTTCAATCAAAAGTTCAGAACATAAGACTTATAAGTCACATGTAATGCATTGCAGCATTATAGGGACGAATTTTAAAACTACTGGAATTATTTCCAATGATTTGGACATGATATAGTGTTTTTCAGTAATAGTTCAGCAATTCTAGCCAATTACATATACTTGAATTGCTTTACTCATTTTCATACTGAGGCAATTGAACAAGGCTTGCGCTCACTTGTACATTCTCTCAATTGGCACTTTCTCTTCATCTCCCTCCGTTCCTACCTTTAGCTGGTGGCAAACATTGTTCTCAGTTGCAGTCTGGGGCTTTTTGCTTGGGGGCAATAAAGATGATTTATTTTGCTAGGGTCCATTTACACACAGAACAAGGAAACTGGCCAACAATTATCTGAAGTGCAAAGTACCATGCCAAGTATACCCCACAGCATCCAGCATATCCCCTTAAGGGGAGAGACACAGTGAGGTTATGTGTGTGGTTTGAATAACAAGGGTTTGACACCTATGCCAAGCACAGCAATGCAATGTTATACAATGTGGGCGTGGGGGCTACTGCCCCGAAGATGCTCGGTTGAAATGTTTCAGCAACCCACGGTTAAACCAGTTTTTCAAATGTATGGAGTTGATGGTATACACCTATTCACTATGTGTGTGTGTGTTTATAATGTGTAAAAATTGTATGTGTGTAACAATTCTCACAACTGTGCAAAACATGTATACAGTTTACTCATATTCTAAGGACAGTGTCACTGAGCCACAAGTCTATTTTTGAAGAGCACCTTGCTTGGGATGTTTGGCTCATTCCTTTATTAAATAAAGGAATCATGCGTTTAGAGTATTTAGCTGCTGCTAAAAATATCCACATGACAAGCCACGTCATTGAGCTATCGTTTGTGGCCAGGACACTTCTGAAAAAGGGCTATATAGCTCCGTGGACCTTACCTGGTAAAATATCAACAGTTTTTAGTATGGTCGAAATGTTTCTTTGTGTGGATTACATAACTTTCATCGCACAACTCAGTAGGGAGGAGTGATCTGGCACTGGATTGGCATCACTTTAAACCTCCCCGAGTCTTGCCTAGTGACGTGTGGCGACCGATGTCCATTGTACCGGCAGCACATGGCACAGCTGCGAAGGCAACAGCAGTAGGTGCTTGATAGGTGGGGCTTATGAACTATATTAAATCAATAAAGGAGTCGCTGAGAGCTCAATATGGGTTAACTTCAAAACTTCTCTCAAGAATAAATTTTTGTTCAAGCACCATGTCTCATGAATTACGTTTCCCAACAAATTAAGTTGTAATATTTGCGTCTACAAGACTAAGCCGGGGATCATGACTGCACTAGTGTCCGTGTCCTCGGGCACTTCCCCTCACAGATGCAGCTGCCACGTTTCCTAGCGAGTGACTCCACGCGTGACAGTAACACACACCAGGTTTGGCAGGCCCTTGCCACAACTCGCATAGCCCGTGATCACGTTCACAGGCCATGTTCCCTTGTCTCTGTGTACAACCCAGCCCTCTGTGTACAATGCTATGTGAGCCAATACACGACAGTGGACTGCGGCGCATTGCCTTTTTATATCTTTCCGTGAAGACACAGAAGCCACGCCGGGGACACGGGGTGACATTTTCACTGCAGAGAAACTATACGACCGTAGCCATTGTGGCTCCAGTGGCGACGGCCACTCAGGCAGCAAACGTTTAAAAAAATACGACCAACTTGCCTTCTGGTGCGAGCTTAGCCAGGTGCTTGTGCAATAAATCTTCATGATTTGATGGTCACATCCATACAGTGTTATCTAACAGAACACTCTATGACTGGACTATTACTTTGAGGTTGTTTCCTCCTAACACGTGATTGTTCTGGCAGTGGGTGAGCAGTTACTATCAGCCCAAAAACTCTCACTTGTCACTGCTAGCCAATCTTCAGCGGAGGGCTTGGAGTAGCTTCCTTGTGCACAATTCTACACACAAACGTATTGAATACTGTGTCACTGCCACTGTGATGGAATATTTATATTCCTTGGAGTGTATAGAGCACTGACTACAGAGGCGTTACATAACATTCTGTGCAAAGCCATGAGCACTTTGACATTCACTAGTAACATCCGGATAAGCACAAAGTAAACCACGAAAAGAAAACTTTTCCAGTAAAACTATCGTGCATGTAAGACAACCTTGATTGTTTATTACTCTTAATATTCTGTCATTGATTGCACTTAATTTGCAACGACTACCAATCATGAATACCTGCCTGGTATAACAGTGTGGTTAAAGCTTTTGACTCAAAATTGCAAGCCTATAGGTTCATTTTGATTGGTTGATGACCTCAGACCTTTATCCTTTTGAGGTAAGTAAACTTAAGTACTATTTCTTGTGAAGTCAGTAATGAATGGTATAGAGAGACACATCTTCTTTGGATGGACTGGCCACCACCATTGGAATGTGGATTTTTCAGCACTCGCTCCAGGCCATAAAACGCAGATGAGAAGCCTCCCAGCATTCATCTGAGCGAATAAACAATTTAACTTGGTCTTGATTCAATATGCACACACATTATTCAAGCACAAGTGTTGTTCACCCTCAAACCTCTTTGGGGCTAACTGTTTAACCCCCTCAACAGAAGGTACCGATGACCCCTTAACCCACATTGCTAAAACTAGATCAAGTTTGTCAGACTTATGCGTGAGCCTGGTCGAGGTCAAACTAGACCCTAGCCAGGTGAGGACCAACCTGGCCCACGTCCCTACGAACGGCGTGGCATTTCTCCCACCAGCTCCACGCCCTGACTCAAGCCTATACACTCATAGCCACGTTCTCTCTCGATGCCAGCGGCCTCGTGCCTGACTTCCGAAGGGTGCACAGTCGCTTGGCAGGCATTTAGGCGCGTTAATAATGTAAAGATAATGATTAGATGCCGTTTATTATGAAGGAAGTTGGGGACATAAACGAGACATGGAGAATCATCTCCATTTTGATGGCCAATGTTGACTTCCCACAGAGCAGACACAATGTTAGGTTTTACATGGCAATCTACCATACCATTTTGGTGTTTCCAATATGTACAAATTCTTGCTTATAAACATAGTTTAGGTGAAAGCATTAAGTGTGGCTCTCTAAAACCAATTATTTTAATAATAAAATTAACAGGCTACACATTTTTGGGATAAAAAAATATTAAGTTCCAGTAGCTAAGACCAAAAGCAGGAATAAGTAAATAAGCACCTGAGAAAAAAATCCCATCAATATATTTTTTCAAATTCACTTACCGTAGTCATCTATATGGACATCGTGGTACTCGGTCCTGGGCATCAGCTTTGTAGCCACTGCCTCTCGAAGTAACGTATTGTTCTCCAGAGTCATGTAATCTGTCACGGTGAGCAGCGGCCCGGGGGTTACCAGCGTGCCGCCTCGGCAGCCACTCCAGTCACATCAACACACATCGTCAACCCACAGAGTTTGTAAAGTTATTTAAAACACTACAATAGGTTCTCCATTGCTTTGAAATATCAAAATAGTTTTGGCTCCACGATGCAAAACAAATTAGTTTTTTTACATCGCGTCTAAACGCAACCACATCTCAAGCTTCTTTAACAAAAAGAATGGTGCATGGGCATCCTGGAGAAATTAGGCATATTTAATAAAACGACAGTCACGGGCAAATGAGAAGAGGAAAATCTTGAGCCTGGATTTGCACAATTGCTATTCGATGGTGTCGACAGCTTGTGTGGCTAGGGCAGGGGTCGAGAACCTTTTTGACTGGGAGAGCCATAAAAGCCAAATATTTCTAAATATATTTCATTGAGAGCCATATAGTATTTTTAACGTATAATAAATTAAATATGTATTTTAATGCGACTTCTGGTGCTGCATGGTTTTGCTGATGGCCTTGTAGTCTGGTTCATACGTGGTGAGGTTGAGCTTCATGCAGGCGTTGAGGCTTCCATCAGTTAAACGTGAGCGTAGGTTGGTCCTAATGTTCCTCATATGCGAGAATGACTGCTCACATGCATATGTAGAGCCAAACATGGTCAATACGGCAATACTCACACGCTGCATTGTGTGGTATGTCACAGGAAGCTCGTTCCAAGTTTTAAGAATCAGCTGGTCTTTAGGTTGAAGATTTTTCATTTCTGTCCACTTGTGTTCCCTCACCAGCTCTGCTCGCTGTCGCGCAAGACTTTCCAACTCTCGATTAAGTGACTTGAACTTTCTCATCCACATGTCTGATGCCTTCAGGTCAGCAACTTCCAGCTCAAAGTCTCCGATAGAGACCCCGGGGATGCATGTCAGGTCGGCTTTGTCCACTGCACACTCATGTGGATGAGTGATGAACTTGAAAAGACCAGTGCGCGCACGAAATTCTCCAAAACGTGCTTTGAATGACTGCAGGAGATTGGACGTAAAGCCAGCTAGCTGCTGGAGATCCAGATGTTGAGTGGAGTCACTTGCTAAGCATGTATCTCTAAATTGTCGCAGTCTTTCAAAGTGCAGAAGACGACCTGTTTCAATGTCCCTAAGAAAGACTTCCAGCTTGCTTTCAAATGCAAACACTGCTTGTTGAAGGGATGAGATTGTATTTCCAATATCTTGCATTTTCACATTGAGCTGGTTCAGATGGCCAGTTATGTCCACGAGATAGTGAAACTGCAGGAGCCAGTCAGTGTTGTTTAGTTCAGGATGCTTGACGCCTTTTATTTCAAGAAAAGTCCGGATTTCACTCAGGCAAGCTGCAAAACGGCTGAGCACCTCCCCCCTTGACAACCAACGCACGTTGTTGTGTAAAAGCAGACCGGGATAATGATTCCCAACTTCTTCTAACAGAGCTTTAAACTGGCGATCATTTAAAGCTCGGGTAACAATAAAGTTGACCACTTGAATGACCAGCGACATCACCTCACCAAGCTCCTGGCCACTCGTCTGAGCGCAAAGCGCCTCCTGGTGCAGGATGCAATGAAAACTTAGGATGGCTCTCTTTTCATGTTCACGGAGAAGCGCTACAAATCCTTTGTTCTTCCCCAACATACAGGGTGCACCATCAGTACAGACAGAAATAAGTTTATCCATCGGTAGTTTTTTTTCTTTAGCAAACTCCATCAAAGACGTGAATATATCCTCTCCTCTTGTTGTCCCTTTCATTGGCAAAACAGCCAAGCTTTCCTCACGCAGTGTGTCACCTGCAGCATACCTGGCAATTATACTGAACTCAGATAGATGGCTAACGTCTGTTGACTCATCTAACGCGAGAGAAAAGTATGTCCCGGCGTTTATGTCCTTAATTTGTGTTTCCCCGACTTGATTTGCCATCATGATGCTACGATCGTGAACAGTTCTTGCTGACAGAGGCATGTCTTTTATTCGTTTGATTATCTTGTCTTTATTTGGGAAGTCATCAAACAGTTCATTGGCCACATCAAGCACGAATGTTTTGGCATACTCGCCATCTGTGAATGGCTTTCCATTCCTTACTATTGCCAAAGCACCCGCAAAGCTAGCGGAATTCCCGTCACCTTGCTTGGTCCACACACGTAGTTGCTGCTGACTCGTCTGCACTCTCCGCTGTAGCTCTTCGCATGCCTTTTTCCTGCTGTCCCCCGCTGGATATTTCGATGCAAATGAAGCATGGTGCGTATCGAAGTGCTGCTTTATATTTGACCGTTTCATCGATGCAATTTTATCATTGCATATTAGACATACCGCAGATCCTGCTCTCTCCACAAATGCAAATTCCTCTATCCACGCAGCCTGGAATGCACGGTAATCATCGTCTTTTTTTCTTTTCACCATCTTTTCCGTTACAAGGGTTGATGCGGATAAACTAGTTGGCTATCTGATCAAATTGATTTCTTCACCTTTACAATGACCCGTGACACTTTAAAATAACACAGTATTATTAAGCAATATCACAAGTATTTTAAAATCAGTTCCAAACTGTTTTTTTATTATTATTTTTTTATTATTTTTTTTCAACTCAAAATTGTCTGGGAGCCATATGCCGTCACTGGAAGAGCCATATATGGCTCGCGAGCCATAGGTTCCCGACCGCTGGGCTAGGGGAAGGCAGTTCCATATGGAAAAGAGTGACCTCCCGCTGAGCAAACCGTTTATTGGGGTCTTTGGCAGAAGGCCTTGGTTGCCGGTGTAGCGAGTACGTTGAGGGGAGTAGAGTGAGATGGTAGGAGAGAGGGGAGAGGTAGGAGAGCGTGTCGAGGGGAGTAGAGCGCGATTAGTGGAGAGAGGTAGGAGTTTCACAAACCAATTTTGGCTTGACCAATGTGAAATTGGTTGAATTTGTCGCATGCTGAAACCATACTCAGACCCTCAATTTTCCAATAAATAGCACCTACCACTCCATCAGCAGATGCAGCTGCACTCGATACTGAGCTGCCACGCTATCTCTACATCTCCCATCTCTATTAGACCTCCTACGCAGAATTTCAGAACAGGCTGCTGGCAAAATGATAGTGAAAATATTCTCACCATATACTCCAAGGATAATTGATTTACATTGTTTATACACGCTGCGTATACCCAAGCTGTCAAATCAATTTGTGTTCATTATGTGTCATTGTTAAAAATAGTCACACTCACTGTTTATGTCGCTCATGGTGTGGACGGTAATCTTGGGGACAGATGGTCCTATAAAATAAAAAAACAACCAACGTCGGTACTGTCATTAAAAACAACAAGCATGAGCATCCCACTGTTGGCCATAATATTCCATATCGGGTTATTATATTAGTTCACTCTAATTTCACGTAGAACTATTGGAATAACATTATAACTGAGGCACATTTAGTTAAACCGTCCAGATTTCAACATAATTGTGTATGTGCCGTACATGTGTCACACACGAGCATTTTTTGACTTTCGCGGCCACTTAGGAAAGCCATGATTTACGACGAGTTTAAAACACCACGAGGAGAGAGGGGGAGATAATGGCTCATCACACAAACACAGGGTAGGGCAAGGCTACATATTGAGCAAAATACAAGGTGGCATAGAACAGGTGTCACCATGAATCTCATTTGCGTTTCTATAACGTATGTAATTATTTAAGGAATGTCACATGTTAGTGAAATTACAAATGATCACCGCGATCATCGACACCAGCCATGATCAATCCACTGCTGGATTGATCGACACGAGCCTCCTCAAGCCAATGCCATCTTTCACAATTTTTCGATTTAACAATCCACATAGCACCTGCACACAACCCGATTTCATTGATCCATCTCCAAGGTGGACGTTTAACCTCTGGGACACATTTCAGTCACTATCTGCCACGTAATCGTTATCGCTGATTTTCGACTATCACCATTTTTAAAGAAGCGTATTGTCCAAGCCCACTCGGTTTTCTCAACAATGTTAATTGTGTCATTCGCTTGCATGTGCTCTCCACTCCACGTGTTCTTCTCTCTATCAAAGTAATTTCAAGCACGAATCTCTTTTTGCCCCTGTTGTGTTCCTGTTTCGTTAAATCAAAAACCATAGCACGCTGTATGCATCGATTAGTATTGCTATTGTTCAGGCACAATGACGTGTTGCTTTTCATTATCCAATTCCAAAAGCACTCCAACCTGCTCTCGGCCACCTTGTTATTTCAACACATTCCTGCGGAGGGAGCTGGTAGGAACGTTGGGTTGCTCGGTCAATGGCCAGAGTCAACGGCGGCGTGGTGTATTCCGCAAATATGGCCGACTGTGAGGGTGGGCAGAAGCCGGCGTGAGTAGGTTAAACGTTGAGTTTTATAAGGGCACCACGGGGTGACCAGCCCCTCCCCACCCAGCCCCACCCTTCCCACCGCCCACCCAGCCCCTCCCCACGCAGCCCCACCTATCCCACCCCCCACCCTCCCCACCCAGCCCCTCCCCACCCTCACCACCCAGCCCCTCCCCACCCTCCTCTCTCCACCCAGCCCCACCCCCCCCAATTTTTGGATGCACGACGGACGGACACAATAATCCCCTGTGGGCTGGTGTAACCAGGAGGTTCCTACCAGTATAATTTATTCTGGTCTGACTTTAATAGCTGTCCCAGGCACACATATACTATGCTGTATGTATGCAAGTTGAACTTATTTAGCACAGTAAGTAGCCAACCATGTTGTTTCTTCCAGTCGTGTATATGTCCAATTATTATTCAAACTTTTTTGTACATGACCTTTGTTTTGTTCATATTTATCCTAAGCCATAATTGCAGGCTTTTATTTATCTATTTAAAAAGTTATTCTGACATTTCCTGTAGTTAATTTCTATTGGACGTCCCGACAACCATCTGAGATGGCGGTTAATGTTTTTTTCATGAATATTTATGCATTACTTTTTCCAATATTTTTTATAGATAATAACTTATAATGTGGCTATGAATAACTTTTGCCATAGCACATCATGTTGCCCGACTTCCTTTATAATATATATTGGGAACTTTCTTCATTCGATCTCAATGCAGCTATCCAAATTTTGTCAAACGTTTTTATTATTTCTAAATGTTTATTTGATTTAGGCCAAGCTTTGTGAGAGCTGGGATAATTGCATCTTGCTTCTACTGAGAAGTGAGTCGAATGCGTGTGTTACTTTGCTGGAAATGCCTGAAATCGTAACTCAGCCGTTTGTCATTTCAATTCAGGGAATCCACTTTGACTCACTGCTGCCACGTGCGTACTGTATTATTGCACACTGTACCTCTCGGCTCAAGTCATAAAAATCAGAAGGGACATTGGGATAAATGTCACGTCCAACTTCTTTTGCTCAGCTGGGCATTGCATTTTTTCGGTGGCTCGTTTTTCCCCAACATTTTCTGCTTTCGCCACTTTTCACAAATGCTCTCATTTACGAAACACAACCATGTTATCAGCTTTCATTTTGGGATGCAAATCAACTTTCTCTGTCACAACATGTGCTGAAAGCTATCTGTCCAAGACAGACAAAGCCATTACTGTTTGGAAACATTTACAAATGTGCTCGTGCGATTGATTGAAGCATAGATGCAATCATCTTCTTTAAGCGTATAACTGCATAGAGGTAATTTAAATCACTGTTGAACACTGTGCCCTTGCAAGTCATGCCAGTCGTGCGTCTGATAAGTGCCGTATTTTATGCCTCACCACTATGGTCGTCATATCCTTGTTGCCTTCAAGTTCCTCAGAATTTAATTAATTTAACTTTTTAAATCGAAAGCAGAGGGAGGCCCCGTGGCACTCTGGCTCAAACCCCACGCATAAACATGCAGGGGAAACAATTAAGGGGGGGCAGCTTCAGTGGATTCAACTAATTTCTGCATCGATGGCACAAAAAAACATCATGTGAGAGTCATTAAAATGTAAATCAACGTCATGGTATGGCGGATGGCTGGGTAGAATATTCTCAGCGTTTTGGTTTAATGAATGATAAAGAATCATTCCACATACCAAAATACTCAAAAAGATATAGAGAGTCACATCATAGAGAGCACCAACTGCAAGAGTGTTTAATCTCAGTGCGGCATCATCAGCACCACCATCAGCATCAGCTGGGCTCTACCCAGTAATGGAGGAAGGCCTCCCCTAGCCGTTGCCACCACTCATGGTCTCACCATATATGTATTTAAGTTGAGTTTCTTTCTCACCATACGTAGCCAATCGCGATAATCGGAGGTGCAGGGGAAGGACAACAAACTAAATACAAAAAGCAGTTCTAAAGACATGAGTTTTAAATCCAGATTTCAAACTGCATAGCTTCAGTGGCTTCCTAATATCGGAAGGAAGAGCATTCCAGGCAGCCGCAAAAATGCATCTTAAAGTGTGCGATGCGGTGATCATCTTTGTTCCATAGATTTCCAAAAGCCCATGCGAAGATGACCGGAGTTTGCGTGATGGTGTATGCTCCTTGACGAGATCAACAAGGTATTGTAGTTCATTGTGGCAAGCACTTTGTGTGCGATTAGTGCGACCTGTGTAAGGAATAAACATTGCTTCATCTCCATGGTGATCATTATTTTGGGTGTGTTCTCTCCTTTGGTTGCAACTCCATCACGAGTATTATTATCCATCATCCCTTTTTGCCATGTCATGCCCAAACCCATTTACATCTTAACCACCAATAAGATGTCTCTTATTTGCAGTGTTGGTTCCTTGTTCCACTAATCCCTCGTTCTGTCTATGCTTTTCTGCGCACTTCACGTTTTTTTCTCATTTTCTTAATCAATATCTGTGTTTCTGATCCGTATGTCATAGCAGACGGTGAGAAAAATACTTAAAACTTTTATCATTATACGTTTATATCTGTGCATGGGAGTTTTTATACAGTAAGATCTCACCATATATATGGTCTGCAGTGTAAATTTCTGCTTCAAATAGAAAAAAAATCCCAGAGTTTGACATTGCAAGTTAATAATGGTCAAACTCAGCAGGGAAAATAGACACAAGCTAATGCAACAAGAGTGAATGGAAGCCTGTAATTCCCAGATGAGCTATAGAAGTACATTATAATCTGTAGCCCTGGTGCTCCATATTAACCCAGCTGGTTCTGTTGCATTTTGTTATGAGAACTGCACATTATACAGGGGGTAAAAATCTACTTGATTTATTTCCATTTAGTTGTTATTTTATTCCATGAATTTTGCAAGTTTATGGCTATAATTTGTATACATACCTAGTGCGAGTACATGCTTTCTGAAAATGCTTAAGCATTTAAAAAACAGTATTGTAACCGTTTGAGGTGCCGCAAATATCCGTTTGTGTACTGCACTTCTACGCTCTCCACCTTCGGCAAGCAGCATTGACCCGCGCGGTGAAGTATGATCAAAGTAACCTCCACAGCCATACAAGGCGTAGGTGGAGGCTCTCATCCAGCAGTGGATTGATAGAAATTGTCTGTGCGTGGAGATTACAAATTTCAGATCCGTGGCGAATGAATGCAGCTGAAAAATGAAAACCACAAAACGACGGTAAACGCCGGTGACAACGTTCAGGAAACGTGGCGGGTGGCTCTGGAAGACACATTTACATTCGTGGTGTGCTCCTAGGCTGTGTTAAAGCAAAGCACAAATGCCGACCAGAATAAATCACGCCATGGCAATGCAGAAGCACCGCGTGCAGCCACTTCTGTATGTATGCAGCCGCTCCTCATTATTTTCCAAAGGGAAGAAATGCACTTAAAGATACTATGCAGGGCTAGGAAAGAACCTTGAAGGAATTAATTTGCAAATTATCAAGAGCATGGATGACCACACAAAAAGACAGTTGAGTTTGATCAGCGGGTCACGTGAGATTGATCAATGGTGGAGTGAGACCGGCAGAGCTTTGTACATTGTGAACCAGGACTTAGACCTACAGTGTTACATTACTGTGGTGAGGGCCAGATCTGTCTGTCTGAGACCGACGACTTGGTAAGCTTGAGGTGGGTGGCTGCCTGGATTTAAACGCCAGATCTCAGCAGAGCTGGCTCACTTATTTAGCAATGTTCCATGAGATTATTGTGTAAAGTTTTCAAAATGTGACAATTATCAAAAGCGCTATGGAAATGTTCTTACACTTCAACTTTACAATATTTAAAGGCTTGAATTATGTTGTTTTCATCGTGACTTGATGCTGAAGCATTTAATGTGATTAAAAGATGGAGTGTTTGCTTCCAATGATATGACGTGTGGTGGCAAATGTAGCAATGCAAAAGGCTATGATGTTATTTTTCAGGGCAATAGAATTGCACCTCTATCCTATTGTGATATCACAAATGGCCGTGACATTGCACCCACTAATGTCGCAAATGACAGATAATAATAGGAATGTAACGTGCTCAGAGGTGCATGGAACTAATGCCAAAATCCCCCAAGCTCTGCGGTTCTCTATATATTAAGATGTCATCAGCTAATTAATGTGTTTACATGTGGGAGGAAATATGAGTACCCGCAGAAGAATCAACTGTGCAAACGGATACACTATCCCATACACAAACAGATGGAGATTAGTATACATGTGACTAGATTAGTCTAACATGTTGTAACATATTCTCCTGGCAAGCCAGGGTATGGCCCCTCGATACCTTCGGGAAGGGAGTTTTGCAACATTTGTATAATCCATAAACCATCACCTCCACAGTGCTGGATTACAGGCGTGTGCCACCACCGGTACACGAGCGCATGGGTGGCCAGCACCACGCCTGGCCACCTTTGTCTCCCCAGTGCTAATGTTTACACATCGCACAAGGTTCTCATTTGAGGCTGAGTCGACCTAGGGGAGGCCCAGTTTAAATAATCATCTCCGGTATTGGCCGTGAGCGGAAATCGAACCCGGTTCGCCGGGTCACCGGGCCACCAGCTTCGGAGCACAGTGTGCAAACCGAAGCGTTGCCGCTGCGCACAAAGACAAATATTTCCCATATTGCCTGAACAGACTGTTGGGGCAAGTACTGTTAAGCGAGCACCTAACAAGGCTGGCACAGCATGCGAGGGGGTGGGTGGCCAACACCACGCCCGGCCGCCTTTGTCTCCCGAGTGGCAATGTTTACACACCTCACCAGGTACTAATTTGAGGCTGAGTCAACCTATTGGAGGCCCAGGACCGGTTCAGATAATATAATCGTCACTGGTGTTGGCCGTGAGCGGGAATCGAACCCGGGTCGGCAAGTTCGTAATTCAGCGCGCGAACCACTATACTACCACTCCCCCACAATACACACACACACATTTGTGGCGATCGCGCATAAGGAGCTGTTTCAGTACAGCCTCACGCCATGATGGACAAAGGGCATGAGTGACCGTGAATGCAACTCACCCAGACAATGCAGCACAAAGTGCGAGCTGCCCGGACTGAAGATGGTACGGTAGTACATGCAGCCAGGGATGAGGTCACATGAGAGGCATTGCCGATTAAAAGTCCCTGTGGTCTCCGCACTGCAATTACAATCAAAGTACAAAGTAGTGCAACAAGCTAACTCAGACAAAAACATGTGGCCTACAGACAATGCACAGTTACAGTCAAGTCTATGCATCCAGACACTCAAGCAATGAAGTGCACGTGGTGCTCGTGTTGATTTGTGGCCCTCAACCAGTGGTGGAGACTCCACAGTCCCATGGTGGGGGCCAGTCTGCCAGAGAAGAAGCACTGTTGATTCACATTAAGCTACAGTAAAAAATCTCTGCATGGGTTCACATTGTGAGTTGTCTGAATCTATTACGACCCTGCCTCTTTTGTTGCATCACATCCACTCACCGTGCAGTATACACGCAAGGTGCCTCTGCAGCTTACACACTTAACAAAAATCGAATTTGTCGGCCATACATTTCCTCGGCCGTAATCCCATATGCACCGAGGTGGAATCCACATGGTACGTTTTCCACATTCATAATCACATTTGTCTTAAACACAATCTATGACGGGAAATTATGTCAGAATTCACATCGCAAAACGGGAACATGAAAAAAAAATTGGTATGGAAAAAAGAAGTGGCATGGCATGTTCGCACAGTATCTGACAAATCCTTCAAAGTTATCTAGCGAAGGCTCCAAATTCCAAATGATTTGATAAATCCCAATCGGGATTTGGTTTCGTCTCTCCGGAGTCAATACAATGACTATAGTACTTCCTTTTGAGACTTAAACAGTGGTTGCCTATGCGAAGACTGACCCCAATCATAGGAATGTGGAATTTCTGAATTGGAAATGTTTCACAGTTGTCAATGACCACTGCCCAATGTTTGTTTGAGTGGACTTGTGCCTGGTTTGTTTATCTATCGGGAATGGCAAGTGTAAACATATTGAGTGCATGACATTTGTCAACACGTTGATGCTTTTCAAAAAAAGGGAGTCATTGATTGTTTTCACCAAGCTGTGTAATTGCCGTGCATCACTCTTTCCTCTTTCTCTATTCTTCTGTCTCTTTTTTCTCCATTCCCTCCCCTTTTTCACTCACATCTCTCCGCTTTCTATACTTTCTCAGATCACAACAAGGATAAGCTCCTTTGGCTCCATCCAATCATTCCAGTTGCATCGATCCCTTGTACCCGAGTTTTGTTTTTTCTCTACTTCATTGTAAAAAAAGACCTTGAGTTATATAACAGGGATAATTCATATATGATTACCCAATAACAATTCACACAAAGCAAAACAAGTGGAAGCAATGGAAAGCGTGATACTCTCTGAGGCAGCTGCACACATGCGATCACGAGTTCACGGTGAAATAAATTAACAGCAATGCACTTATGATTGCACCACATTGTGTTTGGTACAGGCAGAACATAAAAGGTCAAGCTAAGCTACAATGCCGAATATTTGTAATAAAAACAGGCATTCTTATAATTCACTAATCCGTAACAGCATACATTTTCTGACAAGGAAATTAATTACAACACTATGTATTTGAACACGTATTCCCATTTTGTCGGGCTCTTCCAATGTAAATGCAAATGCCGTCACCAAAGAAGAATGGTTCATTCTCCTTGACGTCACCATTTCAGCTGTTGCGATAGAAATGTCGGTTCTTGCAAAGTACATGGTACATCTTTTTTTTTATGTGACGTTGAAATTGACTTTTCCAAGACGAAGGTACTCTGCAAACCCACTGGCTATTATCATAGATGTGTTCATGAAACCATCCAGATATATAAACACAGACACAACTTCAACCGACAGGATGGGTACAAACTGAGCAATCATTGGAAGGACGTTATTCACCAGGTAACGTCTTAACTGACTGTGATGTTTCCATCCTACCTGCCTATGTCAGCTGTTATTTCCGACTCTCCGTGTGTCTTTCTTTTTCTGTGCATCTCTCTCCGATCTCTACTCCAGTGACCCGGGTGCTGCTGCGGGGTCCACTTTCTGCCCCCCCCCCTTCTCTCACCCCCCCCCCCCTTCTCTCACCCCCCCACTCCCGAGTCTATATAACCTCGTGTCACGGCAGATCTCTCGCCTACTTTAGCAGTGTTTTCTTGCCGTGGTTGTCCCACCTGATGACGATTGCTTGTGTTGCGATAGAAACGTCGTGATCTATTATTTTTCTACCTACGTGACTTTACCGAAAGAACCAAAGAGTATGGATTCCTGCAGTCACGAAAGCTTCAAATCAAGATTGGTTTATACACAATTCATAATTCATTTTATAATTCCCAACTGAGAAATAACTACATTGATATCATCTCTTGTAACGATTCCTTTAATCCATGTTGAAGAGTATACAGTATTGGCCAACGCTACAAGTATTGTCCCTTATTTATTCGAAAAAAACACAACTATACAACATTAACATACACTAAATTAACATAAAACGTATGTAATTTAACGATGTAAATACTGTATCATCAGCAGCAGCCACTGTCTATCCACTGCTAGATGAAGGCTTCCCCACATCGTCACCATTTCTCAAAGTCCTGCGATGCCCCAATTCATGTCACTTGTTCTCATAAACTGATCTCATTGCTCTATCTCTGTGGTGGTCATCCTCGTGGGCATGATCTCCCCTTTGGCTGCCACTCCATTGTGAGTCCCATCCATGGGGAAAGAATGAATTAATTAGCATCGGATTGGACAGTGCATTGAAAACATGGAATAAAACGCAAATATACAACAAGATATCTGTATTTTTCGATTTAAAGCTTTCGTGACTGCAGGGATTCATCTTCTTGGTTCTTTCGGTAAAGTCACGTAGAAGGGAAGTAATAAAATAATAAAAGTAAAACATAATAAAACAATTCTCACGACGTTTCGGCCACAACGCAAGCAGCCGTCCTCAGGTGAAGAATGAGACAATGCCAAGCTAGGAGCTTATATATAAGCTGCGTTGGAGGTGGAAGAAAGAGCGCCTTAACAAAAGAATGTGCATATGAAGAGGAATTTAGCATATACATGGAAAATGCGTAGGAGGTGGGCGGGGGGGTTTTCAAAGTCATATTATGCCCATGCATTATGCAGGATCAACAGCACCAAGGGGGGGTGCAGGGATTAGCAGTAACAAAGGAAAGGAATGTTAATGATATGTAGCTGCAGTTACTCAACAACCACGTAGAAAACTAAAGTATAAACTACATAAAAAACTAAAGTATAAATTGCATAACACCATCAGTATACTTACTATACTCTACACTAAGCTGAGTTACTAACAGCAAGTAATACATTACAATTCTACGTCGTAAAAATTATATAATATGCTTCCATCTAAACTTTATTCTATTGTATCACACGAGCATATACCGTACTATATACTGCCAACATTAAATTATGTTGGCAGTATATAGTACGGTATATGCTCGTGTGATACAATAGAATAAAGTTTAGATGGAAGCATATTATATAATTTTTACGACGTAGAATTGTAATGTATTACTTGCTGTTAGTAACTCAGCTTAGTGTAGAGTATAGTAAGTATACTGATGGTGCTATGCAATTTATACTTTAGTTTTTTATGTAGTTTATACTTTAGTTTTCTACGTGGTTGTTGAGTAACTGCAGCTATATATCATTAACATTCCTTTCCTTTGTTACTGCTAATCCCTGCACCCCCCCTTGGTGCTGTTGATCCTGCATAATGCATGGGCATAATATGACTTTGAAACCCCCCCGCCCACCTCCTACGCATTTTCCATGTATATGCTAAATTCCTCTTCATATGCACATTCTTTTGTTAAGGCGCTCTTTCTTCCACCTCCAACGCAGCTTATATATAAGCTCCTAGCTTGGCATTGTCTCATTCTTCACCTGAGGACGGCTGCTTGCGTTGTGGCCGAAACGTCGTGAGAATTGTTTTATTATGTTTTATTTTTATTATTTTATTACTTCCCTTCTACGTGACTTTACCGAAAGAACCAAGAAGAAGATATCTGTAGCCACATACAATGTAGATAAGCATAAATACCGACAAAAATATAGCATACGTAAATTTCTTTAGATAAAAAGAGAACATATATCATACGACACACATGAAACTATGGGAGCATGAACATAGCAATAAGGGATGTCCATACGGTGGCACAAGCTAGCGACAGTATCATAAAACGCATGGAAATCCAGTGTCCTGTGGAATTGAGTTTGATTTGTCAACGGCCTATGACATCGGTAAAATGAATCCTGAGACCAACGTCTAATTGCAATAAGTGGCGCACTTTCAGCTGGATTAAGCAGCCTCTTGCACTTTGTGCATGACACCTGCATTAGTCATAGTGGGCAGCCACTGCTACACACTCTCAGTAGGTGAGTGTGTGGGAGTGCTGAGTATCTGGTGAGTGTGTCTAGTATGTGTTAGCAGTAAATGGTCGGGTGTAAGGTGAGCAGTCAGTGTTATGGTGTTTAGTGAATGTCTTGTGAGTGAGTTTTATGGTGATTTTCAGCTGAGTGGTCTCAAGTTAATATTGGTGACATGGCCTAGCGGCAGCACATTTTCCGATTGTTTCATAGCTTCATGGCTCGAATCCAGCAGCCGCCACGACTATTACTGCAAGTGTAATAACCACAATGGTATGCAACACCTGCTAATACAGGTGGACGTGGAAGATCCCCCGGCGTCATGTCAAATTCTAAAATTACTCGTACATTATTCAATTGGGACTATACATAGCAATCATAACCCCGTACTAGCAGACTAATTCTTCAGATCACTCTTGCAAATAGACGTATCCTGGTCTCTCAAGTTCTCACCTAGTTAAGCTAAATAAACTTGAAACTCGTCCTGGGCAACATAAATGACAATATGACATCCACAACAGCGTCCAGGTGGAGTATATTTAGATTGTGCACGAAGGACGTGATGGGAAAAAAACATTTAGCGAGCTGCATTCGTACAAATACATATAACGAAAGCATTGCACACTTGTGTTTGACTTAACCATTCTTTTACAGAACACCTCGACATTCCACACACGTTCTCCCATTGGGCCACTGCTCACCTGTACAGTTGGCGACGCTTAGATGAATCCTCTGTGCTCAGAAAGTACCTGGACGAGAAAACGGAACATTGAGCACCAACGGTTAAGCCACAATTCTTTATAAGAAGAAGAAAAACTATTAAATTAAAATAAAACACTTATCAGCTCAGAGATGGTTTGCCAAACATTTAAAAATGGTGCCCTCTCTGGTTGTGTTTTTGTTTCTATTCTGTGTTCATTTGATTTTAATTTCGCCCCCCTTCAACTAGCAAATCTTGAATTACGCTAACATAGGCAGGACAGCAGTCATCATGCTGCCAGGATAGTAAATGTAATACGTATAACCCTTGTTTCTGTTTCCAAATTAGTATCACTTTGCATTATTTTATTGGCACGTGTACAACGTGATTGCATAATCGGTTTTGCTAAATATGTGGCTTGCAAAGATTGTGATAAAACATACGTTGAAATAATAGCAGAACATTTAACAAAAAATGCTAAATCTCCATCATTAAATGTTGTTCAGCACAAACCACTGGGAATGCAAAAATGCTTTGGTAAGGCACCAGAGAATGGTAGATATCTTTATTCATGTTGAAAATCACGTAAACTCATTAATACGTAACAAAAATATATATAATAACAAAACAAATCTATCCATGAAATGTTTTTCTACTGGGGGTTAAAGATAATAATTGTTGGCAATAGACAAATGTTCCAAGCACAACATTTCATCATCGGTTATAGTCGGTGCGGGGGGGAGGCTTGGCAACTTGTGCTAATGATTTAAAAGCTGAACGTAATACATGTTTTTACAAAAAAATAAACAATAAAACAATGGATGCTTTTTTTTTTCTTCTTGGTTCTTTCGGTAAAGTCACGTAGAAGGGAAGTAATAAAATAATAAAAATAAAACATAATAAAATAATATAATATAATAATATAAGTAATATAAATAATAATATTTATATTATTTATAATATAATAATAAAAATAATATAATTATTTTATTTTATTATGTTTTATTTTTATTATTGTATTACTTCCCTTCTACGTGACTTTACCGAAAGAACCAAGAAGATGAATCCCTGCAGTCACGAAAGCTTTAAATCGAAATGGATGCTTTATTGATACCATTTTAAATAAAAAAAAATGTATACGGTTATAATTTATTCAACAGTTAAAAAAAAATTACCTCGTGGCTTTATCTACAATAATGAATATGAACTGCCAATTACAGTGCAAATTTATTTTGTCCTATTTTCATGGTAATGCAATTCATTTGGTTATATCTATGATAAATTAAACCCTGTTATGCATATGATTTGCGTAGCAATCACACTTCGATAATGCCTTTGTTCAGAAGTGCAGCAGCGCATCACTGGTGCCTGACGCAACACCGAGAACCCTTATCTTCACAACGCAATGCAATGGCCAGAGGATAGAGTTTGGATGGGAAAAGAGGCTGGCTTAACCCTTGCACCTTTGACATTATTTTGTTTTCTTAACCGAGGCCCTGAAACAGGAGCCTTTTCGCCTGCCTGTAATTGCGTTTGACCCTAACGTGGCAACTGGAACTGCCATGTGAATGTGAATAAGATATTGCGTCTCTTTTGGCCTTTGATCCGACGCTCATGAAATATAGCGCTGGGCTATTAAATACTCAGGGAATCAATGTTGAAATAAAACCAATCATGAGCACTACATTTCCAACTGTACATTTAAATATATATCCAGTATATATATCTATATCTACAGCTTTATATACAATATGTGCAAGCAGGTACGTAGTTTTGCAAATATATAGACAGGTCAGACAGTTCTCCACAGTAGATGGATACACAGATACTAAACATAGATCTAAAAAGGTGGTGTTTTGGTAAATGCACTCAACTCACAATCACAAGGTTGCAAGTTGACGTATGACTTTGTGGAAGGCAAATCGTTTTTCAGTGGATATTCTGGCCCCTGCCATGGGAATGTGGAATTAACATCACTGGCTACAGGCTACCAAGAGTGATAAGTGTTGGTCCATTTGCTCGTTATACCAGGGAGACATTTTGACTTCACTTTTGACTTCTACTAGAAATTTGTGGAAGTGTCTGAGATTTACACACTCAATCTTAACAAATGCTATGGAAACTTGTGTACCCCAAACGGGCACATGATAATGCACACTCTGCCAATATACACTCATCCCAGCGCCCCTCAGGTCAGGCTACCTAATGCTGGCAGCACAGGCGACTCTTGGTCGGTCCTAGAACCAAGACGATATCACGAATCTCACAGCCTTGTCACTGCTTGAGCCACCTTTTATGAAGCGCTAATTTCAGGGGTCTGAATGGACAGAAGTCCGAAGTGGCTCGGACTGGGCTGTACGCTAGATGTTCCAGAACAATGCATTCCACATTACCCAATAATCCCATCATTGAACGTGCAGATCGTAGGGTGTGTATTGTTGTGCTGAATCACCATTCCCTTTCTCAACAGTCTGAATTTATGTGTCAGTATTTCTGAAAAATATTCCTAAACAAACCCTGCATACCCAAAAAGCTGCCGTCATTACTTTTCCGACAGAAGATTGTGGCTCAAATGTTTAATTTACCGAAGAACCTGATTGTTTCCATGCAGTGCTCTGGCACTCACTCTGCAGCTCATAATGGCAGTGATGATGTGAGAAAACAATGTGTCGACTTCACAACGCCAAGAAGGCGTGACGATTGTGAATCCTGTTTGCTTTATAAGCTCCTGTTAACATGTTTGGCATTGCAACATTTGGCATCAATCTTTTTTATTTTTTCATGAATTATTGAATTAACTGTTCCAACAGTTCTCCCTATGCAGTATGTGATGCATTACAACTTGTCCATCATCCCAAATCAACCTCTCCAGTCTCCACATGAGTGACGTTGGTTGGAGTTGAAGCATCGACCAGCCTACCACTTCTCCTGTCGTCACAAACGCATTCTTATTGCTATGATTTAACAGTTGTCACCTCGTCATAGCTTAATGCTTTAATACATTCCACTTATCTTTACACACTCAAGAGGACAAAAGGTGAATGAATAACAGATTGTTGTACTTTTAATCGACAGTTGTGCTAGGGTGCCGCCATCTTGGATGACATACGTTGTTGAAGCACCTCGTGGCAACATTTGGAAAAATATATTTTACAAGAGCACCAGAGTCATGACCTATTCAATGTGCAAAGCCCACTAGTGTACATTACAGCATGATTGAAAATCTCTTTAGAACTTGAAATAGCCTCATATATATCAGGCTAAGATATGGACAGTGGCCCCTCTTCCCATTGCTATAAAGAAGCATCCCTGTTTTTTTGGTTTTGTGCATGGATACCATTTTCAAAACAGTTCTTTAATTTTGTATCGATACAAGAGTCTTGTGTCTGTTTATTTGAACAATGAGATCTCACTGTTCATCTGAGATGGGGCTAATGACCTGTTAAATGAGTGGAATAAAAGGGGGCACAAGAAGAAACACATTGGCAAAAGTGGGAAAAACAGCATTTGGTCGAGGTCATTGGCCAAGCTGAGCTATCTGAATCAGTCATGATCCGGCCCCTACTGCTGCCACCGCTGCTGCAGCTTTAATACTATCTACATACGGTAAACCATTCAGCAATGTAATACATAAACAACAGTATAATCACATTATCTTTGCTATGTAAGGACAATTTTTTTGTGAGCGAGTGCTGGTTGCACGTGGCGACTTACACTTTTTGTTGGCGTTCATTATAAGCCAGAATCTTCGTCACCTCCCAGTTTCCCGAAGTAATGAACCTCACGATGGCCTGCCCTCCTCCTCCAACGATCCCCCGCTGCCATGATACAAAGAGTATAATTAAACAATCGTCTTAATTGGCCTTAATTCAACAACTTTGGTATCACAATGTCAAATAATCTGTCGCTCCAGACACACGGCGTCAATTCTTATTATGGTCAAATTGCACATCTAAAAACTAAGTGCTTGCTTCGTACCAAAATAAATTGAGGATAATATGTTCATGCCGAGAAAATGTTAAGATGTTCATGTCTGACTTAATCGAGCCGATTCACATTAACATTAAGATATGTGTGCGTGTACACGTGTACCAGGTGCCGCAGACGGCGTTGATTGCTGAGCGCGTCACGAGGGACGTGTTTAACAATCATCGGGTGCGTGCAGCGTGGAACAAACTAATTGGTATTTGAACGGGGAGTAAATTGCTAAGCGCGGAAAGACTTAGCGTACATGGTGGGTCGCGAGAACTGGGATTTGGAAAACAGTGACCTCGTGAATAAGCAGTAGTTTTGTTACATGGAGCACAAAAATGTAACAGCGAAGGGAGTGGTGAATGAGTGCACTGCATGCGCACATACACAGTTGCCGCCAGGTGGCACAATATGCCCCTAGATCAGAAGTTGGCAAACAACGTAACGAGAAGTGCCATTTTTTTCTTCTGAATTCGGTAAAAAAAACTAAAAATATTTCCAGAGCTGCAATGCACGTGAATACGAGATTGGTGACCTTTCTAAATAACGTCACGAAGCAGTCCTTAAATAGCCGCATGCGGCTCCGGAGGCGCAGGTTGCAGACCCCTGCCGGAGATGCAAATCAACCCAGAGCAAAAGCGCATGCAAATTGGTTTCACGTACGTGGTTCAGATTTGAATGATTGTCATTTCAAATAAAAAAAAAGCCAGATGACCCCTAACCAAGGTTGGCGAGTACATGTTTAATCACGCAGGATTAAATACCTTTCAGCAAAATAAAATGCATAGTTGAGCCATGCGAAACTATTTTCCTTACAGTGTTAATGACTGGAAAGCACTTGCTGTTCATTAAGGACTGTAATCAAGCATAATAACGATACAAATGCACTTAACCATTCATGGCATATGCTATCATGCGAAAGCCTAAACTCATACACGAGTAAACATAAAAATTAACCCCTTTATCACATCTTAAATTATGGTTAAAATATATGTATGGTGTAAAAATTTTAAGCATACGTTTTTAGAGAATAGGTTTTTCCCCTTTTTTCTGTCAACAAAACAGGTGTTAAGATGTTAAAACACCAAACTGAAACCTTTTACAAGAAATCATGTCTGAATTAACCACAATACTTGTGGCCAGAATGCAAACAAAAAACATACTCTGATAATATATGCATTATCTTTTAAACTGATTGGTCAACACCAGATACACCTTTCTTTCGAGCCTAGTCTCGTTGCATATATTATCAGAGTATGTTTTTTGTTTGCATTCTGACCACAAGTATTGTGGTTAATTCAGACATGATTTCTTGTAAAAGGTTTCAGTTTTTTTTACATCTTAACACCTGTTTTGTTGCCATAAAAAAGGGGAAAAACCTATTCTCATATTTTGGTACTGACAAAGCAGGTCCCATGACATACGTTGTTAATTATATTTTAAGGTACCTTTATTTGTATTTGTAAATGGCAGCTCCTCACACTAGAGCAAACCTTTTTTGTATTGATCATATTCTCAGTGCTTATGGATCGGCTTCAGCAATGCCTTGAGATTATTGGTTGCTTCATTGAAATAATTGATATCAGAAAGGAAGGTTCCCGCAATATTGTCAACATATCACTCGCATTCATATTTCTTAAAGAAATTTTCGATTTATTTTGGTCGTGTTTGATTTGCAATGGGGGGAGGCTTTGTGTAAAACACAATATTTCACCCTAATGTGGCTGTTGGACTTTTTTTTGCTTCTTGCTTGTGAAAACGTTGTGACAGCGCTCCTCAATATAACTGTCTTCAATTACACAACGTCGAAAATAGCATGATGGATCGAAAGTGCATTTGACCGAAGAAAATTCCATGACGTGGGGATGGTATTCGTGTAGCTGATTCAGAGAAAATACACGATGCTTGATGTGCTGTAAAAATGTAGCCCTTACTGTATAATAAAAGTAGACAATATATAACCTCCGAGTATTAAAAACACACATTGGCTGTAAACTGATTTTTAGCAAAAAAAATGCAGTTTTTTTCTTATGTTGGAAACATCATTACGATCATTGCGATCATTTGTGACGTTTATTCGCCTCAAATGATAGATGACACATTTAAGAAGTACACATGCTCGTTAGTGGTGAACATCTACATACATTTGAATATGACGTTGAATGTACAAAGTGTTCAATTGTTGTTTACTTGTCACAGCCGTCCATTTCATCTACACAACCGACTTCTCCCACTCTGGTACCGGCTTCATGTGCTCATAAAGATTACAAGCGAAGGTTACCTGAAGTGCAAACATGGCAATGTGATGGAAGTCTCCTCTCGCTCCTTGCTTGGCAGGCACTGGCAAGAAAAACTTGGATCCATCTCTGGAGAACACTGGCGCTTCATCCTACACAAGCAGAGACAGACGGATGGGGGAGGGTGGACAGATGCGCAGACCAATGGACAGAGAGGGATATAGGTGGCATTAAAGTAGCATTCCGTCCCACTCGTCACATGTTTATTCGTGTGTCAGTTCTGGTTTGGGTTGCAATGTGACCTCGGTCCATAGCCTTCTATTGCAATGGACTCGACATTGCACATTCTAACCATATTGTAAATGGGTCAGAGCTTAAAAATATTTTACCTGGGCAATTTTGAAGTCACGAAAAAAATCATGCTTTTGGAATGACCTCAGATTTACAGTCAAATGTATGGTCATTAAAAGGGTTAAACCCTCAATATCAACATTTTATCATGAAACAGTGCGCATACTAGTTTTTTTGGGGGGTGTTGAAGCAAACATTTTACTTTAAAAATTTGACCTCTTGACTGTGACACAAAATATAGTTTCCTAAATTTCGAAAATTAGGCCTACAGTAGCTCCAGCATAAATAACATGAACTGTTTAAATATAAACTTAACAAATATTTACAGCCGTTGGAAACGTAGTTGTAATTGGTAAATTTTTACCAAAACAAATGCACAACCTAACACTACTGCAGTTCTTTATATTAAGTATAATTCTTAAATTGAGTGAATGTCATAGCATTTTTAAGATAAGTGCATTAAATCAACAGGGTAAATCTTCGTAGTCTATCTTTCATGCCAATCATCTCGATAGCCGCACCTCCAATTATCACGGTAGGCTATGTACGGTACGAAAGAAGTTCAACATAAATACATATCAATCATAATATCTGTCATCTTGTTGATGACTTTCAGCACCGAGTTGCTAGTCAACCTACTTTTCCCTCTGCTTTTACTCCACTCCATATGTTCTCAACAACATTCCCTTTTCACTCAATCCCCAAAAATCTCTGAACAATAGAAAGTTGATTTTTATAATCTTCTTCTTCTTTAGTGCTGCCTAACGGCGTGTGCGACTTCACGATGATATTGGTCCCGGTCTAGCACGGCGTGTAGAGTTTGTGCTGTTGTTAATTGTAGCCATGTTTTGATGTTACTGAGCCATGTCGTTTTTGGCCGTCCTGGTCGTTTTTTCCCTTCGATTTTTCCTTCCAGGATTAGCTTTAATAGCTGGTATTTGTGGTCGTTTCGGGCAATGTGGCCTAGGTAGTAACACTTCCTGCTAATGATGGTCTTCAGCAGTTGCCTGTCAGTGCCCATATCTTGCAGAACTTGTATATTGGTGGTTTTGGCTGTCCATGGGATTTTCAGCATTCTTCGATACAGCCACATCTCGAAAGCTTCGAGCCTTTTTGTTGCTGTTGTTGTCAGTGTCCACGTCTCTACTCCGTACAGCAAAATTGACCAGATGTAGCATTTCAGTGTGCGCAGTTTTAGTGATGTACTCAAGTTGCGGTCTGCAAGGAGTGTTTTCCATTTAATAAATGCTTGCCTTGCTTGTTCAATTCTGCTCTTGATTTCGACTTCATGGTTCAACTGATCGTCAATGATTACACCAAGGTATTTAAATCGGTGTACTTGTTCCAATTTTTCGCTGCCAAGCTTGATTGTTATTTCACTTGTAGTTCGGCTGACCTTCATAACCTTTGTTTTCTTTTCATTAATTCGTAAGCCCCATATTTGACTCTCTGTGGCAACCTCGTCCAAGATTTGTTGTAGGTCTTGTTCCGAATCAGCCAGCAGTGCAGTGTCATCGGCATACCTGATGTTGTTGATGTATTGTCCATTGACTTTAATACCAATGTTTTTATCTGCTAGTGTTCGATCAAAAATCTGCTCCGAGTAAATGTTGAAAAGACTGGGTGAAAGTGGGCAGCCTTGTCGTACACCTTTTTGTATTGGTGTTGGGTCTGTCAATTCGTTGTCATATCGGAGTTGGGCTGTTTGCTTCCAATAAAGAGCAATGATGAAGTTGATGTCGTTTTTATCTAGTCCCAGTTGTTTTAATAGAGCTGCTAGTCGGTCGTGGTCGACTGAGTCAAAGGCTTTCTCGTAATCTATGAAGCAGATGTATACTTCTTTCTGATGTTTTATAATCTACTTGCTCTTAAGTGTGGAACATATTTTCCCATTCTGACAACAGCTTATCTAAAAAGGATTCACTTTTTGAATCCCCTTAATGTATTTAACATACGAAATGAATACTCTTTGGTTCTTTCGGTAAAGTCACGTAGGTATAAAATAAATCACTACGTTTCAGGCACAACTCAAGCGTCCGTCATCAGGTGGGAAAGCATGGTCTGCTGCTGAGGCAGACTGTTTTAAAAGGTTTGAAATGGGTGTAGCCCAAGGGTCATAAAGAAGTGGCCGGGGCTAGTGATGTTAATGTGAGAAATTAGCATGTAACTGTAAGATAAGACTTTCGGCTGGGACTGGAATTTAAGTCAACCCAATCAACCTCTGGGTGCTAGTTTTCAGAAGCAAAATTATAAATAGTTTATATTTGGATTTACCTCACCGTATGCAAAAATAATAGCTTTCCAGCCTTTTTAGAATATCATTAGCATTTACATCAGATGCTCAATCATTCAGGATATATGTGTAGTGACAAACTCGGAGATGATAAGACTTGGAGGCAACTTCTTTATTAGTGAGCACCATCGTGGTTAACACACTTAATATTTAGTCCGTCTATTATCGGCTACGCTACTCAGCCAGGACAGTTGGTAGGCTGCCTGACTAGCGGCGCCCCGAGATGGTAGAGATGGAGACGACGACGAGAAGAATGGTGAAGACGAAGAGAAGAATGGTAAAGATGATTAAAGAATGGCGACGATGGACTTCAGCAGCATGACGGGGATCCCACTCCAACAACCGCCCCGAGGTCCCCTACAAGGGCCCCTCTTATACTGTCAGTGTGGCCACGCCCCCTTTCTGGAACCTACTAGCAGGTTCCTGGTGGGCCCATTCTGTGACCTTTTCCCTAGATCCTCCTCTCGTGATTATCCTAGCCTGCTGACATCAGGACTGCCGTATGCCGCAGACCCCCTTTTCTGCCAGCAGCCAGCGCTATGCCACTACATATGTATGATTAACTTCTTTCTCACCATACGTAGCCAACCGTGCTAATCGGAGGTGCGAGGGAAGGATAACAACAGTCTCGATTTTTCCATATGTATTAGATATACAGAATATGTATATTATGTGGCTTGTCATTAGCTTAGCTTCACAATGTTAAACCCGACCAAAATTGTATCCAAAAAATATATGTTTCATTTTACCAACTAAACTTGTGTATGATTTTTTATTTAAAGCTTTCGTGACTGCAGGGATTCATATTCTTGGTTCTTTCGGTAAAGTCACGTAGAAGGAATTGTCAAACAAGAAATATGGAGTTTCTACTATCTGTAAATATATATTACGTGGTTCTGTGTGATTATTATTCAGTATTAAACTTTACCAACAGATTAAGAATGTTTTGAACAGCATTTGTCGAAAGATCATAATTTATTTTTTTGTTTTAAGATTAAGAACTGCCCTTCTGGAACTCCCCAAGTAAAAAGTGTAGCACGTTGGGCAGGGAATATTCCACAGAAGATTAGTGTTGACATGAGAAAGCATCTATAAAAATTAGGAGTTGACCTATACATTTATTTTTTCATGGAAGACACAGGGTATCCCGTCTCAAAACACGAGAAACTCACGACAGCGCACGCCCCATGGGACGCGGTGGGAATGATGATGATGATAATAGTGACATCATGCCTTGGGTTTGTCACCATTATTTATTGATGCAAATAATATTTAAATTGTATTTTTTCGAGCCATCGAAGCAACAACCCATCGATACAAAAGTCCGCTGACGTTCTGCAGAAGATGATGCAAGAAAACTACTTCGGGAATATTCTGAATGGGCACCAGTTACCAAACACTACATGGAGCCCCATATAATTAAACAAGTGTTATTAAAGTATAAATGATAATTAAACAAGTTTAGTTATAATTTATACTTTAATAAAGGGACATCTCAACAATGGAGTGACCAATATTTTGTGCAAATGCCAAGGTTGTGTACCTAAGGCCATCCAACAAGAGTTGGAAAGACCTTCAATGGGAAAGACAGATGGTTGAGGGCTGGAAAAAGCAACACTCCAACACTGGTTCCAAGTCTTTACCCAATGTGAATTAAGTTGAAGGATCTTTTTTATCACGTAATTTTAAGACTTTAAAGTTTAAGAGATTAATTAACTGTAATTTGGATGGAAATCCTTGGGAAATAGAGCAATCAAAAGATACTCACCTGCCTGGGTAGCCAAGCCTCCGACATTTCTCGATGCCTCTGTGATATACAAAAAAACGTACACGGATTACATAAAAGTATCTGAATGTTACAAAAAATAACATCATGCCACATATAATATTCAACTAAAAATATATATATCTTTCTGTCAAAAGTCATATCGATTTCAGATATTTTTTCATAGAATACATAAGTAGACAATGTCTCCTTCACATATCTGTCTCTTCACATAAAAGATAAATAAAATTCTTACATAACCCATCAGCTGCACAGCCTCCTGGGAGTGCATAATTTCAGCAGCATTGATTCAAGCAAACTCTAGACCAGTTCCAACATAAGTATCCTCCACAACAACACTAACGCTCATTTAGTTTAACAAATTTAATATAATTTTTTAGCGTGCAGTCATTGGTGACTAGCGAGAACTTGTTGCAAATGTGGGCGGTTGTGAGAATTCCAACCCAGAATCTCAATGGCTACAGTTCACTAGTAGGCTTTAAAAGGTCAAAGGAAACCATTGTTTGAAGCATAGCAATCTTCATATCAGGTTTGCAATAGATCTTCACTTCTGATGTGCACTTTACTTCACCGGAATGGTTATTAAGTAATCCTTTTTTTGTTATTTTTAGCTTCACCAGATCCCGAGGGAGAACAGCTAACTCTAGTGGGTTTTCTAACGTTATCTCTGAGAGCCATATTATGCATCGTTTGATACTATTAATACACTCTTAATTATTTAACGTCAGAAAATCTGTATGTGATGCACTCAGACGATACATGTTTTTCAGGATCTAATGGCTGTACAATGTTAATCAAAGTTTTGTTTACTTCTATATTGACCAATGGATTACTGTTGATATAGGAACACCCTAAACAACGATTAAATTATTTCATCACATTGTGAGTATTGATCAAATCACTCGGGGATTGGAATCACTACTCCTGCTTTATTGCTACAGCCTTGTAACACCTGCTACTGGGCAGCCATACACATCCCCATGATCTATTGGCTTCGTGCGCCGTGGTGTACATCCACTCTCCTAACCCAGCAGTATTTATTAAGCCAAACTTACACACATAAGCATAGGTCCTAAAACCATACATGTGTAGTGTGTTAAAGAATGACTCACACCGACACGTTGTAACAAGTCACCTGCTTACACTTTATTCACCTATTCTTGCACCAGTTGTAGGCAATCTTGATTTGAAGCTTTCGTGACTGCAGGAATCCATACTCTTTGGTTATTTCGGTAAAGACGAGGGCACGGAAGTGGCTATGTTAATGTGAGAGATTAGCATGTTAATGTGAAATCTAAGAGTGGTGCAATCCAAAGGACACCGTCTACAGCATCCCACGTCAGAAAATGAGGAGGCTTACCGCAGCCTTCGCTCGGAGGTCCGGAAAGCTATGAGGCACTGCAAGGATGGGTGGTGGTCGCGGGTTGCTGAGGAGATGGAGTCTGCCTCAATGGCCTGTGATCATCGATCTTTAACTCCATAAAAAAGTAACTTGCAGCGCCACACCTATTACCATTAGGGGAAAGAACGGTGATCCAATCTCCGACCCCCAGGAACAGGTTTGCAGATTTGTTGAGCATTTTTGTGAGGTCCTGGGGGAGGGGAAATCCCTCAACCTAGAAAATATCGTGGGACAAAGTGAGGATGACCCTGCTGAGGCTGCGGTGCCTCAAATATTGGAAGATGTAGTGACCCCCTGTGAGTGGCTGACTGAGGTGCCATCTGTTGAGGAAGTACTGAAGGCAATCCAGAGTCTGAGACCAGGAAAGGCACCGGGCAGAGATGATCTCACAAGCGAAATGCTGAGGGAGGGAGGCGTTTGTGCACAGACTGTCCTACATGACAACAACAGTCTAGACCACTGGACGGGTTCCGAAGGATTGGAAGGATGCCCTGGTGGTCCCCCTCTTTAAGAAGGGGGACCGCACAGACTGTAACAGCTACAGGGGCAAGCATCATTTAACATCGCCTTGCCAGGCACACTGAAGAAAGGCTTGCGGAGCCCCAATGCGGTTTCAGGAAAGGGCGGTCCTGCACAGATGCCATATTTTTTGTCCGTCTGCTACAGCAGAGGTATCAGGAGTTCCAACAAGACCTACATCTCTGCTTTATTGAGCTGGTCAAGGCCTATGATAACATCGGTAGGCCTGGGCTCTGGGTTGTTCTTCATACTTTCGGTGGTGAGCAGGCCCAGGTAAAACTACGTGGCCAGGAGTCAGAGCTATTCCCTGTTCACCTTGGGGTGTGACAGGGATGTCCTCTGGCTCCCACATTATTTAACATCTATTTCGACCATGTAGCTCGTGAAGCCTTCAATAGCTGTACCGGAGGAATTTCCATCTGGTACATAGACAATGGGAGGCTGATCGATGCCCGGGTGCGGTCAAGGGATGGCTCCCTATTGCTCAACCATGTTATGTATGCTGATGATCTGGTAATTGCTGCTGACTGAGAGGAGTTGGAGGTGCTGCTGCTGAACCTGGAACTTGCCACTAAGAGGTGGGGCCTTACCATCATCCCCACCAAAATTAAGCACCTGCCTGGATATTTTGTACCATCGGACACTCTATCCCCACAACTCCCAATTGGTGATAGGGCAGTTGTAGAAAGAGTGGAGAGTTCCCCATACCTGGGCAGTGTGCTCATGACCGGCTCCAGTTTGACAGTAAAGGTCTCTCTCCGAATTAGTCGAGCGGCATTATCTTTTCATCAGTTGCATAACGCTCTGTGGAAGCTACCTGGTCTCTCGCTCCGCATGAAGCTTCAGGTGTTCTTGGCCACAGTCATTCCCTCCATTCTGTACGCTTGCGAAACATGTACCCCGATATTGGAACATCTTCGCTGGTTAGAAACATTTAGGCTGGCCTGCCTACGATCCATCCTGGGTTTAACCAGGCTGGATTGTGTTAGGAGCTCACAAATCCTTAAAATATTTGAACAAAGTCCCATCGGTGTGCTCCTCCAGCAGGCAAGGCTTCGTTGCCTGGGTCATGTAGCCCGCATGCCCAGCCACCGCATGCCTAAACAGCTTTTGTTCGGCCGGATCGAGGGGGCTAAACGGGCGCAGCACAGGCTAGAGAAGAGATCGAGTGATGTGGTACAGGAGGATGTGGAGCTGAGTGGACTTGCCGATGACTGGTACCAGCGGTGTCAAGATCGGCCTCTGTGGAGGAGGCTCGTGAAGGACGCTACTGGGCAGTTAGTGGCAGTCGCCCTCCAACAACAATGGAGGGCGGAGGAGCGACGCTCACAACAACGAGCGGAGCGCTGGGTGGCTAAAGCACAGCAAGTTGGCACAGTAGGGGGCACAGGTGGTGCATCAGCCAGTCATCTCAGTCAGTCGACCCGTGGCACCTGGGTCTGCTATGTGACCTCCTGACAGTGGGCGTTCGACACTTCAGGTGGCCAGAATGTGCATATAGCCTGGCACAAGCGTCATGGTGATGTCACCGCCACTTAGTGGCGAATGGCGGTTGTTGTATTTGTACAAATGTATGTTGAACTTTTTTCGCACCCTATGTAGCCAACCGTGCTAATCGGAGGTGTGGGGGAAGGACAATATACTAAACACAAAAAGAATTTCTAAAGAAATTCGATTTCAATTTAGATTTAAATGTGCATAGCTCCAGTGGCTTCCTAATATCGGAAAGAAGAGCGTTCCAGACGGCCGCAGTAACCGTCTTTGTCTGATGGTTAGCCGAACGCCACTGCAAGGATGACCAGAGACTGATTACTTTTTAACAGTAATGCTCCCTCCCAACCGTGCCTACGGTATTCTACGGTTGTGACCAACACTGCTGGACGTGAAACCCCCTGAGTCAGAGATGGATGACTGCCTGTAACCAACCTCGATGCAGGCTCCTGTGGCAGCGTCGCACACGGTTAGGATGGAGAAATTCTGAGCACGGTTCACCCAGTTGACAGCGATGCGAGTCCCTGTGGCCCAGTGCACCATGCTCACATAGTAGTCCCTAGGCAGCAGCAGCACACAGTCACGCATATTCCACATCAATGCATATCCACAGTCCAGCAATTGTGGATCGGTGATCATCTGCGTTGATGCTCCAGTCAGGATTGAAAATTCCACATTCCTATGTCGGAGGCCAATTACTCCATAGGACACAATCTATTAACGCCATACAGTAGCACTTACTTTAACAGCCCAGATATGGAGTTGTATATGGTGTTGTATATATATTATCACCATATAGATATCCAATACATGTCAAAAATCATACAATTTAAGTACTACTCATACCTCAATTGGTTTCATATAAATATGCTATTAATGAAACACATTTTAAATATAGTGCCTTATACAAGCAGTGTTTTATTTTAATATCAGCATTTATATACCTGTTTTACTCACACAATAATGTCATGTCACAGGAAAAAACATTTTTTTCACAATTCTAACATCCTGCATAGGGTTACATCATGACAACAAACGCACATCTGATTAGCACAGTTGGCTATGTGTGGTGCGAAAGAAGTTCACCATCATTCATATGTAGTGACATAGAATGGGTCACTAGGGCGCGTAGCGCTGGTTACTGGTAGAGAGCGGGAATGTGGGTGTAGTAGCCCGGTCTACCAGCAGGGCAGGTGAAATGTGCCACTAGAGTGGGTAGTGCCGGTTGCTGGCAGAGAGGGGGGATCTGAGGACACAGCAGCCTGTCTGCCAGCAGGGCACGTGATAGGCCAGGGTGAGAGATGTGGAGTAAATGTGACAGAGGGAACACGTGGGGCAGAGTCCAGAACCTTCTGGTAGGTTCCAGAAGGGGGTGTGGCAGAGGGCGGCGCCAGGCTACGCTGGGGAGGATAAAAGGGAGGCCCCGACGCTGGGTCAGGGCTGTCGTTTGGAATGGAACCCATCATCTACGCAAGTCTTCGTCCCCATCTCACCTCCTCGGCGTTGTGGGTCAGGCAGTGTGCCGGCTGTCCTGACCCGTGTGTAGTTATCCCCTGTACTGTGGAAGTGTAAAATAAACGTGTGTGCCTCCTACTAGTGTCTCTGAAGTGACTACTATACATTGAGCAGCCTTCGAAGAGGATGCCACACAATTACTCCTCGGGTCGTTTCAACAGGGCCTTGCCATCCATCAAAAGATGGCACACCCTTATGTTGTGGAAAGGTAGGTCTCAGGACAGCTCTCAGAGCTTGGTTAGGGCAAATTTAAATAGAAGCTCAATTTTCATTAAAAGAATGTTGTGAGCCTTGCCGATGAACATATCAGCCAGAATGCGCCCGATCTCATCAGACCTCTAAAGCTAAGCAGCGTGTGTAGCCTAAACTGCACTGGGATGGATTGACCACCATGCATAACATAATGTTATAGGCAGAACCGGCCCTAGACCTTTGGGGGCCCTAAGCAAAATTTGGTTGGAGGCCCCTTTGATGTATGATTTTTTTCACCCACTAGCTAGCAGTGACTCTAGGGGGCCCTCTGCTGGCCACGGGCCCTTTGCAATTGCAAGGGTCGCTTAGTGGCTGGGCCGGCTCTGGTTATAGGCTGCGGGGATCACAGGTGTCCTTTAATTTACCAACAAAAATTCCCATTAGCGCAATTGACAAAGTAGGGACACATTTCTATTGACGAAGTCGAATTTCCGCATTCCCGAAATTTCACTCAGCACGCGTCGTGAGATAAAACAAGAGCTCTCCCGGGAGGCTGCATCATCCATCCACGACAGTCACGGTATCCCTACAGTCCAACAGTAACGCCTCCAAGTCACCTTTCCAGGCGTTCCAACATGCAAATATTTTGGTGAGTTCCATGAAAATGTTAAGTATTTTTGTTTTAAATAAATTATAAGTCAATAGTTCTCATATTTACGTTCTTTATTATTATTATTATGACTATTTGGTTTTATTGTGAAAAGTGACAGAGGTGTAAATTTTTAGGTTATGAGCAGAGTTGGAATGACTGTCCGAAACAAATTCCAATTTGTTAAAATCTAATTAATGGGAAAAGCCATTCCGATGTACGACATTTCATTTTATGCATGTTTTTTAAAGAACGCATGCATCCCTTTCGTAAATTGAGGGATACCTGTATTGAGTGAGCAGCAAATGACAGTGTATCAAAATTCATTGCTATACTGTACTTCTGCGTTCCTACATCTATGATCCCTGCCTTCATCAACCGGCACTGACCGGCATGGAGAAGTATAGTGAAATGACCCCCACAACCCGTTCCATTTTCAGAGGCCCTCATCCAGCAGTGGATTGATAAAGGACTGTGTACATGGACATGTGTTTGCGCAGTTATGGGCAACCTAGCTGAGACCAACATCTCAAACATGAGATTAACCTTGTCAACCCCTGGGTGTGGTGGATGCTTTCATTCAAATTCAGGATTCCAGTGGCGTTTTCTCAGTGAGCTACCAGCACCGCGTGTGCTCCCTGAGCCACCGAGGAGCCTATTACATGTTAATTTATCTTCTTGGTTCTTTCGGAAAGACAGCGACTGAATGGCGCTGTCTTTCCGACAGACCTGTTCTTTACCTGGGGACGGCTGCTTGCGTTGTGGCCGAAACGTCGTGAGAATTGTATTTTATTATGTTTTATTTTTATTATTTTATTATTTCCCTTCTACGTGACTTTACCGAAAGAACCAAGAAGATGAATCCCTGCAGTCACGAAAGCTTTAAATCGAAATGTTAATTTATCTCTTACAAAAAAACAAATGTGCAGAATGCAGGACTTCCAATATATCAACTGGAAAGATCCAGCGGCTATGTAAATTCTGGTTAAATCGGCATGTCACAGGCAGTTTTAGTCGACCGCGTTCCCCTGGGTGGGTGTTAATGTTAAGGTCTTTATCAGGCGTGGCTGAGCCAATATGAAAACAGTGGTTTACATTCAGCTTTCATTTGCTTCAATTAACCACTCCTGGCATAGGGTCAACACTTGCATCAAGCCACAGTGCATATAACCTGTGATGGGTTTCTTTTTTATTCTGTTGGATATTTTAATTTTGAATATTTCCTGAAATTACTCAATTATATAATACGTAAAAAATATGAAATCATTTATCAATGAAGTATACTTTGTCTTCAGTATGCAAAACATTTGGCACATTGTTGTGAGTACATTTTAGCAGGTGCCCTTCTCAATAAGCGATGCTGAGACAGCATTGTAAATCTACTCATCTCCTTTGGTGTCAGTCCATCCATAGGGCAGGAAAAGTAATAATTTTAACTTGAAACACGCACGGTATTTACTCATTCGCAAATAGACAAACTAATTCAGTGGTGTGACAAACTACAGACAAGTGGGAAATGTAGCCCCAGTAATGAACTGGCACAAAATTCTCCCTCCAAGCTCTGTTGTCCTCTTTGTATAAAGGTGTCATCGGCCGAGTGTTTACATGTGGGAAGAAAACCAAGAAAATCCACACGTGCAAGGGGGTAACACTCAATCCCATACATATAGAAAAGGTGGAGTCCCCATTTTGCCGTACCGCATTTCTCCAGGCAAGGCAGGGTATGGCTCCTCAATGCCCATGGGAAGGGAGTTTCAAGACATTTGTGTTATCCACCAATGAATCAGAGAAAATATTGAAGTAAGACACATCCTAATGACCGTGAGTGTGTGGGCTTGGCAAAACACATCGCTAAGGGCATTGTAGCCAATGGATGGTATTGGCGACTGAATCGAAGACAAAAGAGGGAACACGCCTGAGAAGATGACCACCGTGGAGATTTGAGCAATGAGATTGCCTCACGTGCAGGGGTGAGATGGATTGTGTCAAAGCAAAGCCAATGAGCGAGGGCAGCAATGTGGAGAGGCCTTCATCCAACAGTGGGAAAGACCATAGCTCACGATGATGGTGACGATGGAAAGGATGACATTTTAAATTTTACAATTTTAAACATTGCTTGACATTTCAAACCCTTTTAAGAGTGGGATTTGTGCAACTACCTTTAAAAGTTTCATTTTATTTACCATAAGGGTAAATTAGCTGTTCTATTATTCATTCGTCCATTCAGGTTGATGATAGCCATTACATTTCGGGCAGTGCTCTTTCACCCCTTGTACAATATTTCACGAACCTCTCAGTATATATGTTAATAGCTAAACTACACAGCACTGCAAGTTGATGATTTAAAAAAATGGTCACGTTTGCCAAATTCATTGTGGTTTGCAAAGAAATCGTACAAAGGCTCGGATAGCAATCTCCTCTGTCATAGTATTGGTTGTGAAAGACCAGGACAAAATATAAAGTAATCCCTTCAAAATAAAGATTACAAAAGCACCAGCATTGACAAAATCAAGGACGTCTGCATGTGGTATCGACAAAATTCTGAATTCTGAAAACTCTATCTCATACATTTTTTTTCACGGTTTTAGAAAGTGCATATACTAGTTTAAGTGTGTGAGTGCACTATGGACTTAGTTTAAAATGTTTGAACCGAATTAATAGCTTGAGACATAAGGGACATAACATAAATTGATAATAGCAACCGTATTTCAACCGCGCGCAAACAGAGTGGCAATTGAAGCTGGAAAATAGCATTTTTCCATGCTGGGTGTCGTGCACGTCTGTAATGCCGTACTTTACAAAAAGACAGAGTTGGTGGATCATCATGTGCATGATACACTTCTCGTAAAAATTTAAAAGTTTCTAAGAAGATGACAATCTGCCAAGTGTGTTGCCAACCTTTCTGTGGGCTTTTGACAATGTCTTCTCTCATGTAAAAATACTTACAAAGAAAAGGTTTTAACATCCCAAGCACTACCCACCTAAAATAATCTTGAGACGAATTTAACAGGCAAGGGAAGGATAAAGGTAATAGGATCTTGGGCTTACTTAAATCTAGCCTTCTTTGCAGTGGGCTGGGATTTGGGAGTGGTGGCAGGGTTGAAACGTGATAACATTTCACGTGGAGAATCTACTCCTGTATTCATACAAAATAAAACATGAGTTTGTAAGGCTTCATGGCTAAAATGCTACCCATACACTCAATATCCACAAAAAAACACATTATCATTTAAATAAAGGCAGAAGGATAAAGAAGGACAATGTCTAGCGGACCATCTCGTCAGATCCCAGACGCTAAGCACGGTCGAGCCTGGGTAGTGCTTGGATGGGCAATCACCATGTATAGACCAGGGGTTGCAGGCTGCTGTGGGGATATGTCAGTAGAGGGCAGTGTAACAAAATCCATCGTTGTACTGTACCAACTTCTATGTGCCCAGCCTTCACCAACTTGCAATGACCAGAGTGAAGGATAGCCAATAACTACGACCATCAACATGGCATGATGTCATCGCACCTCCAATTAGCACGGTTGGCTATGTACGGTGCGAAAGAAGCTTAACATACATACATACCATCAATCTTTAGTAAATAAGTGATCATTTGTGGGGAGTTAAACATTGCTAGTGTCCATCGATAGACAGTTCCTGGCAAAGTAACGTGGCATTCCAACAACTTGTGGAGGACCACTATTGGAGATGGAAACTACCTGGTGCTTGCTTCACCTTGTGAAATTGAAACAGATCCAACTATAACTTAACAATTATTCTGACTTCCTGGATGTTTATTATGACTTACTGTACCCTGTGCTGGTGGTAGTTGATGTTTCAAATGAAACTTCCTAAATGCTAAATTTGGTTCTGAGAATTGTTATTCAACTAACCGGTGAGTTGAAACAATAAGAAGTCGATCGCTTCAAGACGTGACAATGTAATCTGTTTGGCTGTGTCATTATGTGGCCTTACCCAAAAATATATAATAATAAGGACATTTATAACGCGCCATATTTTGCAAACAAGTAAAAAACTCAGAGGTGCGGAGCCAAGCTCTGCGCTGCTCGAAGGCCTGACCAACCTTATAAGTCTGTAGATGTTTATACTCTTTGGGTCTTTCGGTAAAGTCACGTAGATAGAAAAATAATAAAATAAAATCACATTTCTATCGCAATACAAGCAATCGTCTTCAGGTAAAAAAAATACAGCAGACTGCTGAGGCAGGAAGAAATATAGCAAGAGAGCTACTGCAGCCAAAGATTAGAGAGCCACTGCAGCCGAAGGTTATATATGTTTGAGATGTTTCTTGAAAGTCAGAGTACATTTGATGTTGCGAATGTTCAAAGTTCCACACCGAGGGGGAGACAGCAGAGAACCGATGTGAGGCTGCAACAGTTCGAGACCTTGGTGTCAGAAGCAGATTTTGAGTGACATTACGTAGGGTTCTACCATGAGCTTCAGTGCAAGGCGAGAGTAGTGAGGCGAGGTATGGTGGGGAACCGGTGGTGAAGGTGCGATGACAAAGGCAGGTGATTTTATAATTTGTCCTGCTGACGAAGGGAAGCCAATGAAGAGTTTGGAGAGTGGTGGCTGAGTCGAGTCGTAGATTATGGACAACAAGGACAAGACGAGCAAGGGTTGAATCAAATCCATCTCTGGATTTGTGACAGAGAAGGCCTCGGAACCTCACCTGGAGCGGAAGGCCTCGGGTGGGTTCAGCTCCTGCGTGTGAGTCAGTCCATAAAGTGTGACCACAAACAGTCGCACCCTAGGGTTCGGCTGCCCAGCCTGCATGGGAGAAGGTGACAAAATAAGATGTTACCGAATGTGAAGAGGCGTATGAAAGAGATCCAGCACATACTAGTGGCATCTTCAGGAAGATCGTTTATTGACGCAAACCACACAGGACAAAAGGAACTCGAACTCCCTTTGCATGTTGTTTGGTGGCTGAATGTTTGGTGACTTTACGAGTAGATGGCAGTTCACTGAGTGGGTACGTGAACCCATCTGTGTGTGTTTTTGAGGGTTTTGCATCGTAGGTTTCAGTTTTCTTCAAGTACTCGAGTTTCCCTATCACATGCACAATGCTCATGAAAACAAAATTGTCCAAGCATTGCAGTTCTGGACCCTCCCGAAAAAAGATTCTTGAGATGCTCTCCTGGGTAAATAAATCTTATCGTCATACTTATATTTTAATAAATGAAGCGAAAGCGACATAAAAAGAGCATCGTCAAAATGACACCACGTGCCAGAACCTTTTGGCGGCCATTGTTGGGATGTCATGATTTCTGGATCGATCCGAAGATCGGGAACACATCCCCAACACACATCCATTCCACGTACAAATTCTGGGCTGCAACCTATACGAAAGAAAACTGGACACCCACATCAGTGCTGTAACAATGAGCCAAATCGTCACGGTGGATTGTTTTTCACCTCGTAAAGACAAGTTTAATTACACCGTTCAGCTGCTTTGAACAAATATTTTTTTGTAAGGTTATTGTAGAGCAGTATTTGCACGGCAGCTCATTTCACGCCACAGTTTTGCTTACACAACCCGCAAAACCAGTATTTCACATTTATTGATGCTATTCGCAAGGCGCTGCATGTGAAAACTGCACACGCACATAAAAATCACATATCCTACTCGGGAATGCAGGTGTTAGGGTTAAATGTTTCAGATTTTTACAATAAGTGTCCTCGGGAGGTGAAAAAAAATCCACGTACATTGTTCCGGGAGAGGCAGCGAGCACGAGCCCAGCTAACACAACCATCCGTCACAAGTCATACACAGCTGCCTCCGAATCTGCCACCGTAAACGGAACTGATTTGAATGTAATGATTAACGAGGGGCTGTGAGGGAAAACGAGCTTCAGAAAGCTCCCCCCGAGTGAGTTAAGCAGGATGCTTGCAGATGTACATCTCCGCTGGGGATGCATCTGGTGCTCTGCCACAGATGGTTATTTCACTTCCATTATTCAATTCCACGCTAATGCACGCTCCGTGTTGTGCATGCAACGGGGAAAGGTTTCATTGAACGCAGAGCGCCGCCTCGTAAAAGTGTTTGTCAGAAGACCTCATTGCTGCGTGTAGCGTCGTACGTTTCGTAAAACCCACGAATGAAAAAAATCCACGTCACGCATTATCTCAAAGGAGCGTGGAGATTTTGGTAAATTGCCAGATAAGGAAATGCAAATGCGGATTAAGCATTGATTGGAGATTAGACAAATTACTGTATATGTAGATTGTAAGTGTTTATTGAATGACGTAACGGCGTACTGATGCGAAATTATATCAACTCCTAATATGCGACGCTGCTGTCAGGTATTTCTGTATTCATATATGTCCATAAAATTGCGATGGCCAAATGCGGAGATACAAATTAAACCATACACGCCCACAATTTCCCATATTTGCAACGTTTAACCTTCCTTTGTTTTACATAAGCCATGCCCATATTCCAATAACCTTCCACATTCCTTTCAGTTTTCTGTGCATCCCAAAATCTTACTTCTTCCATAAACTCCAAATATCTCAGTTGCTAGGCATCGATACAATCAAACCTCGCATCTGTTTGGACGATAAGAGCAACGCATTTAGATTGTGAGACGATGGAAATCCAATATAGAGCTGATGACCTAGGATTGTGCCATCACAAGTTAATGTTGGTAAAAAGTCGCAGGAGAAAAAGTTAACAAAAGCAAGGAAGTCTGGAATGGTCAGCTGAGGTCGAGGCTTCAACCATAATCTGTGCCCGTTGGTAGTTCCCATGGATTAGCTAGCTGCTGCTGCTTCTTACGCTTCACATTAGCTGAAAACTTGCAAAAAATATAGCACGAGAATACTTCAGTAAGTAAAGAGACAACAGTTATTTCTCGAAAACATATTTGTTATCACCAACGTGACAGACAAAATACGTCACACTCTGAAAACACTTGTCACTAGGGGCCCACATGCTTCATAATGCCAGCAGCACACAAGAATCTTTAGCACAGTTTTTTTCTCCAGTAATGTGTTATTTAATCAATATAGATCTACTATGTCTGTGTTACATATCCACTGTTGAATTGAAAAAATCATAGTGTCTTATGCTCTGATACATTTCTGTGGACTCAATTCCCTTCGGCAATTATATCTGCAGTCCCTTGAGATACTAGAAATGGTCCAGATTGCTTATGGGTTCTGCTCAAGTGACCTTTGCAAGTCTCAGTTACTTAATTTAACTTTCAGTGTTATTTTTTAAAGGACTGGGTCAGCATGTTACGTTCTAAGCTAATTACCCCTGACTCTGTGTCACACTGGGCATCACCTACAAGTTGCAGTGTGGGCAAGGGCTGACCCTGTAACATTGTGTGCCAGTTTACTGATTGCATTTACTCAGTAACTGTCTTCTCTTAACTCCACTTGCAGGCCCTTTTTCTAATCAATACAAAGAGAAGCACACTCCATTCACTTGCACTACTCAAAGTGAAACCTGATTAAAGCAACCAGCGTTTGTTTTGTGCATCGTCCCATGTTGCTTCTGTAGCGGCCTCTTTTCCTATGCGTGCAAGGGTGCAGTGTCTCTTGGTGATCTGGATTAGAGGCTATATAGTTGGAGATGTCCTAGACAGACAGGCAAAAACATTTAAAAATAACCAGGTAAGATCTGAATGAGACCCGGTGTCGCTTTTGCAAAGGAGTCTCGAATCAGAGTAAATACACAATGCAAAGAAATGCAGAGGGTGTCTACACTCGACAAGACCATTAAACGCAAATACACATTTCGATTTACAGCTTTCGTGACTGCAGGGATTCATATTCTTGGTTCTTTTGGTAAAGTCACGTAGAAGGGAAATAATAAAATAAGAAAAATTAAACAATAAAATTCTCACGACGTTTCGATTGCAACACAAGCAATCATCATCAGGTGTGAAAACCACAGCAAGAACATTTTTAAAAAGTGGCGTTTTTTTCTAAACGTTAGCACCACGGACAACAACTGGCGGTTGTTCTCTGCTGTGATTTTCACACCTGATGATGATTGCTTGTGTTGCAATCGAAACGTCGTGATAATGTTATTGTTTTATTTTTATTATTTTATTATTTCAAACACACATGTTCAAACATGGTCCCAAGCCTAACCAAAGGCATGCATAATGAAGGCAAACAAAATACAGCATGAAGCTAAATTAAAAGATGCATGTAAAGTACAAAGTAAATATAAAGGAGGTGTATATTAAAAGTATTTGCATTAATGGTGATCGAGTAGTAAATCCAGTGGCCAAATAACTCCGGACTTCCATGTAAAGCACATACAATATTGTTCTTTTGGCAAAAAGCATCATGCTCCAAAGAAACAAAACATCCACATTCAGCATTAGGAGACATAAATGTCAAATAATGTTAGGTCAGCAGGCTCTAACCTATGGTGGTTGTATCTGTGTTTGCGGACTTATAGTCTTCCTTTGTAGTAGCATGGGGGCCTATTACTACTGCCCTTCAGTCAGAGAGGTAACTGTAGATATTTTCCATCACAAACCCAATTAATTATATATCGATACAGCAAAACACTTGCATTAATGATGTGCTACCCCGCAATGGGCTTTACTTATGAATAGACTGGTCACCATTGTAGGTGTATGGAATTTCCACAGGTGCCTCAGGACAGGTGTACACTTTGACTCAACTGTCCATCCTGTAATAATTGCAGGAGGAGCACGCAATAATATTTTACAGATGATTAAGCAGGTCAAAATTCGATGGCTGTCAGTATCAATCCTGGTCAGGTATTGCCTCAAGCCTCTGTTTGTTCTTGTGGTGTAAGTGCAAGTGCAAACATTGTGGAAAGTCAACCGTGGTTGTTGTTCTGAATAGGAATGCGGCATATCCACCATTGGTTCAGAATCGGCGATGAAGGTGAGTACTACAACCCAATGCTCATTTGACCACGAAGACACTTTGATGGGTTTCCTGAAATGTGTATGTTCTTCGTATTAATCTGATATTCAAATCCAGAGAGACAACTAACTCTCATAGATATAACGTGTGCAGCACGGTCCTTCAGGATACAGTGTAAAGCATTGGACAAAGCATGGAATGGAGTCGTCACAATTTAACAGCTCGACCTCAAGTCAGAAGTTTTACCATTTTTCCCACAATGGTCGTACAGCCTGATAATGCTGTTCATGATCTTTAACCCTGGTCCTATTCACTAAACTGCAATTAAACTCAAAATATAATTTACTGTACCCTACATGGCACAGCTCACTGGCTTTAACAACTCCACACAACGTGCTACACACAGTGAATGACGCAGGGGTATTATAAAAAACGCTGAAGTACATGTACCGCAAAATAAGATACCAGCAATCCTCAATACAAATGTTCGCTCATAACTCCAACTTTGTTCTTAGAGATTTACATTATACCACATGTTCAAGTGAAGCCAAGTTAAATCACTGTGCATTGTTGCAGTAATCTATTGGATCTGACAAAAACTATAGTCAGGAGAACGTTTCTCAATTCACATCTGCGGTCTTTTTAGGAGCCATTGAAACTACATTTCTGGGCGTTGTGATGCACGCCTGTAATTCAGCGCATTCGAGGTGAGTTACTGGCTCGTACAGACATCACCACACCGCAAGGCTGAGGGGTGCCCAGCAGAGAGCAGACCCTTACAAGATGTGCTTTTCCATGTGTAATGACAGGGTGCCACCTGTAGGCCTGAAGGGGAAATCGCGGTTATGAGCATGTTACGTAATGTCTAATTATGAGGGGGGTGTATCTGGGGTAAAGGTGAAAGGTGA